TTTCTCCTTGGGGTTTCAATTTCTGTCCATGAAGCGAGTGTTTAATTGCATTCTATCGGGTACCTCCGCTCTGTCGGATCCACTCTGTGCAGTATCTCGTCCATGTTATTCCAAAATTCTATAGTTTAATAAATGAGATCGAGGTTGCAGTCATGATGCATATTTGTTGCAAATCGACAACGTGCATCAGCTGACCTTCTGCCTATGTAGCATTACATGCACATTGCAGGCAAAGCAAGGTGAGCATGATGTTATTCCAAAATACGACGTTTCGTCAGAAGAATGTGGGAACGACCGATAGACTAATGTACATACGCGTGGTATCATAGGTCAAGAGGTAGAAAAAGTCAGTCTTAACAAGGAAGACTGCGCTCGAAGAAACCGAACCAGATATCCTAGAGACGGCAGCAAGGTTAGCCATGCGGAGGGGTGATATGAGTTAACACTTTTCGACGCGACAGATGTAACGGTTTATGCATCTGGGTGAGCTGTTTGTGTCAGTAGCAGCGCGATACGGTGGCCACCCTCTGGTTGATCGTTTCATGCAGTTCGATCTCCGCGTCGGAATTGCAGAAAAACATGTGGCACAATAGTCTATTTAGTGAGCACGCAGCTGATAAGGCAACGACCTCGTCGTAATGTATAGTGGAAAAAAGTTCGACGACTTTAAACAGAGGTAGTTTCGTCGTGAGTAGGACATAATGCTGCAAAAGCGGACATGTCGGTTTTGCAAGACATAAAGATAATGAACAGCGTACTTACCAAGCAGGAAAAAGCCTGCACTTCACGCCGTTCCGAAGCAATCATTACGCCTCCTCCAGCCCTCCTCTCACCTCCTGCCAAAGTTTCTCGAGATTAGGCTTTCCGACAGAGTGCTAGCAGAATGTGGAACTGGGTTGGAGGTTTCCAGTCCTCAGGAAGATCTTGCTGCTTTCTATCGAGGAAGGTGACTCAACACCGGGACATTTGAGTAGTCGCTGAGTCGAGAGAGAAAGACATGATGACCGATGTTCAAGCTTCGAGAGTGTTGTTTCTTTATGATTGTCTGTGGAGTGTGTTTTGGATGAAGATGCCTACAGACTACGTAAGTCTAAACGGTCTTAATTTTTAGTCGTGCACTATAATAAAGAGTAGTCTTGAGCGCCGTACAAAGATTAAAGGAAATTTACTGTTGCGCATTGTAAACCAGTCAACCAGCAATTGGTCCTTACTATCATCATGTGGTTCTCAATTATGATGATATGCCCAAGGTTACGCTCATTGCTGAGGTCCAACCAGAACTCGACCGATTGCGGGCAGAAATTGATATATTGCGAGGAAAAGTAGTCGTAGCCAAGCTGGATGAGTCAGAGACAACAGTATGAACACACCCATAAGTCTACCTTAGAGACCATAGACGAATAAAGATATGCCAGTGGTAAACGCCGCAGTCTTGAGGTGTTGGTTGTACTCAATTGTCATTTCGGTAAGTTCCGCTCATACATTATACATATGATTCCGCTTGCACGGGTCAAATTGTCCACACGGCCAGGGTCGGATGATATTTTCAAGCGCCTGATTCATACCGATATTGCAATTTGCAGCCGGTACTCTCTGAACCCCAGCAGTGTTGATGCAAAAAAAAGACTGGACATCATGAGGTTTGCCAAGAGTGACATCACGGCTGTCTCCGTTTGCCTATGTGACCTACATTTAGCTGCCTGACAACATTCATCGACTGCCAGTACTGCAGTAGCCGATGCAGTCAGAAAACTGCCGTCCATTACTGGCGGTAGCATGTAGATTCGGTGCGCAGTCAAAATGTTTCATGTTTGTAAGAAACTGCTCATATGCTCCTGTAAATCTCACGTACCCGCACAACCACAATCATCTAGTCCCTTACGACCAGTGGTTCATAACTCACTTGGACGATAACCAGAAAGTCAAACAGGTCAAGCATTGGATACTTTCAAAATGCAATATCATCCAAACGCCCCATCTTCCGGCTCAACGCCCAGTTTCTCCTATCACCTTTGCTTCCAGCATTAGGACACGTACCTCAGTCGATAGCACGGACGACGGTTATAACGAGGATGACGAGTATGAGGAGGACTCGGATGACTTCGACGACTTTTCCTATCGCCACCCAGAAATCAGGCGTCAGACTATATATTCTCGTCGACCTGGAAAGATATCGACCGCATCTACTTCACACACCATCCAACCTGGAAGCAGCCCAGTCACAGACCAGTACACCCTTGTCTCCTTCTCAACTGGAGCAATTCTAGAAGATGACTATGCCCTATCGTGGTATAAACTTCGGCCTTGCGAACTTCTGGAGATGCACCGCTTGGGTAAAGTCGTCCAATTACCAAGAGAAATGATATCAGAATATGTTCAACCCTACTTCGAGTCTAAAGCTAGGGCCCTCCGTGCAGTATGGAGTATAAAGTCAGCCCGATTCGAATCTCCTACGGCCAACGGCAATAGGTTGAACGCAAGAAGCAGAGACAAAATATCTACTGTTCAGACTCCCGAAAAGAAGAGGAGAAAGACTAAAGTTGAATGGAAGGATCGATGGGTTGTCATAAATCACGGCACGTTATCTCTCTGCAAGGACTCATCCGTGCGTCCTTTGAATATACAGTTATTGCATTGCGTGCTTACCTTCAAGCTACCAGGGCGGGACCCCTTTGCATCGTTTCCCACTGACATCATTATGCGCGCTTCGTGGCGCAGAGTCTCTTGCAAGAGCTTGCTCCATCATTGCAGAGCAACGCGTTGTTTGCCTCAAGTTTCAAGGCAAGGAAATTATGGCATCTACGGTCTCTGCCTCTTCACCACCCATGTCTCTCCCCTCGTCTCCGATTACAGAAGACTGGAAAACAGACGTGCAAATTGAAGTAACAGATATTACCCCTCTACCAGACAAAGCTACTTCAACCTCAAAAGAACATCCAAACAAGAACTCCCCGTGCTCCGACTATAATCCGGAAGACATCTGCCGTGGGGAAGGCGAATGGCTCGTCCTCGATCTGCTCGATGACCATGGTATTCGATTTACTTCACATCGTCCGTCTCTCTAACTGTCCACTTACACAGCTTTCTCCAACATCCTCCGCATCCTTCACCGCTACACGTCTCATCCAATATCATCATCGTTCCTCCCCACCTCATCAATCATCACAGTCGCAAACTACTGGAACAATGTCTCTTCTCCAGCTCTCACGCCTTTTGTTTACTCCTCCCCATACGATTCTCTTCCATACCCAGAATGGCGCACAAAAACAGTCGAGACTGCGCGCAAGGCTGGTATGGGGGACGTCGGAAAACCCCTCGCACTAGTCCTACGGTCTGAAAATACCTGCCGAGACACCTCGTTGCATGATATCCGCAGTCCGCGATTCACTTTCTCGCAAGGGATGAGTCATAAATCTTCCATTAGTTCTTTTGCGCCACACTCGGACTCAGAATCAGACGAAATCGATGGAGAGAGCGAGATGGAGTGGGAGGGTTGGATGAGAGATCTAGAGAGGCAAGGATGTGTGAAGCAACATCACATTCGTCATCAGAAAATCATCCATTCTCCTAGTGACTCCGAGTACCAACCGTCAAGTTCCTCACCCCTACCCACCCCATCACTTTCAGAGGCATCCTCTCAAGGCTCCCCAAGGGGCCACTCACCCCCGCACTCACCCCCCACATACCCCACGATCAACAATGTCATCCAATGCGGGGACCCTTTTTCCCGCACTTCTCTCGAATTACGTATGCCTGGGAGAATCAATAATACAACAGTTAGCACCGTGAGCGTGGGTACCGCCCCGCAAATGTCTCCGCGGAGACGGTCTTCAACGCTCACACCAGGCAGCTTATCCAGGCTAATGAAAGACAGGGAAAGGGGAGACGCTATGCATCCATCGACTGCTATTAATGGCTCGCGTACAGGAGCGCCATCATCGTCATCATCAAGAGGCACCCACATCCGACACGCGTATTCAGGATCCAACCTCCGTTCAGCCCCGACAGATAACTTCCATCGCGTACAAGACGCAGAAGCCTCCAATACTGGAAAGAAGAAAGTTGGTATCGTAAGAGGTATGTCGATGCGGGCGGAAAAACTTGTAAGGGGACTGGACGCTGCTATAGACTTGGTTCCTTAGTTGTTGGTTGTTTTACTCTCTCTTGCTTTTTTTCTCGCCTAGGTTATTATGCGCGGAACTGGTATTTATTAAGATCACCTTTGGAATGTATATTACGGTTGTAACTTATTATATTCAAGTAATCCGTTCACCTGCGAGTCAATGTACAGAATGCTATTGAATCAGCACAAGCTGTCTTTCCAGCATTCCTCCTTCACCAATGCGAGCATGAGTAGTTTTCATCCGATCCTGTGACTCATCAGCATGTCAGACGCTGAGTGTTTGGTTGTGAACAAACTTCACCACTCCTGGTCGGTGATCCCTGGACAAGTCACTCTGACTGTATCAATGCCATCGCCGTTAATCCTGCTGTCACTTTCTCCATGGACGGCAACTACATCCTCAGTGGAGGTGCTGATAAAATGATCTCGACGAAGTGGGCAGTACCTGAGGGTATTCGTTCAAAGGTATGTTTCCGTCCTTGAACTCATATACCGCAATTTGAACATATTTTGTGCAGATCCTAACCAGCACCACAGCTCGCGATGCATCCATATATTGAAACTTGTCTACCGCCAAAAATATCTAACACCGATGCGAACAGCCATACTCTGCGTGTTTCTGTCCCTACTAGTACTCATATATACCACAACTCGTGCATGTTTTGTGCAGATCCTAGCTATCACGTCAGCCCGTGAAGCATGCATTTATGGAGACTTTTCTACTGCTGAAGAACTACTCACGCAAGATATCAACAGCTATCCAGACAACCATACTTCCTACGCCCATCACTCGTTCGTTATGGCGCAGAAACACGACTAGAACCGCGCCCTTCAGGATACAATTAAGGTGAGATTCACCGACGCATCATGGCCCCTTATGCCATGGATGGCTAACTCGACTGTGACAAAGTCCGTCAGCATTCAACCCTCATTAACAGGCTATATCTCCAAGGGCATTGCCCTCTGCGGAAGTGACAGGCCATGTTCGGAACGCGAGGGTAGTATTTGATGTTGCATCAATGTACACAGAACAAGATTCGCAAACCATCTATTTCCTGTTTTTGATCAAAGTATGTTACATTTGCCTTACATACGCTCCGCTTTATCCCATATTTCAGGTCATCGCACTCTTCAATGCAGATCAACACGACGAGGCAAACCTGCTCCTCAAAGAACTTAATACCGGATGTCCGAATGCTGATAACTCGTGCATATCATATCGTGGAGGTAACGACAATGTACCCTGCATCGACACTAATCTTTGTAACTTGCATATTAGGCATATCTACGCATTCAGCTCGGACTCAAAACCTTGGACAGCACACGTCACGACGAAGTCGCTGAGCATTTCACTGCTGCTCTCAACTCCAGCGCTTTACCATCGAAATCTGGTGTTCATGACATTTACGAGGATTTGGTGGTGGTACGTTAGGATGATGTGTGTATAATGTTCTCAATAACTAAGTCCCTTGTCCAGCTCTTCGGCTGGAATCTCAAATCATTGTGGCTCACTGCACGCCAGAAACGGTGTGATGCACTCCTTCAAGCAGATAAACTTCTAGATGCCATCGAATCATACCGATTCTTGATGGGCGATATCGACGAAAAAGCGAAGGCCAGCTGCCTTCAATGGTCTAACGGCAAGTCTAGAGTTCGAAATGTCGAGCATGCTGTGATTCTTACCACCATTTCACTCAGCTTTCACAAAAAATGCAGCGCGCTAGTTCTTACCAGGGGAGATGCTGCCCTCGCTACAAGCGATTTTAAAAGGGCTATTGACCTCTACTCTGCAGCGATTGACCTAACTCCTCCATCTGATGCTGTCTTTGCAAAGCGTAGTCAGGCAAAGCTGGGGAAAATGATGTGGATGGAAGCACTTCTCGATGCGCAGAAGGTGCGATAGCATTTATTGTTTCTTCACATACACTCATCGTGATACACAGGTCATCCGACTCAATCCTTCATCTCATAATGGGTACAAGTTGAAACACGCAGCGTTTCATGGCGCCCAACGCTATGATGAAGCTATTACGGCCTTTAAAACGTGGACGAAAATTGGACGATGCTCCTGACGCTGAGAAGCTACCAATGGCTAGGCAGCTGGACCCGACTGCAGTTTGTTCATACCCGCATCGAGTACATAAATTGAAAAGCCTGGCTCCGACAATCAATTCTCTTCCAATGATGGAGTAGATTGCATCGCACTACTAAATATTGTTAGTACGCTGGTTGGTAATGCATGAGAACTAGGCACCTGTAAATGTCGATCGTGCGCAATATCATCCTGCTTTGCGTTCATGCGTTGCGATGCTTGAGGCGAGTCTGAATTTCACATTCCTGCCTATAATCCTGACGATGCACACTCATGATTATTTCCACTACGAAGGTATGTTCACGCGTCTACCTTGCAATATTGAATTGATCTCTTTGACATATTTTATTCTTGCTATGGATCTACATGCAAACCTGATCACTTTTCATTTGCGCTCACATCAGCCTCAGGCGTGTCTTCGAGTTCCGGGGGGCGCATTATGCAAAGAAATTTGGATTCAAAATCTACAAAGTGCCGATATACAATACTGGCCATCATACATTTGTCGTACATATACGAAAATATGGAAAAATTGCCAAGAGATTAAAGAAACAAGAGAAATCGTGCCTACATGTTACAAAAAAAGAGCAGTCTAACGTCTGTCGAGTACATATCGATAAAAGGAAGATGCGTCCATAAGTCACAGGCGGTCCATGATCTGCCAAGTAGATACCGGTAAGAGAAATACAAAGACGAAAGAAATACATCGAGCCATTTACATGATGGCGAAGATAAGAGAAGAAACTTGAGATAGATGGATGGGAGCCGCGGGTGTGGCCTTCAACTCCAAATCATGAGACAGGAAGGAGGCCGTCATCTAGTTGCGGTTGTGTCGGATTCGGTCGTAGGGGACATCCGACATCGAAGACTGCAGAGATATACAGGCGGCGCGGAGAGATAGATCGTGCGCGGCCAGCGGTGGCCTTCAACCTCGCGGGCAATGAAGCTCCAGGTCGTAGGGGACAGCGAGGGAGGCCGTTGCAGGTCTTCGGTATTTGGTCGTAGGGGACCTGAGGAGTAGCGATGTGCATAGTAAATATGTCAGTCTTGAATAATGTCGATCGAGATTCCTGGGTTGGGCGTATTCCGGTGCAGAGGCTGTGAGGCAGGCGACAGCGCAGAGGTGAGTCCAAGCTGGGACATGGCAACTGCCCAGCCGTCGACAAGAGCGGTTTGGTCGGCGAGGAGATCGTTGTGCAGTTGTTCAAGGTGATCTACTTTAGGTCAACAAACAAAGTGGACGTTCCCAAAAATCACTCACCTATGATAGCAGTGTGTTCCACTTGTTGCTTAGCGTAAGCGCGTTCGATGCTGCCACGGACAGCGACCACGCGTATGGATCTAGACACATGCTAAAAAAAACAATGAGTGTGGCACTTTGTTTCACAAAGAATGTCCATACCTTGTCTCTGCCCGGGCGGAAATTCCGATGCCGTTTCGTATCTGGGGGTTTCAGCTGAGGCGAGACAATCTGAGGCATGATGCTGCCGAGAAAGGGTGTTGTGGTCATTTGAGTCGAAGCGTCCACAAGAAGCGAAATGTCGGTGGTCGTCGGTGGTCCGTCCTCTGGGATGATCGGCTGGAGCTGCGTCCGTTGACTCGGAGAGGGTCCAGTCAAGTCATCGTCGTCCTACAAAAATTCAAACATTAAGCGACAAAGCTGAGCCAACTGTACGACTTCATACCTGGGGACAAGTGCTTTCCTGAATTTCTGCGTCAGAGAGATCCCTCACGAAATCATTATCGTGGTCAACAAGAGTAGTGTCAGAATCGATTGAGAGGCGCTTGGCATTTTGAACAGGTGAGGGCGGCAGTGTTGGCGTGCATAGTGTTGGACATGTAGATGGCGAAGTACAGTAGTCGGAGTCATTTGCAATGGGGTTCGGTGAAGTTAATGGCAGGCATGGCGTACTAGTAGTGCTGCAAGATTCGGTTAAAATTGGATTTGATGAAATTAGTTTTGATGCAGTAGAGATATCGAATACTTTCTTGCAGATGAGAGGCGCGTTGAGCTCGGCCAAATTGTGCTTCGGAGGGAATTGAGCTTCTTTACTGAGGATTATGTGGGCGGTCCTGTGGGAAGCTAGAACTAGGGCCGCAACAGATATACATAATTCGGATATAACGAGGCCAGCGGTTATGTTCTCCGCTTCTTTGACGGCCTTGGTCGTGCGATCCACCACAGTATGTTTGAAAAAGAAGGCTCCGAGGCACCCAGCGACGGTGACATGGGCAGCACTGTCGAAGATAGCGGAAATCATGTTGTAAGGCGAGTTGAAGTTGAGAATAAGTCGTGAAGAAAGTAATGCACGTAAATCGAGGACAGGAAATGGGAGGTATATCTCGCGGGCCTGCTGTTCTTATACTCTGCCTTACGATTAAATCAGCACTGCCATGAAATAAACAAGCTCGATCGCGACGCGTCTAGTCACGTGTAGGCAAAATCAGTTTATGTCAGCATTGTGTCACACAATGGAATGGCCCGAATTGGGCCTGAACATGTTCAGAATGAGATGATGATTAAAAACTGCCATGTCCATCCGAAGATGAGCTTCAGTCATCGGTCTCCTCGCTGCAAGGTGTTGTAGTACATTCGGCTTTGAAATTATATCAGACACACACTTTTTAATCCTATCTATTATCTACAACTTATTGCATTGTCCCAGCAACTCGAAGAAGCTTGCCTTGAATTTGGTGAACTTGGGCTCTCGTTTGACCTGTCAAAACGACTGCAGGCATTTAGAGCTTGTGTGCACATATGTGGTGATAACGCATAGCCTCGGAGGGGTCCCGACGTTATGCATTATGAGCAAGTGTATTGTATTGATTTGACGACATATCACATTGAGAGCAGTATCAGTAAACAGAAATTCCAAGTGATGATAATGAAAGCAAGCAGAATGCAATGAGTATCTTGCAACTGTGAATGACTCCGAATGACGAGATGGATGGGGCGCCCGAGCCATCGAGGTCCTCGTCTTTCACTCTTCGTCACTGTCGAACGCCAGTTCGTTACCAATCACGTGTTTTATGTATTTTTCTATCAGTGGATGACTTCCGAAGCAGGCATTGCGCTCATGGGCGGTTGATGTCTCTGAGGGTAAGACGACAGTGTCTGATGTGACTACGGAGGCGGGAGATGACCGTGATGACTCAATGTCATAGCCGACCCGTCGACGACGTGGTAAAGGAGGTTGGCCTGGGATTCTCTTGTGATATTTAATGATTCTAATCAAAGCTCGATCATTACTAGAGAGACTTACCTCCATGATGTAGCGACAGATATACAAATGACCAGCTTCGTCCTTCTCTCTGTGCGCCTTTGGAGATAAAGTTTTAGTGCACACTCATATCTATAGTCGCGGAAATGACTGTACATGTGTAACGATGTACAAGCCATCATACCGATAACCATTGTAGGGCGCAAAATCAGAAACAATTTTCGAGCTCCGGACGACGCGCACGGGTTTGCCTGTGTAACAAGATTTCTGTTGTGCCGTCATTTCGCGCCTTACATTCATTGGGGATAGAACTCACATGAAGTGCTTCATTTCCCCAACCCTTCCATTCCTGGTCAGAAACCTGCGGGCCTGGGCGTTTCTTGGAAAATTTGATGGACGATCATATTATAGGAGGAAGAAAGCAACTTACAGGCCAACCGTCATTGTAGATACCACCCCCTAACGGTACTAAGCCGGCATACAATATTGTAGCCCATATTACGAATACTTACCTGAGCCCACATAAAGGCTATACACATAAGATAAGTCAGACAATCGATTGAGCTGCGCTGCGGTGCTTACATCATGTCGCCTAAGTCCTGGTCATCGTCATATTGACCCGAAAGAACGATTGAGCAAGCGCCCGATATCTTACTACCTTGTATTCCAGCCTGAGGAGAGCGGTGTACACCAGCATGATAACACTCTTTGCTGCATAGACAGATGAGGTGAGTGGTATTGTCAAACGAGGATTAAGAATACGCACCGAGTCCTCCACGTGGCGCCAATAGGTACTCCTTGAATCTTACCAAAACGTCGCCTGCAAAGAAAGTGCATGAGCATTGTGATCGAGGGAAGATTTCTGAGGAGCATCACTAACAACATTCTTGCATGACTGGCCCTGTCCTTCTTGGTCGTTTTGCGTGCAATTTTTTTGAACGTTCCTGTATCTCTTCGTCCCCCTCGCTTATGATTACTTCCGGATCTTCCTCCATCATGTTGAACACTTTGCGGGCGATTTTCCCCCCATGCTCTATCTCCTTGTTCCATTTGCTGGTCATTACTTCTGAATCTTCCATTCTCCTTGTCCTCTTTGCTGGCAATTTCGTCTTGATATTCGTCCATGTCCTTCTCCCTGCTTGTAATCTCATCGTGATTCACCTCTATCTCCTCGTCAGAGGTATTGTAGAGATCTTCGACTCCAGGTCGTTCTGAAGCGCTCACGTAGTCCATTATGTCGTTGATGACTGTCAATATGATGGAAATAGTTACACGAGGCCAACATGAGGCTCATATACATAGAATGTTGCTCGTGACGCGTCGGAGTTTCGAAAGGGGTGATCATTGAAAGGCCAGGTTTGGGTCAAGCTGCCCCTTCTAAGAAAGATTTGATCCCACCGGCACTGGATAAGACAAGGCAGCTGTTGCTGATAGAACTAGGCCTCAGAAGTGGAGAATAACACCTATGGATTCATGGCACGTCGGCAGTGCGGTCGATGGCAGCCGATATCGACTTGCATCTGCTGCCACAGAAAGAAGCAAGCTGGATGATGGTGTCAACTCACTTTCATCATGTTTCATGCGAGCTCTGACAGTCTACATCCATTTCTGAATTGCGAAGCTTTGGGTTATACAGATAGAGGTTTTGTGGCATATTGCATAGATAAACCTAAATCAGAGAGCGATATCAGCCCGACAGATATTTCAAATGATCCTACAAGTAAATGAGATGAAAAAAGTAGAAAAATTGGGACGCTTTACGGTCCTGATCGATCCGCTCCAAGGAACGAGGTGAATGAGATTGAGAACAATGAAATTGACAGACCATAGCTTCGAACGCATGCAAGTGCTGGCCAAGACAACTTATCAACCTGATACAGGGCATGTATTGATATCTGAGGCATACGGCAGCGGGTTGTTCACGCGTCCACGTCAGGCAGTCCGACCAGGCCGAGAATTGATGTGAGGTGGTACCATGAGGAGTAGTAGTCCTCATACGTAGAAGAGAACGTGAAGGGCAACTATGGCGATATGTTACTAGCGATAATGCATGATGGGGCCGGTGGCAAGACAAGTTCAGTTGGAATACGATCGTCGATGGACTCCAGTCGTTTAGAAAAACTTGCGTTTTTCAGGAAGTCTGAAGTCAAAGACCAGATGCAACATTCCTCAAACATTCCTATTCGTCATCACGGTATATCGATGGGGCTGGCAGAGGCGTTGCCAAAATGCGAAGTAGGAAGAACTTGGGAGAAGTTACGAAGGACATTGTGCAAGTGATCTGGAGGCAGAGCGCGAATAAAATGGATAGCGTACTGGTACATGGATGCCCTTCTATATTTGAAGATACTGTTCGGAGGGCAGCCGAGGTAACGCCGACAATATTATTTACATTGTTTGGCCCAACAGCCAATTGTATCTGTACCATCATGTCTTAGTTTCGGATTTCCAGAATCAGAATCTATCCCTTTGCTTTCATCCGTCCAGGTGTCAAAATTAACGGACAACCTCCCGATGATTCTCCTCCACCCCACCTTTCAATTAGAGGATTCAAACTATCCAGAACTCAAGAACTCAAAAAAGAGTCTCCCCAGTGAAATTATGCAGCGCCCCGCAAACACCCCGGCCGCATCTATTGATCTCTAATGAGTGCGTGTTGAGTCTATCAAGGATCTTCTTGGAAGGGGTTGTGATGACTCGGGATCCCAGCTGGCTTCTACGCGATAGTACAGGCTGATAGTGCTCAATGGCGGACAGTGTCATAGTAGACTAATACGTCGAACGTAACGGGCAGATATACTTGTAAGTTGTGACTTCCTTCGTCCAGAATAAAGGTTATTCAATCCATCTATGTAGAGCTTTAAATCGTTCACGCACTTCCATGAATGGTTACGAGACATCGTATTCAATCACACATGGTGCTACCTTGTATCCTGCTATGCCGAGCAAAAGGTCGTCCGACGAAAGTTGAAGTTCTTAATTTGCACTCGCAAATGGACATTCTGCCCTCCTTTCCGCATTGGTGCATGTGGATAGCTTCATAGCCCCTCGTCCACGCTGTCATTCAGTACTCGGATTGCAGCCCTATCAGTTGGAATTATAATGAGCGTGCTATGAGTTGCGTGTTCTCTGACATCGCTAGCTACTTCGTGGTATCCTCGAGTGAACGGTTATATCAAAGTATGATTTCTATCTGAAAATAATTGTGATGCTTTGAATTGCTATATGATATCAACCCTCCCATACTCACGGCAATGGTAAGAACTACTTTGGGTTTGACAATACAATGGGTATCGAAGGTAAGTCTCTTTGCACGTTTACAAATCAAAATTGCGACTGACCGCGCATATAGGCCTCTGTAATGCCACGCACATTCATATATGCTGTTTTTTCACCGCGCAACTTTCCGCTATGATACATCAGCTGTCTAATTGGGCTTGAGGTCGTTTACTGTTCTCACAAGTGGGTACCGCTGCCAAAGCTCACAGTTGTAGTTGAGTGTGCCGTGACCACACATCACAACAATGACATTGTCACGATGCTTGGAACCTCATTGGAGTTGTACTGCTGCACATGTAAAGTCGTAGCTTGCCGTGCTAATCGTTTCACAAAAAAACATGTAATGCCATATTCTTTAGTGAAGATACGCTGGTGCTTACATTATCGTCAGTCTAGGCATACAAAGAATGACGTGTTGCGAAAGGCTCAAGCTTTGTTCTTGTGGATCGACGTACGCATAGTGCTTTGGCACAACAGTGGATTTCACATGGAATTTACGGAGGCCATAGCTACGTTTTCTATGGTGGATACTTCAGGTGCTTACCTTTTGCGACACAATGGTCGGCGCACAATGCGAAATCGACATGCCAATGCGCGTTCACAGACACGCTTTTTCTAGCGCTTTTCCGAGTCCACTCGCTGTGAGGTATAAAAGTAGGCGCTGTTCTCTCCTTCACTTCTGTCGTTTTTTACTCTATCTTCTTGTCTTCACATTACTGGTTCAGTTCATCAAAATGTTCCTGTAAGTCTACTCACATGTCAATTTGGTATCTTTATATACCAACGATACCTTTCACATTTAGTCCCTCATGCTTCACTGTTGAAACGCTGGATAGGTCGGTGTTCGATCTCGATTTGGCTGGCGCGGGCCATCTCACAATTTTTTCCAGCGAGCCTATCATGATGTTAAATAACTCCGAGGACCTCCCGGAAATTGAACTGGATGTATCGCATGATTTGTCTGAAATTGACCAGTTGTAAGTCTACTCACATGTTAATTCGGCATCTTCATATGCTAATAATGCCTTTCGCATCCAGTCTCTTGGATGATAGTCTTCAGGTGTTATTTGATACGTTAGTGTTCAATATCGAGTTGGACCATGCAGTTTATCTCATAATTTTCTTAATAGATCTATCTTTATGCCAGACGACCTCCAGCCATCCGCTGACGATTCTCAGGGCCTTCTAGAAATGCTTCTTCTGAATGAATCAGATGGTGTTATTCCATTATCTGGAGAAGTCGCTTTTGACATACTCTTGGGATCAGAATTGTGTGTAGTTCTACCTCGTTTGAAGCATCAACTCAAACTGACGGCCTTTGGCAGACTGATTGACATCGGGGATTTACAATATGCTACAACACTCGTCGGTAAAAACGCACTGACAGGACCAGACGCTGCTGAAGTTGATGGGTAAGTTGATCCATTTGGCCTCCCTGGGTCATGCATCTTACATTCAATCACAGATCCATCTGTCATGAATTACCAGTGCTACAACAAGGGTATGTGCCACGCAAACTGTGTCCCCACCATAGCTTATTTGTTTCTCTAGGGCTGAGGATGTCCAAAATCCCCTGTCATTGATCAAATCCACCGCTCCAGTAATCAGTTCTCCCCCGGCGCCGCCCATCGATCTGAGCCGCTTCGACCCGCAGCCCTTTACACCGACGACATATGCTAAGTCTCAGAAGCGCAAAGCTCGCCAGTCCATTGAAGTCGAGGTTGATAGTGCGTGTTCGTCTTCCCTGCGCAAGCGCAGATGTCTGTACGAAGCTTCTTAGCGTGCTTTCCTCTCTTTGTCATCGCTTGGTGTACTTTCTATGTAGTTGGGTTTTATGGAGTGTTATGCTGCGTTTGTATACTATCCATGGTGTGAGTTCGGTGTAGCGAAAATGGAATCATGCACTTCAATGGGGCATCGTTTTGTGTTTGCTGTCTTGACGTCATCATTGAGTTGAAAACACTCTCACTAGTCAGTAAAAAAATCTCGATTTGGTTGTGGTCTGGATCGTCCTCGGCGTTACACTCTTGCAACTCAAGCGCTTAACGTTCAACGTCTACCTTGATCAGTTTTGTCAACCTTCTTTAAAAACCATGAGCTGGAAGGGCAAAGCAAAAGCCACAAACCAAGATTATGACGACTTGCGACCAACCATAACTTACAGACACCTTCTATCCAATAACCTCGGTGTTAGAGATCCCCTACGTGTTGTCGCCCTATGCGATAGTGACGCCTTCTACGCTGCCTGCGAACGCATCCGACTTGAGCTCGACACGAATGTACCAATTGTTGTACAACAATGGGAGAGTATCATAGCAGTGAGCTACCCTGCACGCGAATTTGGCGTATCCCGCATGGACAAAATCAAGGATGCCAAGAAGAAATGTCCTAATCTACTTGCAGTGCATGTTGCGACTTACAAGGAGGGCGAGAAGGAGCCCGGATACTGGAAGGATGTCGATACGCGCACTCACAAGGTATGTTGTGCATTCTCTAAGGCTCCGAACGCGACTGAAGTCAATTTCTTGTTGTTGCATATTCAAAAGGTATCCCTAGATCTATATCGCCGTGAAAGCAACAAGATCATCAACATGTTCAAGGAGGCTCTTCCGACCGGTGAAATTGGTGAGATGCGCACGATACTTATATCATACGTTCAACTGATGTTAAAGCAAGAGAAAGCCTCTATCGACGAAGCATTCATAGACTTTACTCATCCTGTGAGAGAAATGTTACTTGAACGATATCCATACCTTGCCCAAGTCCCTGCCAATGCACCAAATGGGTTGGACAGCCCGCTACCATCACCACCTCCAATAAACTGGGATGATCTGGGAACAGTCTTACCACCAGAGGGAACCGATGGTGCTGGCGAACAATCTAGCATTGAAGTTGATGGTGGAGGGACATGGCACGACGTAGCGTTGTCAATTGCTGCAGAGTTGATGAGAAAGATTCGCGAAGACGTACATTTAAAGCTAGGCTATACAACTTCTGCTGTAAGCGCCATTTCGTTCTTGTCAGGGAGGTTGTAATCATCTTACGCACAATCGATACAGGGGATTGCTCGTAATAAGTTTCTTGCGAAGGTTGGTGCTCTTCTTCCCTCGGTCGATTATACTCAATCTCTCGCAGCTTTGCGCCTCTTACAAGAAACCCAGTAGTCAAGTCAGTCTTTTTAAGTTCCATGCTTGCAACGATAATCAAACCAACATATATAGACCATTCTCCGGAACCAAGCAATCCCAGGTTACCTCCACCCCTTGCCCTTTCAAAAAGTATGTTTCCAATCTTGACATATATTGCCTGCCTTGACTATTAGACATGCTAGATCCGCTTCCTCGGTGGAAAGCTCGGGGATGCCCTTGCGAAAGAGTATGATGTTTCAACTGTGGGTGATTTGTTGTGAGTAATAATCAATTCTTTTCGATTTCTATCTCTTTCTCACCATATTAAAGAACGATTTCACTAGGTAATGAATGTTGTGTTCATTTATTTTAGTTTCTTATACATGGCAGATGAAATACAAAGTAAGTTCGGTGAGAATGCGTTATGGGTATATGAATTACTTCGGTGAGATTTTCATTTGTTATACCCAGCGAACTTTCATTCATCATGCAAAACTAGTGGCATTGACCGCACTGAAGGTATCTCAAAGTGACCTGGCCACACTTTTCGCATTTACAACTAGTTCGTAGTCAAAGAAAAGTCTGCACTCTTCAAGAGCATGTTGGCGTCAAAGAACCTTCCGAAGCCGATAACACGGCCCTTGGATGGACACCAATGGATCAGGGTCCTTGCTGCAGAGCTGGCGTTACGACTCAATGATGCGAGAGAGTCGATGCCGACGCTCTGGCCCAAGACCATTGTGCTCCATACTCGCAAAGGTGATTTAATCTTACAGAATCGGATGTTATTTGCTGAGCTAGTAACACGTTAGGATACGAAACATCGCGATCCAAACAAGCAACGTTTCCTTTCGTCCGCAATGTGACAGTAGACGTGATTGCGACGGCCGCGGACAAGCTATGGAAAGAGCTCACTGGCGACGCAAAGATCGTCAATATCTCATCGGTCCAACTTGCATTCACTGGCCTGGAGAAGGCTGAGATGGGCCAGAAAAGCATCGAAGGGTTCTTCACAGCTCGAGACATCCAACAACAAACATCCCTCAAACGTTCGCATGAGGAAGATGAGCCTCTGGTCCCGCTTGAGAATACTAATCTGGCTCTGCCCGAATTTAACGATATCGAGGCAGTTTCATTCAAATGTACACGATGTCATAAGACGATCGCACTTCGAGAAGGCCAATCAACAGGTGGTCCCAAGGAAGTAGCACAACGATTGGCAACGTTACGATCGGAACACGGCGACTTTCATTTTGCACAGGACTTGGCAAACAGCAATGAGGGGTCGGTGCCTGTACCTCGCGGTTCATCGTCGAAACGAAAGAAAGTGGAACCAAAAGGGATTGAGAAGTTTTTTATCAAGAAGTAGGCCGCTTAGTGGCATGTTGCAATCGGGGAGAGGCCATTGATGATATTTGTATGATAATCATGCCTCTGTGCGAGAAAATGAATTGGATCGCATGGAGTGCACAGATTTACACAGGTATGTCAGTATGTTTTGGAGGCAGTGTAGAAAGTGGCTGTTTTGATTGATCGCCACTGCATTCTAGAGCGTGGGCATCTCATGCCATCAAATCTCACTTGCCGAGCCCCGACACAGTCATATGAAGGGAGAAAGGATGGTTCGATCAAAACGCTGTCATTCGTCGTCTTTCGAAGTTCTTTCTGCGGACTGTGTCCCACCTTTCGACCTCTGAGAGGCACGTTTTCGCGGCTAGTCCGTCATTCTTCGTCCATTTTCTTCTGTCTGCGACAGCTGGCCGTTTGCTTGGTCTTTTTCATTTCAAGAACCCGCGAAACATACGTTTTTCATTATCATGCTCTCGGATTCTCGTTTCACACCCTTCTTCACTGCTCAGGCAAATGGACTAATCGTGAGTCATTAGCACGAATTATCACGAGTAGCGTCTGATGATCATAATCAGGTTGTTCCCGTTTTTGCCTTGCTATCTGCATTAGCGCTCGCTTTCATAGTTTTCAGGAGTATCCGTCTTGTGGTGATTCCCTTATTCCGGCGTGACGGATTGGCGTGCAGAGCTCCGGAGAACTTATTCTTCCGTACTCAACTGGGTCATTATGCTGCCTCCCTTGTTTTAAGCAATGTTTTCCTCACCGCAGCTGGGCTAATGGAATTTTTCTGGGTCAAACAATCTGGGATCCATCAAGGTAGCGCCTTCGGTATTCAAACTACATACATTGTGCTGACGGCTATCAGGTTCCATGTGCACTTTTCAAGGTATTTTGAACCGATAGTGCTATGATTAGATACTGAGTCATCTTGTGACCAGCTGTTCTCATGCAGATCGGTAACTGGTCCACCTGTTTCTTCTCTGTTGCTATCGGTGTCCACACGTGCAACTCCCTGGTGTTTCGTCTCTACCAAATTAGTTACCTGAGTATTGCCGTCATCGCCTTCGGATGGATCATGTCGCTGGTGATTGGTAAGTGACGCTACAACAGCAACCGAGTTGATATCATCTCATGTCCGTTCATATCTACAGCACTGGCACCTATCAGCCAAGCTGGTGTCTATGGCCCTGTCATCGTTTCCTGTGGCGTCACGACGGCGTATCCCAGCAAGATATTTGGGCTTGAAGCTTTTCCAGTATGGTCTATTCCGGTCTGACCTGATAGGGTCTAACTCATTGCGAATAGATCATTTTCGTCTCTGTGCTTTTAATCATTGTTTACTGCCCGATATTCCTTTTTCTCCGGGGTATTCTGCATATTAGAGGGGGCATCAAGTTGACTTTCAAGGCTCAAGGACGATGTTGCGCTATGACCGACTCGGAGGAATACCGCCGCTTCATGACAGCTGTCGCAAAGACGATGTTTTGGTGAGTTCCTGTGCACTTATGCTCGTTCAGGTTATTCATCCGTTCGTTGCAGGTACCCTATCGGTTCGTGACCTCGCATAGATCGAGTTTTTCCGTCTTGACTTCCTATCTAGCATTCATCTCCCTCTCGTTGCCGATCGCGGTAGCAAATATGGCACAATCCTCTGGTCGTGTCATCCCATTTGGAGCAGAGGTATTCGCACATGTATGCTGTTCTATGATTGGTTGGTGGTCCGGGTTTCAACATGCGTCGCAATAACTGATTGGTGTTCTAGGGCTTGTCAATGTCGGTATTATGTACAACACCTTTCGTGTGCTCAGTCCAATTTTCCATAGTTCAACACTGCCAAAGATTCAGGTTGATACAGAGAAGACTTTTGGAAACAACGCGTCCGACGAATCACCTATTCTTCCCCCAGCTGCTCACATGCCCAAAGGACCGCTTTTGCCTCTGTACAATGACACAAAGGAAATATCCCCAGTCTCACTGTCAGATTTCCCGCCAGTTAAATATCACTCTCGCAACTCAAGTACTGATTCCGCGACCCACTTGCTGAGCACCAAGAGGACACCTTCGAGGTTTCACAAGATGAGGGTCAGGCAGGGCGAGTCATTGCTGCCTCTGTCTCGTACCATTCTCATACCTGCGGAGCTCAATCGTCAGCTCGATGCTGCATCGGATACGGAGAGTCTCAAGGGTCGCAACCTTCGCATCAACCTGCCTCAGATGGCTGAGGTCAACACATCTAGAATGGCTGTTGTGACTGTCAGCCTATCGCCTCCACCTCGTTCGGCTGCTGCATCGGTGGTCACCGCCTCTCCAATTGCTACGTCTATCCAATCCACAGATGCTCCTCCCATCATGAGGCAGTTCACTGCGGCCTTTGGGAGGCCGAGCCGCAAGTTGTCTATATTTGGGCCGCGGTCAAAAGGCAGTGGTAAGTTGCCTCTTACTCTTACTGTTGGGCCGCCACTTTCGCCTATCCCTGCCTCCCCGTCTGTGAAGAGTTCAACAAAGAGTTTTGTCTCCCGGCTCCGCGTACCTTCTACAAAACGCAGACCTACTCCGTTGGATCTCACTGATCTCACTCCTATCCCTGTCATTCGGCCCCTACCTGCCATTACTACAAAGACTGAGGCTCTTCAGACAGTTAACAAGGGTACAAGCAGAGTTCCTCCATCGCCTAAAACTCTTCTAGAAAAGGATGACATGTCCTATTCCTTCAGACCATCGCCTCAATTCCCTCGCAACAGTACAGCGTCCTCATCTTCTAGTGAACGCAGTCGCCCCGAACCTGCTGCGTCTGCTACCCCCCATCCACGTCACGGCTCAATATGGTCTCACTTATCCATATCTTCTATATCTTCCTTCCTGGACAGTCATTATAGCACCTATTCAACAAGTCCAGTTGACGGAGGAAGCGAGAAAGTTCTGCCGAGCATTCCACTGACGCGCGGCAATACCATCGAAAGCATCAACTCCGACTCGTCTTCGTCCCCTTATTTCGAGACACGCAAACAGGCCTTTAAAAGTGAGAGATCAACCTGGACAACGGTCTGGTCGCAGGATAGTGCTATTTCCTTAAGCCAGTCCCCGGACGAAGAGGCCATGCTTGCATATGCATCAATTCTACCTTATGCGAACATAGAGAATATTCCAAGGAAACAGGAAGTTTCTTCTGTACCTCGCGCTCCGATACCACCTGCACTTCGGACAGGCAATTCGACAGCAAAGTTTTCGGGCATCACGCCTTCGTTGCGGAAATAATTTAGAGAACTGTACCCACGATACTATACGCTCCTTGAGATAACACAAATTACATGCTGATTATAGTTATTACGATGTTTTCATTTACATTCTCTGGCACTATTATTTAAACATTCCACTTACCATTAGATGGACCTTTAAGCTTTAAGCTTAAGCAGCTTCAATTGCAATTGCCTGCACAATTACACATGAAGTGTGATACAATTCGGACTTGCCCAAGATGGTAGATTTGATGACGTATCTTTGAAAGCCCTGCTCTTCTTGCTCTCATATCCCGGTACAAGCCACTAACGCTGCATCAACTATGGCGTTATCAAGTTGGGCAGCATATCTCAACAGGTCAACAAAGTTGCTCAAAGACAGCAGCATTAAAAGCACGCTTGTTTAAACCTTCCATCCTCACCACAAAACTAACAACGCTATGTACACAGTTCTCCGTATGGAAGGTGCAGACGGGCCTTCAAGAGCACCTTTGACGCTCTTCAGGTTAAATTCTAAAGAGGACATCGAACAGTTCGCGACTGGGTGCGATGCAGATATCGGTGGCACGTCCACTGTCCATTTAGAGCTTGACGACTCCGCGGAGCGTAACAAGGGCAGTGGGAGCACAGCTACGGGTCGGTTTTGGGGTGAGATGCGTCTACATGTCAGACCGGAGCTTCAAGGGCGAATCAGAGGTGGATATGCTGGTTTTCGGTCCAAGGTAAATGATAGTTCCGAGCTCGATTATCACACCCGCTTGACTCGATCTCCATACCAGCCTCGCCCGACACTTTTTGGTGAAATGGTTGAAGACGTTTCAAATCACCAGTTTCTTGCCCTGAGGCTACGTCTTGGTGGTGATCCCCGGTTGCGCAACTCGTATTTTGTGAACTTACAAACCGACGGGCCGATTACGACGGACTTGTGGCAGCACCGGCTTTACTTTCAGCGAAATGATGGTGGCTGGGAAGATATATTTGTGTGTCCAATCCGTACTCTGACATGTTCACGGGAACCAACTGATCGCGATGCTTTCAAGATACCGTTTGAAAACTTTATATTGACGAATACGGGTGAATTGGTGCAGCATCAAATTGCGATGATGCGCGAGCGGATACGGACAGTTGGGATATCGCTACTTGGGGGAAATAGCGGCGTTTCTGGCTCCTATGACCTCGGCATTGACTCCATACGGGCGGTGAATGAGGAAGATGTGACGCGGCCTCCATGTAAGTGGTTCTCACTGAAATTTGAGAATTGATGACTCAAAGAAAATAGCGATAGAAAAAGATCCATCCCGCGGCATTTGAAACACTCCACCACATTCCTAAAACAACTTGCATGAGCATCTAACGGTTTCGGTCCATAATCATAAACTATCTATACAATGGCAACCTTTTTGTATCCGACGGGCCTAACGAGTAATAAAACCGCATAAGAACATACAAAGGTCGACAAGAAGCCCATGAGTCAGTCAACAAGGAGCGCGAGGAATAGAAAAGTGTGCCCGGAAAGAAAGTAAGGGTAGGTATATGAATATTCTCATACGACTACACAACCGCTGCAGCATCCACCGTGATCGCCTTCATGAGCGTCGCCTTTGCTACTGTAGACGCCAGGTCCGCCGCCACCGGAGTTAGCCATGACGGGTCTGCCTGTTTGTTGCTCCTGCAAGAATAAATTGCATGAATGAATTGTCAGAAATGAGAAAGGATTCTTACCTTGTTGTACTTTCTTATCTCGCGTACAAGGTTGCTGAATGCCTCGTCGACGTTGATGCGCTGTTTAGCCGATGTCTCGATGAACTTGCAACCGAAGTGCTTTGCTAGGTCACGGCCCTCTGTTCATTGTTAGGAAATAGTACACTCGAACATCAATGAAGACTTGCCATTCATTCCAACTTGTCGCTCATACTCGAGATCACACTTGTTAGCCACAACGATGACAGGGAACGAGTCTTGGTCTTTCACACGAAGAATCTGTTGATGGAAAGTGCTAATTTCCTCAAAAGAATCGCGGGAGGTGATAGAATAAACAAGGAGGAAGCCTTCACCAGTGCGCATGTATTGTTCGCGCATAGCTCTGTGAAAAGTGAGTGAGCGGCAAGGACTATTTATTGGCAGCAGAATATCATTCACCCATATTCCTCCTGACCAGCGGTGTCGAGGACGTCGAGCAATGCGACCTCTTCGTCAATGACACATTGCTTGCGGTACGAATCTATGCTATATTCAGTAAGGATTCAAATGGAAGAGAGGCCATCATACCCTCGATTGTTGGGTCGTATTCGTCAACGAAGTGACTTTGAATGAATTGGATGGTGAGGGCAGATTTACCGACACCTGGTTGAGACAAGTGCTATGTATGAGATGCAGTTCGTCACATTGCTGCATCTTGGTGCTCACCACCGCCGCCGACGACCACCAACTTGTATTCCCTCAAGAACTGCGCCTGTAAATAGAACAATAATGTGAGAACTTCTTTGTGATAGCAGTTACGGTTAGGATGGCACGTACCCTCGACATAGTTTGTCAAGTAAACAAGAAAGATGTAAGACTTGGAAAGAACTTGCCTGATCACAAGGGAGAATAGCTTGGTGAGACCAGATGGAATGATGAACGTAACTCTGTACGGACGATTATAATGCTGCCACGCGAGAACCAAATAAGACCAATTCTAAAGATGTGGCCCGACCCACCCTGGCTATGTCCGTGTGGCCAAGTACTTGTGGCGCATCTTCAAATGCTGATATATCCTCAGGCTTCCTGTGCATTATTGTTCTATTGCAAAACTGGGGTAGCTAGTAATTCCGAGTCCCAGGCTCACTCTCCACCATCATGGACTCGTGCTGAAGGGTCAGGGTCTGCAACTGCAACAACCTATCTATTTCCACTCGCTCGTCATCGCATCGTTTATTTCTTCAAATCGCACAGCAAATCCTCGTGAGATGGTGCCTTCGTACACATCTTCTGGTATGATTTACTATTTTTGGAGTGCCACGACCCTTAAGGCCTTAGGATGGAGTAATCGTGGTGCAGTGCCCTACTACAGGAACTGAGGAACTTCATTGTAAAGGTCCGGGATGCTTTTACCTATGCATCTCAAGTGAACACGCTGCATCATGGGAAGGTTGGTCTTGTGACATTATTCTTTTAACTCGCCGCCTGTAGATCTTTTATAGATCTGCCAGCCTTCTGCAGCACGTTGTATATCCTTCGTCAACCTCACATTAGCGAAAGTGTTCACAAACAATGCATAGCATTTTGAACATACACTCTGCTGAGTTACGCAATGCCTTTGAAATTCTATATCCAAAAGGGATCCGTAGGCGCGTGGATCGTCGACTCACCCTGGGTATAATCAACTTCCATGTACTCTGTCCAAGGCGCTCCGAGGATCCGACCTGTGTATTCAGCAATTTCCGGGGACGTCGCTCAGCGCTATCGAAGCGGCTGCCATTGTCAAATAGAGACGCACTCTTCAAATTTGACATATGTTAACATCATAGCCCACGGAATGTGTTGACTATCAAAGCATTTTTGATTACTGCGAGACTTTTGGTTGGTTGAAGGGACTCGGTTGCGAACTAGATAATATTGGGATGTCCTTTGCACTATTTCAAATTCAAGATTGCTCCTAAAGTTAAAAAGTGATTCAAGCTTTAGATTTGAAGGCCCCCGGGCGGTACAAGCAAGTCAATGTGTCTAGTAGGCACCGGTTTCATGAAGAACTTCATGTGTGAGTTTATTGACTCGTGTTGCACAAACTCGACTCTTTGTTGTCTGAGACATCCCGACCTGGAGACTGACATAGTTCCAGAATCTTAGAGTTGGAGCCACAATCATGATCATTGTGGAGACATGACGCTGAGTTGACGCTGAGCGACATAAGCGTCCATGCAAACCAGTGTGCGTGGCACGTTTACTACTCGTGTGCCATCATGATCATAGCATGCAGCGTGGTTCATGCGCAATCTTAATTTCGACTTATGATGCAATGATCAGACAGGGTACACGCGTCAAGGGAACGGGATCGCGATATCATTGTGTATAACATATGATCATGACGGATCTCCGATTTCAAGTTTTCGAGAGAATGACTTGCCATCAAAGAAGTTCTTTTATTGGCTGGGCTTGTTGCATTCTCTGCAGTGGATTCAGACTCTGCCTAGTGGGAACCTGAATTTCAGCTTCATCTGGCTCGAACGTCGCTGATATGATCTGGGCTGGACAGAGCATTAGCTCGAGGTGGTACGCAAGCAGGTGGAGCCACTCAGGACACCTTTTACGAATTCGATCACATCAACGATTGCTACCAAACGAATATGCATTGAATCAATAAATGAAATAGCTACAGTGTGTAAGTCGACAGTAGGAAAATGAAAGGGAGTGGTGGGTAGGTTTCAAGCAAGTCGAAGGTGCGAGTGAAGTACGACGAACTCGACAATGTGCTGAAGAAGGAAAATCGAATGAAGCTCAGTCCAGGTGCCGGAACATTCCGACGGGCCGCATAACCCGCCAGGGTGAACACGGTAGACTAACCCTGCCAGGCTAACTTTCTCCGCATTAAGGGGGTGAAGAGTTCGAAACGTAATAGTGACTTGCGTTCAACTCGCGCCCAACTATTCACAAAGTTACCGGGGCGCCTATCATCCCGCCAGTTCTATCGCTCCAAACCACAAGCCCGAGCCATGAAACTTAACAAATTTGCACTAGATGGACTGGCAGCTTGTGGTTGACACAAACTCGACATGATAATAGCCCAGGGCTCTGTTACGTGACTACTACGTAGTACGTCTTGACAAGTACTACCAGGGCTCGATTCTCCAACCGACCCGACAAGTGGAACTAGTTTCATTATTATCCAACTGACACTAGGTTCATTCTCCAACTGACACTAGACTCATTCCCCATTTGATACAGTATGTGGTGTTTTGAACACACATATAAACGAGTTGCCCAGCCGTTTTCATTTTTCTACCTTCTCCTACGACAATGGCTTCCACTTACACGTACCAGTTCGATACTGCCGTTTACAAGGGCGCTGTTACATTCCCTACCCAACTGTTCATCAATGGTGAATTTGTCGACCCCATCAATAAGGGGACAATCGAGTGAGTGTCCATGATTAGTAGCACAAGTGGTCAATCATTCTGACGGATCCTTTCAGTTTGATCAATCCGGGTATGACTCCCTGTGCATACAGTCTTTCATCATTTTTACAAGGTTGAATTAGCTACTTGCAAGGCTATTGCCCGAGTTTCAGTTGGAGATCGTGAAGACATCGAGCTTGCAGCACAAGCAGCAAGAGCAGCATTCAAGGAACACTGGGGTTTGAAGGTGTCTGGCGCAGCTAGAAGCAAACTATTACACAAGCTCGCTGATCTTGTCGATGCCAACACTGACGAAATAGCTGCTCTCGAGGCCCTGAACGTCGGTCAGTCAGGCACCCTTTATTAATTGGATCACGCTGATTCGCCATCGCTAGGCAAGGCCTTTTACGCGGCCAAGACAATGGATTTGCCAATTATAAGTTCTATTCTGCGCTACTACGCTGGTTGGGCTGATAAAATACAGGGAAAGAGCATTCAGGTGTGCCTATCGACAATTGCAACACACATAAGTCCCTTTCTGACGAGTTTTAGACGACACCTGACAAGGTTGGCTTTACCCGTCACGAGCCTATTGGGGTAGTCGTGAGTAGTCTCATTACGTTGTAGTTTGGATGTTCACAAGCATGTGGCAGGGCGCAATCGTTCCATGGAACTTTCCCCGTCGGTATCGAAGCTTATGAGGCTATTCTCCACTTACCCCGTGTCTTCTAGTGAGCACGCTTATCATGAAACTCGCCCCCGCACTCGCTTGCGGAAATACCATTGTAGCGAAGCCTTCTGAGTTCACACCACTCTCCGCACTTTTCTTATGCACATTGATCCAAGAAGCTGGTTTTCCACGTGGAGTAATCAACGTTGTACCCGGCTATGGTGACACTGCGGGTCAAGCGGTCGGTGAAAGTATGATAATCGACAAGGTTGCATTTACTGGAAGTACTCTCACGGGTAGGAAGATCATGGAAGCAGCTGCAAGAAGCAACCTGAAGAAAATAAGCCTCGAGTTAGGTGGAAAGAATCCGAGCATCATCTTTGATGACGCGGATGTTGATCAGGCTGTCAAGTGGGCTATTAATGGGATTTTGTGCGTTTTTCAGTTCTTTTCCTCTCATGTCTTGTTCCTGAAGGTCACGAAGCATGAACCAAGGCGAGCTCTGTGTTGCGGGATCCCGGATTTACGTGCAGGCAGGCATTTATGACGACTTTCTGCAAAAGTTCACAGAGAGCGCTCAGAGTCTTCCTGTGGGTGATCCATTTTCCCCGGACACGTTCCAGGGACCTCAGATATCTGAGAAACAATTCGAAGTGAGTGCGCAGCTGAACGGTCTATACCAAATACCGATGTCCGACGTAAGCGTGTCATGGAGTACATCAAATCTGGCCAAGCAGAAGGTGCAACTCTTCGCCTTGGTGGCGAGCGGCACGGCACAGAAGGTTATTTCATACAACCTACGGTCTTCACGGACTGCACGCCCAGCATGAAGATCGTGCAAGAGGAAATATTTGGTCCTGTAGCAGCAATTATGAAATTCTCCGCAGAGGAAGGTTCGCTTATGCTTCATGTTCCCGTTAATACTAATTTGACGGCGTCAAAGAGGTGATTGAACAGGCAAACAATACCACGTATGGGCTTGCGTGTTCGGTTTATACGAAGAATATCGATAGAGCAATGCGTGTTGCAAGCAGCATCGAGGCAGGCACCGCGTGGGTTAGTGTGGGATAGTTCTTGCAACGTTCAAGTCAGCTGATCACGGGTTCGTAGGTAAACTTCACCAATTGGCCAGACCTTGGATTGCCAGTTGGTGGGTTCAAGCAATCTGGTGTTGGCAAAGACCTGGGTGAAGAGGCTCTTGAGAAGTAAGTTAATTTCTGATCTGATCGACGCCCGATGATCTTACCCAGCCTACAGCTACACCAATGTCAAGGCAGTGCACATTAACATTGGCATTAAGATCTAATCCAGTAAACTCAGGCAGTGTGCTCCAATACCACACCTTGACCGCATGACCCCCGGACCGTCATAGATTAGCGAAGCAGTGAACAGGGAAATGTTACTAGCCAATAAAGATCATTGCTGAGCACACTGTCTCCACTCCGAGATTGAGCTTCTGTTGATGTAATGTGCGTGTCCTTGCCCCGAGGATCAATTAGTGCCGGTTCTACGACGTAAAAGCCCGGGGTACGTGTGCCTTCAAGTACCCCAGTGCTTCTTAAACACTTAGATATATATGATCGTCTGAAAGCTGAAAGACAGCCATTCACAAGATGCCCATCCGCACTTACATCTTCAAAGTTGATCTCCTCGAGTCCCGAGACCCAGAAATCTCGAGGACCTTCTCTATACCCGCATCTTGGACTTTCCAAAAGCTTCACGCCGCAATCCAGCACGTTTTCCTCTGGCAGAACGAGCATCTCCACGTGTTTACGTTTCAAATTCCAATTGGAGGGGGCATAAACAAAGTTGTATCGATACAAGATACAGACATGATGGGGCGGGATGATGAAGAGGGTCCTAACGACATCGTCCTGGATGAAAAAACTGTCAAGCTCAAGGACATATGGGACGACAACGGGAGATATCACAGGGACGTCACTAACGACAGAACCCTGGGGGGTTGCTTCTATGAATATGACTTTGGTGTAAGTGATACCACGTTGTGGAACGTTCCGAATTTGATCAAACCGATTTGATAGGATTCTTGGGAACATGAAATTACCCTACTGGCAGTCGGCACGTCCGATGTGAAGGAAGTCTCAGTTCTTGAGGTATCCGGTTGCGCACCCCTCGAGAACAGTCACGGGGTCCTAGGATGGGAGGGTCTCAAAAGAGCCTTCGCAGATCCAAACCCCAATGACGTGTCTCTTGAAGCGAGGAGGTTATCATGGCTTGTTTCGCCTCTCGGTGGTGCATTCCACCCCGCTATAGCACCGACTATAGAGCAGCTCAATGCCCCTGGGCTATTCGATAAACGCTTCAGGCAGATTCGCAAGGGCATTGTATGATTTATGGTAAGGCCTTGTTTCGAAGGCCTTTGCGCTCGTATTGAGCTTCACGCTACGGCTTTTATGTACAGTATGCGGACGGAACTCACCATCCACGTTAATTTTAACGTACTTAAGCCCTGTAAAATAGTCAGAGCAGCAGCATACTTATTTGCTGCTGCCATGTAGTACTAGAAGGACATCCCCGGCCCATCCTAGTAGTAGTGGATTCGCTAATTCTAGGTCTTGAGATCCGGAAGCTCGCAGTGCGAGCCTTTGTATTCACATAACGTATCGGACTATATGGTATGATGGTCAGGGAGTGAAAGGCACTTGTGGCTGAGGGCTGAGAATTGGTGGCTTGAACACTAGTACGTACAAGTACTGGCAGGGTCCACACAGGATCCGACGCACCCCTGTATGACCAGATTAGGCATCATGAGTCAATGTTGACTGGCCTAGCGTCTATCATTTCACGTCTACATCGGGGCCCAAGTAACTTTCAGGATGTCTGATCACACTCTTCTGGATCACATAGTCTCACAGACAAGGCAGAATATCGAGCTGTTGATATCTCACAATAGGATATCTCCATCGGATGGCCGCGATATCCTACTCAAGCTTCCTAGCACTGGGGTGGCAGGATCCATGATAGCCATCACACAGCAAACGCAACGCCTTACAATATCTCCGGCGCCCGCTCAGACCATGATCAACAATAATCCTGGCTTGCGTGTATCGCCAAAGCTAGAAGCTCGTGCGATCTGGGACTGGACGAGCGAGGTATATATATCCCATTTGCACTTAGGTGCTGTGGATTTGATAGAGCCATGACAGGATCCAAATGATCTATCATTCAATGCAGGAGATATCATAGAAATCGTGAAAGAGACAAACGCAGATTGGTGGACGGGCAGAAGCAAGGCAGGAAAGCAGGGCCTATTTCCTGCTACATACGTGGAGAGACTGGTTCCGCGATCTCTCTCTCCACCACCAATGGCCTTCCCTGAATTTCCAAAGACAAGGACATCACTTGATTCAAAGTATGGTTCGGCTTTGGAGCCCAAGTACATGTCTCCAGGCCCTCCAGGCCCTCCGCAGTATTCTTCATCACAGCCTGTGCAGCAGCAGTACCCACCACCGCCTGGCCCTCCAACAGGTGGTTATCCGCCTCCCAGTGGTCCTCCTGTCGGAGGCTATCCGCTTCCTTCCGGACCTCCCGGGCCTCCTTATAATTCTTATTCGGGAAATCCTCCAGTGGCTCAGCCGGTTCCTCAGCAGCCCCCAAAGAAGGGTCGTTTCGGCAATCTTGGCAATACGGCAAGTCTACCGTACAGGAACGATTTATAAATATTTATCAATCCAATTTTCAGATGGCACAAGCGGCTGCTGGTGGTCTCGGGTTCGGTGCAGGTTCGTGTAGTTGATTTTTACGTCTTCAACACACCTGACTATTCATATCCAGGTGCTGCCATCGGTGGTGATATAGTGAACTCAATTTTCTAGACTTCTACTCTCGTGCGTTACTAAGTTTACACGACTACATTCATCCGTGCTACATCTTTCTTGACTGGAACATTTTACATCTTGTGATGTGATTAGATGCGAAATTCCAAATCAAATTCACGACTGTCGGTCACATTTACAATTTGATGCTTCTCAGGAAGGCCGCATCTGCAGCACAGGCAAGTGTTTCGCGCTTAAGCCCCGCGAAGACCGGACAACTGGAACCGTATTGTAACCCACCCGAACCTGTGCCTGTTCGCATCTAACACGTTCAAAGTCGAATTCGGTTCTCGTAACCCTGTCATTTCTCGGACATTCCCGCCTCTTGCATGCAGCGGCAGCAATCCAGTGTGCATTTGGCTGCATCAATTCACATTTGGACTCACGCGTCGTCTCCGACACGTGAGGAGCGCCGTTTCATCTCGATAGGAAAAACTTAATTGTTGTTCAGACGGGGACACCAAAGATGAAGATGACGACTGGGCCACATTGGCACGTGCGAGATTCAGTGAAAGGAGATTTCTTCGAGAAACTAGAAGTACCTAAATATGGCCCTGAAAGATGGGGCTATTAGAAAATGCTACTACTAGTACTTGAATGATTTTGGGGTACGTATCTGCCAACTTTAACGTTATCCATGTCTCACCTTGTTCAAGGACAACTGGAAACATCCGTGTCTGGCCTTCGAGGAACTGAAAGTCATCGAAGCCTGCTCGAGGACGCTGATGGCATATACGGCTGGGATGAGTTTAAGCGAGCTTTTGCAACCACGAATCCAAATCGCAAGATGCGCGATGGAAACGTTGGGATCGTGATATTTCGCCACTAGGTCTTCAATCATGTTGTGTAACCTCCCTTCGAAGAGTTCGATGATCCTGGAGAGTTCCTCAAATTTTCTCGTGGCCTTCGATAAGCTGCTGGTGATGGTCACAATCTTGCCCTTGCCTCCAGATTATGAGGATCCGTAAGTTGAAGAGGAGTAGTGTATTCGCAACGACTGAAGTTTGTTGGCTGCAGGTTTGACAGAGTCACTTCCGGCCACGCCCATAGAAACGTCAACCTTCAGTTACTATAGCCCACCTATCAATGCGACTGCGACGCAGCGATCGTTTGTCGTGAATAAGGGCACTCATCCCTTGGATTTATTGGTAGCTGCCATCAATGCGTGCACTGTCTGTCACCTACAGTTCTGAGCTGCGAGCGAGGCTCCGGGGATACAAGTTTGTTCTGATGAAGTGTTCATGCGCATTGTCATTGGTACTTACACAGAATGCATTGCCAACCGCGTGGGCCAGTGGGCGCCCTCATGGGATCAAGACAAGTCGCGAGGAGGCAGTCAGCAATCGTGACCTATGGGAAATATTACGGACATGGTTACATCTTACGGATCCTAAAGTGAGTGTACGAGACGAGGAGTGATGTCTTACCTATAAATTACATGCTGACTGTAGTGGGATCGCGCCTTATAAGAGGTTCCAGCTCCATTTTCAGAGATGGCGTATATTTCCGTAGCGTAGGTAAAATGCCTCTTTCTTCTGTTTTTGGGCTTTTTATCCTTTGAAATGATAAATCAAACGGGGGCCAGGCTGGCCACGGCCCTTGTTTGATAGTGGCTGCGCACTACTAGTGCCAAATGACTAATAGAAAGTAACACGGCGAGGGTTGGGAAAGTGAGTCAAGGTTTAGGCCTTAGGCATGACATGTGCTTCTGAGAATGCCCTAGAGGAACTGGTCAGCATCAAATTTACAAGTAAACACTAACGTTGAACTATTCCAAGTCGACCCAAAGTTTCTGGCGGGACGGCAGCAAAGAGCTAAATTTCAAATTAAACAGCGTCACGTGCATGTCACAGGCTGATTGCTTACCGATCAGTGTCACGCTGAGTATTGCTAATGGATTAGATTTCCCGCCAATGAAAGTGTGGCTGGTTGTAACTCTCCTCAGCTTACTCACTTTCCAGCATTTGTATCATCCGTGACCTCCGGCTTTCTCAGCCAACTCACCTTTCCTTCCTCCTTTTAACTCGAACAATTTGACGCTGGCGGAGGACCCGTATCCTTCACCTACTACTTCAGTCATATCATCTCCTTGCCCTCGTCCCCCCTCGTGTCTGCTTCGAATAGCAAGTCTTAGAGCGGACCATTAATCCTTATATTACAAGGATGTCCGATTCAGACTCTACCCTATCCCCCGAACCTCAGCGCACTATTAAAATAATCTTCATCTCGGATTATGTATGTCTACCTTCTTATTCTCCTTGGATATCCCATTTTTCCCATGACTTACCATTTTTCGACACTTGACAGCTCTGCGCCTTTTGTTACATCGGGAACAAGTCGCTCAAAGACGCTATTGCCGGATGTCGTGACTTGGATGTACATTTCGACGTGGAATTTCGGCCATTTACCCTCCTCTGCTCCTCATCCGTACCAGAGGTTCCCAAAGTGAAAGGTGAAAAAGTGCTCAATCGCCGGGATTACCTCATTCGGAAGTTTGGCAAAGAGCAAGCGGAAAGCAAGTGGAAAGTGGTCGAGGAATTGGCACAGAAAGCTGGCTTACCGCTGTGAGTATTTCTAACATGCGGCCAGCGTTTTTTCTGATACAATAGATTACTAGTGCGGAAGACGGAATTGTGGCCCGGTCTAATCTCGCCCACAGGCTGTCTGTGAAAGCATATAAAGTTGGCGGGCAAGCCATGCAAGGCCGCCTAAACGATATATTATTTGCCGCCATTTTTGCCGATTGCCAGGACGTTAGTGACGTTGATTTTCTTGCTGATGCAGCAGAGAAAGTTGGGTTGATGAACAAGAAAGAGGTGTGGTTCAATGTCAAACTCGATCAACAGTTTGATGACACAGGATTGCTCCACCATGCAGGCTACTGCATTCTTGCAAGATACCGATTGCAAGAACTGCGTAAATCAAATGATCGAAGCTGCTCGGGCGAGCGGTGTGAATGGAGTACCCTCCATCATTATTGATGGAAAATGGGCTTTGAATGGCGTACAGTCCACAGAGTGTTACCTTCAGGTGAGCAAGGCTTGTTTATTCTAGCTATCCGTATATAGCCTACTATTAAATTCGTCTGGGTGCGGTATCGCTGATTTTTATTGCATGCAGATCTTGCGGAAAATTGCACAATCTTCATCAATGACGGAATGTGCATCGATCGTCTCAGTGGAATCATAACAGATTTTACGCAGATTTCTTCTACTCTTCTTCACCCATACCGTTCTTCATGACCTCAATTCATGCGTGCAGGTCGTGGTCCTCGCTTTGGATTAATTATACAAGGACCACTCACGCAACCTCGCGTAGGAAATTTAGTCTGAAAGGGCATATTGCATTTCGTACTTTTTTTCTTGCTCTTTGTACCATCTTCTGCATGCTGTATCGCATCGCTGTCTTTATCGGCGGGCGTGTGTTTGTATCTTTCTTCTATGCCATGATATCTACTCTTTTACCTTGTTAGTTTCCGTTCTTATAACGGCCGCCATGAGGGATAGGTAGGGTATGTAACATTTGGCGCACAACTCTGTTTCATTTGGCACGAGGCCAACATCACTTTCCTTCACCATCTCGCAAAGTTCGACAGTCCACCTATCTTGCAGTGCTTTCCATACCCCTGTACCGAATAGACTCGTTATCATACTACGTCAACCTTATTCAGCCTTGTTTCCGGTAAGTAGGTAACCGTCCGTAACCGTGCACAGCGGAATCTTCCAGAAGATAACGTTCAAGACTTCTCATTCGAGGTCTCCGATTGGTTGATTTAACTGTCAACGCGAACACTCTGAAACCGGAAGGAGGAAACACCAGGAGAATGTTACCTCCTTCCGGTTTCATAGTGGAGTGGCGTTAAATTGTTCCCCTAGAACCTATCTTGGGACCTAGTATCTGTAGGAGATGAAACATCATGACATAGTTGGTCCGGATCCGTTTTCTATGATCACACGTTGAAGATCATCATGATAAAACTCGCCTCGTTATCCATGTGCTTTACGTCCCGCATGGTAGAGTGTCGAGTAGGTACATCAAGTTATTGCCCAAATGCACTAGCTGATAACTTGGGAAAGGTCAATAACCTAGACCGGCCTGCGATGGCATTAAGGTGGTGCAATTCCACATATAAGATTTACGGACCAACTATACCAGTTGGGCCAACAGCTTGCAGGTCACATTAGTATTTATCTTCTTTGAAAGCCCCGGAATCGTGTAGAAGCAGGGACTTCATGAGCAGATGATCTGTGTGACGAGCAATCTACGGATTCAGATTTTTAAATTGAATACGACACCGAACCATTTGATAACGAACTAAATTGCAGAAGTCTTGACTCGGCGATGGAAGATTTGGGGCGAACAAATACAGGTACATTTTATCTTTGCAGATACCCGAAAGATTCTCGAGAAGCCGAGAAGGAGCTGCATCAAAGGCGTGTTCGGCCCAGTCCGAGAGGCAGCCTCGTGTTGCCCTCCCTTAGGTATTCAGCAATTACAATTGTACACATGTTTTGATACAACTTATACGAAACGAACAGTCACTTGACATTTGAAATCCTTGAGCATAGTTTTAAAAAATGCACGAGAAACATACCAAAATGTATGGGGTGAAGATTGATCCCGGTCATTCTATCCAATCGTTGAGAATATCCTCCAGCTCGTTGCGAACGCCATCGCGTGAAACGTTGCTTGCAACATGATTGGAAGTTTTAAGCCTCTCGAGAGCGGCAAGCACCCAATTCTGACAGTTCCAGTTTTCTCTGCCTCGATAAACAGTTACTTGTTGGAGCAACGTGCCTATCTCCTTTTCCGAGAACACATCAATCTCTCCGACCACCAGGCAACCACGATAGCCTTCAGCGAGAATTTCCATACATTCGTCTTCGATGCAAGAGTAGGTAAAGGTGTCGATGTTGCCAATTGCTTGGTAACAAGTTCCCCAGTGGTCTACTTGATCTGAATGTTCTTTCCCAGAGCTGCTGGCTTTGATTGAATCGGGATTTGCGTTGGTGATCGCAAAGAGTGCCCAGTGAAGTGGCATCCTCTTACCATTGGAATCGTGTCCGCGCCAATATTGTGCAACACACAGTGTTCTTTTCTCAGACGGACCATTGTCTACGCCCATGATAGTAGGAGGGAAAGATGTGTGGCTGGCATATTAATGCATTACGATAAATGTATCAGGTTCCCGCGCCACCGCTTGCAGTCTAAGGATAACCTGGTTTGGGAACATCCCCCCTTGGTTGACGTTTTTCAATCGAACAGATCACACCTCTGCTCCTCACCATCACATCGGCAACAGGATTATGACCCTCTTCGTTCCGTTGGAGGCAAGTTCGCCTCCTCCTCCAACACCATCTTTTCTGGTTCCTTCTAAGACCCCAAACTTGCACCTGCGAAAAGCTATCAAGGCCATCCTGAAGGCCAAACGCTTGGTTGTCGTGTGTGGTGCGTTTTCCAACCGTCGGAAAATTCGGATACCGTCGTCTTAGTCAAACTAACATTGTACCAGGTGCTGGCATCTCTGTTTCAGCTGGAATCCCAGACTTTCGCTCAGAGTCGGGTCTCTTCCAAACCTTGAAGCGAGACAACCCGAAAGAAGCATTGTCTTCTGGAAGGGACTTGTTTGATGCATCAGTGTTCAACGTGAGTTGTCGTCTGTCCATGTTCGATTTCCCTAGATTGCGCATGGAAAATCTCTATTGCCTCAACCACTACGCGTGCTTACTACTCATGGATGGCGACGGGCTTACACACCTTTAATAGAATGAACACACGACATCAATGTTTTGCCAAATGATAGCTCAATTGTCCGAGCTTTCGCAAGCAGCTAGTCCCACGCCTTTTCATCAAGCACTACGATCGCTTGATGACAGGGGCAGGCTCCTGCGTGTCTACACCCAAAACATCGATGCTATCGAGCTAAAATCTGGTCTTTCCTTTGGTATCCCAGAGTTTGATAAGAGGCGAGCAAGACCGAGATCTAAGCCAAAATCGACTGGTCCTCCCATCGCTGATCAGCCTGCGATATCTACCAGCGCTCCTTGTTCACAGGATAGCTCATCGATAACACCAGGATCAAGATACATGTCTCCTGCTGTTGAAGTCCCTCGTTGTATTCCCCTACATGGAACGCTGCAGACACTGCATTGTCAGACATGCATGCACACGTTTCCACTCGAGAATTACGTGTCTTCTTTGACCTCAGGAACTCCCCCATATTGCCCCGAGTGCACCCAAATGGAGGAGACGCGTCAACTTGTCGGGAAGCGAGCCCGAGGTGTGGGAAAGTTGCGACCCAGTGTGGTCCTTTATAACGAGCTACATAAAGACGGGGAAGGGGTGGGCGAAATTGCGAGGAGAGATCTTGTTGGATGTTCTAAAGGCAAGGGGCGGAGCGGTGTGGATACTTTGCTTGTGGTTGGCACGAGTTTAAAGGTTCCGGGCACCAAACGTATGGTTCGCGAATTCTCGAAGGCGGTACGGGCCCGAGGATACACTGCATCGAGGGATTCAACGTTCGCATCGACAGGTCTTGCGACGCCAGCACCTTCTCCTGGCAAGGGGTCAGCTACATCATCGGATGACTCTCCCTTCAAGTCTATCTATTTGAACTTTGATTTTCCGGGGCCGACACGAGAATGGGAAGGCGTCTTTGACGCGTGGTTACAAGGAGATGCTCAAAGTTTCGCGGAGCTCTTGAAGGAAGAAATTGCGAAAGAGGCTGACAAAAAGGAGGCTGCATCAGAGAGAAAACGGAAACGGGAAGAGGATGCCACTCACTTAGAAGGATCAGACGAAGCCGGCCTTCCGAAGAAGAAGACAGTCAAGACAGAAAACCCGAGCTCTGAAAGGCCCACTTCAAGGCGGAAACCCAAAGCCTCGCCCTCTGTTCGTCCTCGGAAGTCCAAGAGCAAACGCCAAGAAAATACGGACATCAGTGTTCCATCCGCCCCAAAGATAACGCTTGGTAGCTCGAAACTCACGATCCGAATTCCACCCCTGAAAGGCCGTTACATTCCCGAGGTATGCATCACCACTCCTGTACCGCGGGGACCCAAGGCGGCGCAATTTCCTTACACTCCCCCTGCGACTCACATGAAACATCGGGTGACATCTTTATTGCCCCATTCCGACTACCCACCTTCAGATACCACGGAGATAGGATATGACGAAAGCGATCTCTCCGAGTTGTCTGGTGATGAGGTAGCAGGCGAACTTCCTAGAACTGCAATACGGACTGCACAATACGGACTTCGGGCCATGGGTGGGTAATAATATCTTGTACTATCTTTATTGTATTTATGTATCGTACGCTACATGCCTCGTTGACTCATGGATATTCACGATTAGTTGGCAGCTGTTGCCCATGGGACTGCTTCAAGGTGAGATTCCCCGCGTGCAATTGTGTCCCAAACTTCTTTATGACAAGAAGTGAGACATATGGAAAGTCGGACAGCCGCACTGTGTTATCACGGTGACATAGGCCACAAAAGGTAGTCACAAGTTGAGGACTCCGTACACTAAAGAAATTGCGAGCATTGTCAAACTTCTAGGCTCGATAGGCTGTCCGGCTTTTTGTTCTTCATCAGGTAAATGACGTAAAGAGCATAGTTATGCGAGTGGTCTGGTTTTGGCTTACATCCTTGTGAAAAGTGGCAAGATAGTAGCGGTGGGGACGACAATGTTGGGGTTGCACACCATACCATAATGTGGTAGACGGGTGCACACATATGGTACATGTACGATAGACGGTGAACCCGTATACCATACATGACATTGGTGGTGGACGAAGCAAACGGTACGGTACGAAGTAGCAAGCAGGAAGTAGAAACAGGCAACAACAACCTGCCAGATACAGGGTCCAGGGCGGGGCCCAAGAGAGGAAGATACCAATTATAGTCCCTCACTCTCGAGTATCGTGCATATCGGCCAGGACCGCAGCCGAAATAGCCATGGCAGCGCATGACCTGCAGAAGAGGGAGTCGATGATCAATCAATATTCGGTACTTTTGGATGAAAGCTCAGGCATTCATCCCACAGCTTGAAGTGCTCGCATGCTGATCATTTGAGTGCCAAGATTGAACCGGCAGCCCGAACGCCACGTCGCGACAGCGAGTCATGCTTCTGCTTTCTCTTCGGTATAATGATTGATGGTGTGCAATAACTAGTTCGGAGCCAATCAGTACATTTGTTATTGGGCAGATGTTCATACTCTCGAGTAAAGCGGATGTTTGAATTGAAGCAAAAATGATTGACCGTGCCTAGTCTTGCTGGTGATCCACTAAGCTTGAGTTCGAGAAGCTGTCGAAATGAGCCATTATTGCTGTTGATGTTGATATTGGGAGGTCATACGAAGATGGAACGCACTGCGCAGGTTGAATCTGTTCGTCCAACGTTGGCATTGAAGGCTAGCTCATGGATCTCTCTCTTGATGGAGCCAATGTAACACTGATCGTGATTCGCGACAGACGTATTATTTTCAGGTATACAGTGAAAGCCCAAGGTCGTGCGGCGGACCGGGGGCGGCGGCATCAGTGAACCTGTGAACAGATGAGGTTGATATTTAAAGCAATATATCGTTGAGCATCGCAATCGTCAACGTGAAACTGCCAACTATTTTCACATGAGAATGTTTTGCATCGTGGAGAAAACACCGATTTCCAAGCACGCGGCCTAGTAGCCAAATTAGAAATCTGTCGGTTGAATGGATCTAAAAAAAAAGCACCAGCACAGGTGCATGAAGCCAGGTATGGACCCAGCCTAAGACAGAAATCGACGAGACCGGTCAGTATCATGAGACAGTGAGCACGATGTCGCCGCGGAAAAGTGAAGTTGTCCACTAACAAATGCCAGGTCCGTGAAGATTATGGAGAATGGTGGAGGGACGGTGTCGAAGCTAGTAGAATAATCGACATGGTCAAATACCTGATGGTGGGAAAAGGTTGCACGTGCACAAAGTCCTCCTACCTATTATGGGCGCGGCTTGCCAGCGCTTAGTAACGCCCATCATGATATGCATGATATCCCGACTTTCTTGCTCATCAAGACTTAGTAACACTTGTCACGTCATTCAGATACTTTTTCGCTCATCAAGACGTTCCAATGTATTATATAGGTAGCAAGGTTGGAAAGCCTCCAACCATCTCCATATCTCTTTCGCATGTCTCCGCAACAGAAAGCTCTTGTTATTCCCAAAAAGCAGGGCAACTTTGAGCTCAGCTCCCGCAGCATACCCAGTCCTGGAGCTGGACAGCTCCTGGTCAAGATTCAATCTGCAGCTCTAAACCCGGTTGACTATAAGATCAGGGACGCGGGATTATTCGTGACCCATTACCCTGCCGTTGTGGGAACAGATATTGCTGGCATCGTCGAGGAACTAGGGGAAGGTGTTGTCAATTTCCGCAAAGGCGATAGAGTGTTAGACAATTCTTTCCTCTGATTTGCCCCTGTCTGTATAGGCTCAACCTTGGTTTGCAGATTGGCGCACGGCAAGTTCACAAATGACTTTGCTGGATTTCAGCAGTATACGTTGACCGATGCAAGCTTTTCAGCAAAGGTAAGTAATGAGAAAGTTCATTGATCACATCGTCAGCTATATCCCATTCCAGATTCCTTCAAGTGAGTCCTTCGATAGCGCAGCTACTGTTCCCCTGGGATTAGATACTGCGCTGGTGGGCTTGTACGGAGATCAATTAGGAGCTGGGATAACCCCTCCTTGGACGGAAAGTGTCGGTGAATCAAAGACACCCATCGTCATACTGGGCGGCTCCTCCTCTGTGGGTTCATACAGTAAGCGAAGTGGGACTTCTTCTTCAATTACGTCCTGACAGTACGTATTGCAGCTATCTAACTCGCTCGTCTGTCGGGATTTCATCCTATCATCACTACGGCCTCTCCGAGCAATGAAGAACTTGTCAAGGATTACGGCGCAACCCACTTTTTTGACCGCAACCTTTCCGGAAAACAACTACTAGCGGCCATCAGCAAAGTTACGGACGCTCCTATCGAACTTGTCTATGATGCTATCTCGTTGCCAGAAACACAGTCTGTTGCATGGGAATTGCTTGCAAACAATGGCACCCTTGTATTAACCCTGCCTGCATCAGTCAAGGAAGATGAAGGCAAAGGGCGCAAGGTCATTCAGACCTTCGCAAGCCCACATGCCCCTCAAAATAATGAATTGTGTCAAAGCTCCTGGGCTATGGTTGAAAAGTGGCTTTCAGAGGGTACTATACGGGTTTGTTCTGCGACCACTGTTTTGGATTTATGTCTCACAAGTCATGTAGCCGAACAAGTATGAAGTCCTCCCGAACGGGCTTGAAGGTGTTATCGGAGGATTGGAAAGGATGAAATTGGGACAGGTGTCTGGCACGAAATTGGTTGCTCACCCTCAGGAGACACAGTAGATGCAGTGCTGTTTATCCTGTTCCGCATTCTAACGCACCTCATAACATTATTTCCGCTGTTCAAAATCAGAGTCGGCCTTTACCTGACATTATGCTGACGGAGTACGCGTTCACCTACTCATCATATGCCTAATCATATACACACAATAGATAAGTGTGAGTAAGTGTATGGGGCTATGTAATACAGCCTCGGTGTATACACATCGACTCAGTGTTTCGTTTTGAAACTGTCTGATGGGTGTGCATTCAATACGCTTATGAAATTCATATTGCTAGTACTGTCCGTTCATCGCAAATTGCGTCTTGGTATATGAGGTGTCATGCCAGATCAATGTCGTGCAACTTCATTTTTACCCACAGATCACCAGTGCAGCTCAAAAGCGATCACCTCTGGCTCCAAGGCAACAAACTGGAAAATACAAATTGAAGTCGAGATTGGGTGGACATATCGTGTACGTATGTATACAGTCTCCAAGTCAGGGATATCAAAGTCTTAACAACAGGTTGCGCGTGGTCGCGCACATTTGTATATATCTACTTATCTACTATGCAACCTGGCCCATTGAATGAGGCTACAATGTGTGCCTAGCCTCACATAGTATATTTCATTTGTGTCGCTACCGAAATCGTAGGGCTTTGTAAGTTCAAAAGATTCAAAGCCGAACGATAGTGGGTGGATTCCAACGTCTGCAGCTGGACAGCTTTATTTCAATTTGACCTATGCGAATACATATCATGTCTCCAAAGCGTTCATGCTATTTCATTCTCGCTCTCAATCATCCCTTTCGCCTTCATAGTATCCATCTCCTGGTCTCTCTGCATTCTGTACACGATACAGATCAGCAACTGCAGATAGACACATGAAGGAAGAAGAGTCACTTACAAGCCTTCGTCTTCGAGTACAGTTGTATCTCTGATGCGCAGGTAGATCATCGGGAAACAGAACACAAGACCAGCGACAACTAGACACCACGTAGAGAGGAAGATGTTCATGTAGCTATAAGACCAGGGTTAGCTTTCAAACCTGATCAATTGACCAAGTGACTGAGACTTACGGAAGCCCCAACGCATCCATCCGCCACACTCCAGCAGCCCCAGCGCTCTGAATGGAGTGGTCTGTAAAACAAATACAGTCAAAACTCGCATATCAGGCAAAATAAGAGACGAGGCGTACAAAACCCGGAGTAGATAGCCAGCTTATTCGTATCATTGCTCATGGCACCGATGAGCCAGAGGCTCGTCGTCTGCCACATCGCATCCAGCAATCCATAGCATATCATGAGCCAAACATGCGCTGGGTAACTCGCATCGTAAATATCCATCTTCTGCGAGTCTGGGGGAACGGAAGCGCGGGTGTATGTCCTTGATATAAGGTCATTAAGGATTAATTGAAGGTCTATCCATGTTGAACAATACGAACCGTTGGTAATAATAAGCCCAGATGTGCACTGTGAATGCCATCACCATTAGAACACCCCACCCAGCGAACGCGCGCACACGCCTCCGCAGCCACTTGGTGTCTAGGATGATGCCGATTATTACGCTGCCAATGATCTGCGAAAGCCAGTACATAAAATTATTGAGAGATCGCGCGCGGATGTTAAACAGTGCTGAGTTGTAATCGTTGAACTCTGCTTAGAGGGTCAGGTACTTCAAGTAGTGGGAATCAAAGCGACGCACGCCATGTGTAAAAGTAATTACTCGCAAAAAACATCGGGAAAAGCAGAAGGATCATGGGGTCTGTGATGATTGCAACCCATAGGCCATAAAATTCGGACTTCCATGACGGATGGCGAGGCATCATGACCCTCGTACCATCCGTGCGGATCATCTTGTCGGGATCGGCCATCAGAAGAGGAATCGTCACCCCAAGTAGTGTGAGAACCAGGATTCCGACCTGTGCAGTAATCATGATGAGTGACAGTGTCAATAAAGCGTTTGGGAGGACCAACATATGTTCCATTGCTGACTTGGTAGGAGACGAGTTGAATTAAGAGGAAGGCATAACGAGGCAGGAAACTTACCACTGTTGGTCTAGAGCCGCAGTGGTAAGCATTGGTGTCAATGATGCACCACAGTACATACCGTTGAGTGGATATTCTGCCCAAAGGACACGGTAGCTCCTACGACTGCTCCCATGTTGAAAATGGACCAGAATATACTGATAAAAACGCCTTTCTGCGCTTCAGTACAGTAGCTTAGCATTATCGAGCCCTGAGCGGTCCACAGGAACGCAGCAGTGACACCGAGAAGGGCACCCGAGGTAATAACAAACCAACCAGCGCCAGGGTGAATATTAATTGCACTGGGTTAGGCATAAGGATATAGACTGGCAGGAAAAGAAACAGAACTCGCAGATAAGAACTGACATAGAGCGCATAGCCCAATGTTCCAAAGAGCAGAGTACGCTTAGCGCCGATCTTGTTGTTGACAGTTCTTTCAAATGTTACGTTCAATTAACCACTAGATAGTCATGGGGATGGAATGCCTTTACCCGGAGAAGAATGCGAAAAACGCATATGCTGCGTATAACGCACAAGTCGAGTTTGCAGAAATCGTTGGGTTGACTTGGCCGCCTCCGCCGAGTCCAGTGAGGGCATTAAACATCCCGGGGCATAAGAAGCAGACAAAAGCAAGCATGACAATTTGCGTTATGGGGTGATAGTAAACACCACGCAGACCCTTTGGTCGTTCATGTACGGAGATAGAATCATTATCAGGGCTGTTTGAACTGCCATCTTTCTCGTGAACGGAGCTGGACATGATACTAAGATGAGGGAACGGTCCAAGGATAACGTGTAGACAGGTTCCTACTTATATACTGTCTGGCAATACAGGGACGTGCTCGTGAGAGGGCGGGATTCGAGCTGTGGAATAGCGAATTCTCACCTGTTTTACTACATTGTGCTTTAATCTCTTTAATAATAGATCATGCGGATGAATGATGTGAGTGAGCCCAGAAAATGATAAGGGACCAGGTCACATACAATAAAAGATTCAGAGATAAAGAGTACGGATTTGGTGGTGTGCCTGTTGAGCAGATAGGCTGACTTACTTTGGGACCGTCAGTACATTCAGTCTGCTGGTTTGTCTGCAACGATAAGTACGGATGGCAGCGACAGGCGGAACACCATGTTCTTGAATCTCCGGTCAGCCAACAACACGACGTACGTGTGGCTGGTGAGATGGAATTTAGTGCAGAACAATGTTGAAACGTTGACGCTTGATGTCAGCTTCGCACAAGTAGATCATCGGACGAGTTGGAAGACCAAGACTTGTGTGTGACATGATAGAGCGACCGTGACATTGTCACATAAAAATAACTGATCGGAGGTTTCACTGAACGAGTGTACCGGTGGAGGTATCGAGCTCACCATCAACCATGGCGTCGTCATTGCCATCCGCAGTGCCCTCACACCCAGTTGTATTCATAACTCAAACACCATATGCACTCCCTTCCCAAAAATTCATGATTCCCTTGGACTGGAAACGCTACCAGCTCTCCCAGCTCATCAATAAAGCACTTGACCTCCCTAAGCCTATTCCATTTGACTTCCTTGTCCATGGCGAGATTCTTAGAACGTCTCTTCTAGAATGGCGCTTAGAGAAGGGTGTTGGAGAGGTGAGTCAAGTAATCAAGTTATTTGAGAGAGTCTGACATTATGATAGGAAGACACGTTGGAGATCGAGTATTTCGAGAGTGTGATGCCTCCTCAGCGCATGTCTGAGCTTCCACACGAGGATTGGGTATCTTCAGTGTCATGTCGAATACCTCAGTACGTTTAGCCTGCGTACATCACTTCGTGGTCCATCCGCTAAACCTTAAATTATCACCAGACACTTCGTGACAGCATCCTATGACGGTCACCTACGTCTCTTCGACTATTCGCAAAATCTGGTTCTCGATGCCTCTGTGCACCAATCACCCGTCACTTCCGTCTGCACTGTACCATCCCCGTCATCAGACACCGAGTCTCGCATTCTAGCGAGTTCGTCGCATGACCTCACTGCCTGTCTTACGCGCATATATCTGAGCCCAGAGAACCCCACTGCATCCACTGTCGCTTCTCTACATCTCCACACCAGCCCACTATCCTCCATATCTAGTGATGCATCTGGTTCACACCTCCTCACTTCTTCGTGGGATGGCCTCATTGGTGTCTGGGACACGTCAATACCCGATGAACACCAAGTCAATTTTGAGCGTGGTGATGACAGAAAAAAGCGGCGTAAGACTGCCCCCACAAACATAAAACGGAAAGCACCGATAGCAGTACTAAAATCGCACACTGCACGCGTGTCAAAAGCATTTTTTGCTGCCGGTGAACCTGCAAAAGGTAAGGCGTACAGCTGTAGTTTCGATTCGACAGTGCGAACCTGGGATGTTGAGAGTGGTGTATGTATGAATACTATTGTAAGTCTTAATATACATCACTGAAACCCACACTGAATATATTTCGCCGCATCAGAACGTACCTGAACGTCCGATGCTCGACCTCGCTGAAACCCCCGATGGGAATGTCCTCCTCGCTGCATCCACCGACCGCACTGTATCCATCTTCGACCTCCGTGTTTCGTCCCTCTCATCTTCCACAGGCATTATGATGCACCCTGCGACTCCATCCTGCATTGCCACATCTGAAAGTGGGAAGCATCAGATTGTCACTGGCAGTTATGATGGCGTTGTACGGTTGTGGGACCTGCGGAGCACGAAAGGTGCTGTGACCAGTTTCAGGGTATGGGATGGGATGAAAGTGCTTGCGGTGGATTGGGTTGGGGATGTGGTGGGCATTGGAGGCGAGGGCGGAATGGAGCTATGGAGAATAGCTGGGGAACCCTAGTATTGTTAAAAAATTCAATCGTCTGGAGTTGGATCAAGTCGCCTTGACTTCAGCACATCGAGGCCAGACATCCGCAAAAGTGTGGCAAGATGCGAAATTCATCAGGTTTGCACGTACCTATTATGAGTGATACTAGGAGCTTGTATCGTTCACACTAGGCTGTGAACTACGTGAGAGGCTCCGAGTAGAGTTGGCGTTCAATTTCTGTTTGGAGTCAAAGTGTTAATAGCACTGCTCCCCATGCAGCCTCACCTTCTGTCAAGTTCGTAAACAACAAGAAAACACTCCGTATGTTCACACCAAAGTGCTCAGTTGAGGATATGCTCTTTGAAATCCAGAGGTATGTGAATGATTTTTGTTCCATTCACAAGCATATATTCGACGGGGTTCTGGAGTTTGGTGCGGAGGAATCGAAAAAGTGTTGCGTGGACTGTACAACGGACTTTGAAAATATACCATTCACACTCTTCGTTGATTGCTTCCATCTCTATCTCGTTTTGCAGCGCTTGATATGATATCATCTATGATATCCCGTTTAACCTACGGTTTGGTTTTTCGTATAGTATATCGTTAAGTCGGCTACGGGAAGTCATCCAGTAAAACATGCACATCTACGCCAGCGAAACTCTGCTACGATTTCAGGCGTCGCATTTCATGCATATCACGCAGGGCATGTTATTAAGCTGATGCTACAAGTAGATGAGGTTCCTGACTAACACCGCCATCTGCGCGTCAGTTGATTTCTCCAACCAACCCTCCACATCTCCTTCGCATGTCTCCGCAACAAAAAGCTCTCATTCTTCCCAAAAGACGGGGTGCCTTTGAGGTTGGCTCTCGCAAGATTCCTAGTCCCAGGGCTGGGCAACTCCTGGTCAAGATCGAATCTGCAGCTCTGAACCCGGCTGACTACAAGATCAAGGACACAGGGATGATCGTGACCAATTATCCTGCTGTTCTGGGCACGGATATTGCTGGAATTGTCGAAGAAGTAGGAGAAGGTGTTCAGAATTTCCGCAAAGGCGATAGGGTGTCAGACAATTCTTTCATACGGTTTGCATCGTCTGTATATGCTCAACCCTGGCTTACAGATTGGCGCATGGCAAGTATAATAACGACTTTACTGCATTTCAGCAGTATACCTTGACTGTTGCGAGCTTTACAGCAAAGGTAAGTTATGAGAAGGTTCGCTGGCAATATGTCAGCTACATCCCATTACAGATTCCTCCAAACGAGTCCTGCGATAGCGCAGCTACCGTTCCTCTGGGGTTGGATACTGCACTGGTAGGCTTGTATGGAAAGCAAAATGGAGCTGGGATAACTCCTCCTTGGACGAAAAGTGCCGGCAGTCACGAATCAAAGAGACCCATTGTCATCCTTGGCGGTTCTTCCTCTGTGGGCTCATACGGTAAGCGTAGTGGGATTCGCTCATTCGGCTGCATCCTGACAGTATTTCAGCTATCCAACTCGCTAGTCTGTCGGGATTTTATCCTATCATCACTACAGCCTCTCCGAGAAATGAAGAGCTTGTCAGGGACTACGGCGCAACCCATTTTTTGGATCGCAACCTTTCCGGCAAACAACTGCTGGCGGCCATCAGAAAAGTTACTGACGGCCCTATCAAAGTTGTTTATGATGTTATCTCGTTGCCAGAAACGCAATCTGTTGCATGGGATTTGCTTGCAAACAATGGCACCCTCGTATTAACCCAATCTGCCTCAGTCAAGGAAGATGAAGGCAAAGGACGCAAGGTCATTGTAACATTCGGAAATCCACATAATCCCCAAAATGAGCAGCTGTGCTGCAATTCCTGGGCTAGGGTTGAAAAGTGGCTCTCAGAGGGTACCATACAGGTTTGTTCTGCGACAACTGTTTTGGATTTATGTCTCACAAGCTATGTAGCCGAACAAGTATGAAGTCCTCCCGAACGGGCTTGAAGGTATTGTTGGAGGACTGGAAAGGATAAAATCGGGAGAGGTTTCCGGAACGAAGTTGGTTGCTCACCCTCAGGAAACACAGTAAATGCAGCCAGGTTGTTTTACCAATGCCTCTGCAATGCTTGCATTAGGCGGCATACAATCAAATTGTACATTAGGCGTTGCAATCACAAGCTTATATACATGTACACGAGAATATTTACCTGTTACTTATACATAACGGTCCAGAAACCATATTCCCACGGTCATGCCACTGACGCGGCCCAAGTACAAGCGCGTCTCAACATTTGAGTCCAACTCTTACCAGCATGTCTTCATCCGCATCCTCATCAAAACCCGCGGACAAACAACCAGAGAAGCCCAAGGAGGAGGACAGCCAACCTCACCTGGGGGTCCTTGAAGAAGACGACGAGTTCGAAGAGTTCGAAGTAGCAGGTGATCAATTCAGTTATCCATCCATGTCATTGATATCTGCTGATCATGTTGTCTGATAGACTGGGATGATTCTAGTACGGATCTGGCGCACTTGAAGGGCGCTGCACCTGGGGTCGCAAAATCAGCGGGGGATAAGCTTTGGGAGGATAATTGGGACGATGACGACATCGAGGATGAGTTCAGCGTGCAACTACGGTATGCAATGCTCCCTCGTCTTGATGTCACATTAAGCAAACTCATATATTGGCTAGGAATGAGCTTGCTAAGACAGGGAAAGCAACTGGAGACCCGATGCAACAATAATGGCATTGTATCTGCGGTTTTTATCAAGTGACTCGTCCAGTTACTGTAAACCGTCCAATACATCCGAGCCCTTCAGAAGCTTCATTATTCGCATTATTAAATTTTTACCGTGTATTCAGCTAGGCTGCTCACCAAAGCTCTGGCTGCGATTAGCCCCATTTCTGTCGAACAACGATATCCACATTAATTAAACAACAAGACAAAGAAAGCAGGGGTCGTGTCTGTGTAAGGTAAGCCACCTTCAGCAAAAATGAACTTTCCTCACAAAATAGGTACATGTCATCAGTGTAAGTCTCCAAGTATGCATCTTAAGTTATTCAGCAGGTATTCATACACCCGAGCAGGAAAACATGATGGTACGCGAATACAAATTGTATTCTATGTAAGTTCGAGGTAATACGAAAACGAGTATTATATGCGGCGACATAGCTTTTTTTGTTTTCTCACTTCATACTACATACTACTGCGTAGTACCTATATTGCTCGACTACACTCGTTTCGTGGCACCCACCCCCGCCCCCTTTTGAGCAGCCAACGTCTCGTTTTATTAGATCTTTTTTAACCGCCAGTAAAATCTACTGGAAGCATCTTTTTCAGCTCCGGCAGAATTTACCAGATTCTGCATCGTTTAATTAGCTGCTGTAACCCACCCGCCCTCACGGCTCATTCTGGACTTATCTCCACTCAAAATGATGTTTTGGGTCGCAAAACCCTTCAGGTTTGAGCCTTGGCAAATAGCTCACATTAATATCATTATCAAACCTATCATTTGCTAACCAATACATCTGATTTCTTTCTCGCTACAGAGAACTAACAGCTACACAGACGTAAATGATAATCAAGATTGTCTGCTGAACTAAACATTGGCCACTGAGTCAGTGTCCTTGACTGATGAACCCGTCTCTTTGCCTTCCGTATATGAGACGATTTCAGTTTCGGGAAGACCCATAAGTGAGACATCGAAACCGTGCGCTTCGAGGTATTCCCGGAACTACGTTGCGAGGTTTGTAAACGTCGTGGGCAACGTGAGGGACAATCACCCACCTTGGCATCCTCTTCCTTCATACCATCGTGGTCCAAGGGTTTCACAAAGAAGTATACAACGGTTGCGCTTAGGATGGCAAGACCGCTACCAACCCAGAAGGGGCCAGTGTTCCCTTTAGCTGAACTTGAGCCACCAAAATCCGTGACTATGATAGGGAATACTGGACAGACAGATGTCACTTAGTTCACCCGTCGTACAACAACTGTATGACACCTACCCCAAGTTCCAATAAATGCGCCAATTTTTCCAACAGCAGCTGCAAAACCGTAATACTGGCCACGCACAGCAGTAGGCCCAGTCTTTGCAGCCAATACGCCAAGGCAGTTTCCGGGACCTAGGCAAAAGGAATTCAAAAGACAGCGAGAGGGTTGCGCAACCACACGCACCAAACTCGCCGAAGCTCAGGAAGATGCCGTACACCACCTAATGAACCACTCAGCATCGATGATCTGTATTAGAGAGATACCTACAGCAAACGCGGCGATGTGTTGTGACAGCTGGGTATAAAGACCGCTCATGATAAATCCAATGACCGCTTGCGCGAGGAGGCCAGTGATCTAACATGGGATTTAGAAAGAGCACTCCACATTTGCTTACTACCACTCACCATGGTGACCTTTGGACCCATACGATCAACAAAGAAGGCACCCACAACGGTACCTGCGGACAGAGTGTGAGCTCTGAAAGTGCATCGTTGTCCAATATACTAACCTGGAATATAGAACAGGCTGTAAGATTATGTAAATAGGCGTATGAATCACGAATGAATGGAAGCTCACTTGATCACAACAGACCAACCAAAGACAACGGTGAGTGATGAACTGCCTCCAGTAACGCTACCAAGACGGTCAAGTTCTACTTATATCAAGAAAACAAATGCAATCGCATACGCATTGGTGACTGTGGATGAATAAAGTCCGAACTACAGAAAAAAAAATCAGTGATAATGTAATCCGCAAGTGCCTGACAACACACCGGGTATCTGGAGTTATGTCAGTGACTAGTCAGAGTGCATGGAAGCGGTTGTTGACATACGTGATGAAGTCATAAATGAACCACGCCAGCGAGATGCCAAATAGGCCTCGCCAGTATCTTTTAATGACTAGTCTGTATGGGATACGGACATGCTTCATTGAATCGCGCTTGTAACGATTAGGTTCCTCCATGCGCAGCCGCCAAAAGAAGACAATAATAGCAGGAACTACACCAAGCCCAAGCGAGAGGCGCCAGACAGCACGAAGGTGGTTGTCCCCGAAGCTGAAAAGCAACTATTAGACATAAATTACAACATGCGGAAGTGAGTGGCGGCACAGACATCCAGTAAAGCACCAATGGTACGAATGCTCCAATAACGAAACCGACATCAATCATAGTGTCTGGGCAGCGTGCTTTAGAATACTGGTGATAAAAGCATTTCATCACATCAACTCACTCGTTGCGAGCACTAGCCATCGATGTTGCGAGTTCTTAGCAATGCCTTCTTCCTCCGACTGTTCAGAAGCGGACACGGAACCGCAAGGGTATTCAGCGCCAACGCCAATCCCAAGAAGGAAACTGTGTTAGAGATAATGAGTGGCAGAAACGATCTCGGACCGGCATATGTACTTACCGGCATGCGATAAGCATAGCAAGCATGCCACTGAGGCTGTGATTGGCACCGGACGAAGCGGCAGAGAGACCAGAAAATAGTGCAACAATCCCAGTTGCGGACATCTGTCTCAGGAGCATGACTTACGGGTTGCTCGATTAGGATTGCCATCTACTTACCATACCGAATTTGCGCCCAACTTTGTCGGAGAGGTAGCCAAAAGTGAGCATACCCACAACGGTGCCTGGGATGATTTAATTGCAGATTAACGAAGGAGACTCAAGTGCGTACCTGCGAAGGCGACACTAGAGAGTGTGGTGCTGTAGTTCGTAGTGATCCCGCCAGAACCAGTGCCGTATATGCGTTCTAAAACTGTAATTCACATTAAACCATCAGTAAATTTCAAGGAAAAAGTCACTCACGAGTATTGACTGCAAGACAGTCGAATTTTGGATGAAAGGGGCTCATCGAGTTGAATACATCACCCACCAGAACCAATGACATTGTTGGCATAGCCTGCGAACAATTGTCAAATTCACGTTAAAGAAGACAGATATTGTACCTGCCATCAGAAAACAGAGCTGTTCCACAGCTGTTAGGGAGGATTTGAGTATTGTGATTAGTTTGAAGATGAAAAACAAATGGCACAGTATAACGTACGCAAATATGAGAGAAACACGGTTCAGGGGGACTTTCCTAGCCATGGCGTTGTTGAGGGAGATAGTGGTAGAGGACGTCGATGAAAATGAATCTTTTGTATCAATTACGCCTATTAATATAGAATGGTGGCTGATTCTTACAGGTGATCCGGGCCCTGGCGACCCATACGGTCATCAACTTGTAGCATTTTCTCTGCCATTTTGCTCAATGTTGATTGGTGACATACCGGCAAACGTGTGCTCGTTTACGCATTCTACTTCGTACAAGTCAGGGCCAAGGCAAGTTTATGCTCTGCCACCCGAGGTGTCCGTTACAGGCATTGGGTGCAAAATGCTTACCAGGGTTAGAACGTGTAGCGCATGTGTGGCAAGCTCCAATCAGCTGCATGTGAGTAGAATTTCCTTTTCTGTCTAGTTTGGGAAGGATGACTAATCTCGTGTCATCGAGTCGGATTTATTGCTGCCGTGGTCCAGCTGGACTTATTTCCTTTAAATCGAATTAATTCACATAATAAGGTAAATTCAAGGCCGTTTTTCACACTTGAAATAAGGAGGTCCATTTGCTTAAACTAAGGTGGTTTCCTTCATCAGCAAAACCCTTGTGTGATTTGAGGCAATGTGCAGTACCACACAGTGCCATACAGTGACTGCAGCATCACAGTGAAGTCCCCCCCTGTGCAGTGGAGCCACAGCGCCACACAGTGCTGCCAAACTGAGTCAAAGCTGTGCAGGAACTAATTCGCCAGCTATGAAATACTACTATCTCACAATCACTAAATAGTAAATATAGCACTGTGTAGACTATTATTGGCACTGCGCAGTGGTGTATTAGGTAGCTATATAGCACTACAGAGTTGTACAATCCTTTCAATACTGCCTGTTAGTACTAGCACTGCAGAAAACCACAGATTATGCCTGGGATGAATGTGGCACAAACCTCTAGATCCATAGCAGACCCGTGCAAGATGTTTGCTAGCTTTGTTGCCACTGTCATATCAAACAATTGGTCGCAATTTTCATGTATCTGTCTCTTATTTCATGTAGGTTCTTTTGCAACTCGTTTGGTCTATAATCCTCGAGCATGTACACTAAATATTGGTATTATTTATTATATAATAAATCTTGTCCTGCTTACCAGTACCCCCACTGCCAGCTGCAGCCCACTGTAGATCATCAATTACTGCTTGTGCTGCGAATCATTGGCCATAGCAACAAGCAGATCATATAGCAGTACTACTAGTGAATCTCAGATGTAGATACAAGCACTGTAAGATGTCCGAGTAATGATACAGTTGAATTCTCCCCTTCACAATGTCCACAAACCTTGCGAGACTCAATGCCACAATTGTCGCCCATGAACAGCTCGAAACAAAATTTTCGACCTTTAAAGACCAAGCAGAAAAGAAGTTTCAGTTCCTATACAATGAGAACAAGCTTCTGAAAGCCAAAAACTCGCACCTGAAGTTGCAACAAAAAGATGCGGACAAGCGCTTGCGACGCATTGAAGCACAGGTCGGCATTGAATATATTGAAGCCAGTGATGATGCAGATATTGAGAATGATGAGGGTGAGCAGGTAATGGCAGCTCATTCAGAACTGAGTATTGGACTCCATGTTCATCAAGAATACTCTTGCGAGCAGCTTTCGTTGTAGATAACTTTGAATGATGTGCATGCTCAAGTAGTTTCCAGTCATCCTGCATATGAAAATCTTGATAATATTGAGCAATAACCATAGGCAGCTTTCAGAATTAGAGACTAGACATACTTGTAATGTCATATGCCACCAAAGAATCAATGTCGAGGAGAGAAATGAAGCAAAAATTGCAAGGGTGAGTCTTGTGACTATGTCCTGCTGTTCCAGTCAACTTGCGGGTTGCAGGAATATCCAAATTTTTGCATAGAATAGCTGCATAAACCTCATGGGGGCACTGAAATCCATACATATGCATATAAAGGCCTGACTCGTAAATAGAGAATCATGTCAGGTGGGAAATGAAAGTACCTTTGTATAGATGATGAATATCATTCATAAGGGGCTCAAGACAGTAATTGAGGTTCTCAAGACTTGGTTCCTTGGGTCCTGGGATAATAAGTGCCAGGTGGACATTGTGCATGAGCTATCTTACTGATTGGTGTAAGTTATTGAAGGAAATATACACCGCACCCGAGGAGTGAGGTCTACCCTCAGTGATTCCAAACCTTTACAAAGATTCAGATCTATTACTACCACTGTGACATTGAGGGAAATAAGCTTACCAGTCAATGTTGAGTGTCATACTGAGTCCAACGTCACAGCAAACAAGCAGACCCCATGAGCCTGGTGACTCCTCAATATCAGTGATGCTGCCATCAGGTAAACACACCTGCTTGAGACCAACTTCGAGCTTTGTCCACTCAGTGCCATCGTGTATATCATGCATCAAGTCGTCATCTGAGAGCTCCATGTGATCGATATCCTGAGAGGTGTCTCGTAGATTGCTGACAAACATTGACCTCAGGAGGAAGTGCTGTACTGCTTTGATTATAGGGCAATAAACGAGGACCTTTACAGGGATACACTTGAACTGATCTTCGCTTGTCGCAGGGTCTGTATGTTCACATTTGGTACGATACACATTCCCTTTGCAACAAGAGACCATGCATGTAGGGGTGTCGAGTTTCTGAATGTTGTCAAGAGAGTAGCATTTGTAGCATACATCGATCCTCAAAACATAGTCATCTGTTTGGAGTCCTAAGTGTTTCTTCATGGTGATGATTGAGCGTCGAGGAATGGGGAATGTCAGTAATGCACCACAAAGCTCAATAAGATCCAGGCCGTCTTGAATCTGTTTGGTGGCCTCAGCAACTGTCGAGGATCCAATAATGTGAGCAATTGCTGCCTGCAGGTAAAGTAGTCGAACAGGAGGTGTCTGTTGAAAAGCAGGAATGAGCTCTTGAAGCAGATCCTCATCATCAGCACCAGGGCCAGCATAGTTCGTCATGGAAGGGACTGGGTTGTCGGTGCATTATCTACATTTTTGATGTACTTGGGACTAGCAAATCATGGGTAAGATGGTGGAAATGGAGAGCGAGAGTGATCAAAATCATCATCATAAAAAATGTTGTTGTTAGGACTGTTGCCTTTGTCCAATAGAGTTGTGTCATCTTTGTAGTAGTTGAAATCCAGATTTTGAATGTCTGTTATAACGTCATGTGAGTCTTCTACAATGAGGTTCGGTGATGGAGGTAAACTCAAGGAATAGACCGTTGGACTTGTATCCATTGAGTCCAGAAGGTTGTCATAACTGGGATCCTGCTCAGAGACATTGTTTGAGTTTTGGAGACTGGGTCCATTAGTACTAGTAGCAGCAATCAGGTTGCTCTGATGTTTACTATATTCCTGGGCTGCCCGTCCTGCATTCAATAGGTCCGTGTCTTGTTCTTCGTGTCTTCTCCGAGTTCATGGAGTGACCATAGTAAAGTGAAGGACGGTCTTCCTGCATTTCATGCATCAGCAGGGTACAAGTTCCCCTGATTGAAGGATTTCCTTGATCAGTGAAGTAGATATCTTCATGGTCCTTACCTTCCTACCCATGGTTCGAAGATTACAAGCAATGGGTGAGAAAGCTACACAAGCAAGTTGTAGACTTGAGAACTACGATGTTGACGCGACACGATGGCCTCATAAATGTCACGCGCTCGAAGATATCAAAAACAAATATGTTTTATATAAATGCTATGTCAAAATACACATGCATGATACCTTAATTAAGCTTGAGCTTATCCTAGGCTCGAAGGATTTGGTTGTAATGAGAGGATTAGAGTGAAGTTCTAGTGCCACCATGATGTGAGTGAAATGTGGTACAAATGAGGTACAAATGTCTCACATCCGTCCCAGGCATAATCTGTGGTTTTCTGCAGTGTAGTATGCACATCACATGGCCCAGATGTCTTCTCACATGCCACAAGCGGTATCAAGTGCAACATGAAAACATTAGTATTGAAGCAAGGGTAATATGGTACTAGTAATGATGTGATCAGTATGGGATGCAAGGCTAGTACATAGTAGTATTAATCAAGTTCGACCACCCAGTCGGAATCGCTCTTGATGTCTTGAGGTTTATCATCAACAATGACCCCAGTCCTGTTTCGATGATCAATAGTACTAGTTTAAAAAACAAAGAAACACGTACATGCCAGCCATAGCCCAAGATTGGAGTGCTTCATTAAGCTTCTCACTATGATATTCTTTATCTGCGACCTGCTTGAGCATATTTGTTAGTTTACGGTACACCTTCGCAGAATCTCCCAAGGCTGTTTGCTTCGTGTTCACATGGCCATACATTGAGTAGACATGAAGAACATTGCAAACCTGAAATAATAATATGAATCAATAAAAACAATGGTGCACAGACTGATTTGATAGGCTTACAATGGTGGCAACAAGGAGAAGGGCTTTGTGAGGGATGGTGTTATGAAATTCAGGAAATTGTCATAATGATTTCAAACTGCTGTCATAGAATGCTTGAAGGCAGACAGAGCGGAGGCCACTGTGTGCAAAGTTAGAAGTATGATCCTGCTAGCAGGTTAGCATTGGATTTTGAGATTATGATGGTGCGTACATGCTCATCATGTTCTTCACACAAATATGTTGAACCCTTCAACAATGCACTCGCTTTCTGTTTGATCTCGCTCTCACTGCCACTCAGCTTGTACTCCACAGGAACAATATTGATCGCGATTTGCTTGATCCTACTGCGAAAGTTGATGGAATCATTGTAAATCTGTTGGAGCACAGACTTGAGTATTGATGGGGAATCTCAGATAAAAATGACCCTTACAACAGTGGCCATGTCATACTCATATTGGGGGTCTGATGTTCAAAATACATCTTTACGAACTAATGGGGTAGAAACCTTGATAAAATTGTTAGCGGCACACTACTATTAGACCAGCCAAAAAAAATACCTGCTTCAAGATGGCAGTTTTGTGCCTCCCAAGCCACAATCGATTCTGTGACTAGTTCCAAGCATATACCAGTGTCACTAAGGGCTTCCTTGCATGCAGGAAATAGGGTCTGCAGTGGCAAGATGCAACCTGAAACAGGCCTTTGTGTAATTTAGCAGTTTGACCCAAAGATCTGGAAAGAAACCAAGAGTCTTCCATTTTGCAACAACAGCACCGCCCTGTGTGTTCTTGGCTGCCTTTGTGTGGTGCCCAACACTGGTGTGTTGAACCTCTAAATCTGTATCAACCTTCATGTCACCATCAGAGTCCCCAGCCGCTTGATGATTGTTGTTTGACTGGAGATTGCTGGTGCGAGCGTGCTTGGTGTTCGCCTGGTTGACCATGAAGCCAGAATGGCACACTGAATGCAAGTACGTTGGTGATGGAGACTGAGCATGATGGTTAGTCTTCTTATGCTGTTTAACGACATCATAATCCACATCAGGCTGATGAACATGATTAATCCAAGCTGAGTATACCAATAGTAGTTACTTACCACTTCCACTATTGCATTGGAACAAGCTGGTTTGCTAGTACCATGCAGTCGACTGGCTTGTGGTTGGTTCCACTCACTGCGATCTTTACGCCTATTTTGCCTGTCATCCTTAGATGCATGTCTAAGGTGGTCAACCCATTGTTCTACCTGACCTTGATGGCGCTGGGTGTGGCTGATATCCTCATCCTCATCTGCGGATCTGTCAAGTGAGAATTTGACAGGTAGAAAGGTATGCATTTCGTCATTGCTTGGAGGGAACTTGTCGTCGTTGACCATGTTTAACCCATAATCAACCTTGGACATATCCTTGTCACCATGATGTTCAGTTTCTTCATTTTCCAAGACAGAAACAGGTTGCAAGATGGAGGAAGCACTGTCTGGAAAAGCTCGACCTGCCCCCAACAATTTTTTTTGAACAGGTGGGTTGGATAGCTTTGGGTATAGGATGATAGGCTGCGCCCCATGGATAGCGGGTGCATGCATGACAGACAGTTCAACAGCAGGCCTTTTTGCAACTTCCATGCGAGTATGGGAGCGTGGTCTATCCTGCTGAATATGAGACTTCAGATGCTCAGGGTGCTCCTCCAACCCCAAAGGCTGCAAACCAATGTAACCCAGAGGAATGGGGTTCTTCTGTAACCTGAACCTTTCACCAGGCTCTACAATGTGCAGAGAAGGTGCGGAACTTGCATCATCCGATTGATCTGGTGTCATAATGCTGGTACAGCCTGCAGAATATTAAGTGTAAGGGAATGTGTAGCTTCACATTGTAGAACTTACTGCTTTTTTTACCTTTCTTGTGAGTTCTCTTTTTGCTGGAGATGGCGCCATGATGTTCTCCAGCTCTCCATCAGGTATAACAAACTGTTGTCCCTTGCAAGTGCGTCTTTCTGGTACATTGATCACAGCTTCTCCAACCCTCCTTAACTGAGAGGCTGCTCCACCTTTTCCAGCATTGGGACATCTGGTATGCTGAGGCCCCAAAGGTGAGTCAACCTGAGGCTGCTCAACAAGTGGAGTTGTGATCCCTGAGTCATAATCACTCAGGCTGAGCATTGAGGAATCAGATAGCACTCGCAGACACTTTGCCATCCTGCCCATGGTTGGTGGAGGAAATAACAGCAAAGACAGATGGCCTGAACTCGCCAATTAAACTAAGTCCCATGATGAGGTAAAAAGCAACATGTAGCCTTGTAATTGAATCTACCTAGTATTACTATTAGGTCTGCTTACTATCATGATGCCATAATATTACTCCCGTAGACACCTGTCTACTGTTTCAACTAGATACATTGTTTTATTGCATTATTATGTTCTCTACTATTAATGATCAAGCCTCTATAGTGACACCAACTGTAGCTGTTCCTGTGTCGTCCAGCCCACTCAATGCTGTGACACCTGCTTATCCCTCCTGAGCCAAAAAAGTTCATATACCCAAACATACTATTATCCCCCAGACTCCTGTTATTCATCCACCCATTGGCAAGTCAGTACAATGTATTCCAATGTCAACCGGAACTCCTAGAGCTATTGGTGCTCTTCCAAAACACATAACCTCCAAGGCTAGAGGGCTCATGCAACACTTGATCATGCCAAATATCTCAGGGTCACACCATAGCCTTGTTGCACATGTGTCCACCTTCCAGTCAAACAAAGATTACGATGATAGCAACACTAGTACTACTGGTGATGTAAATTATACATCTAGTATTCATACTTATGCTATATTATGAGTGCTGATATTACCTAGGAATCCACTGACTCTATCAAAGAAGCTAGAGCCAGGCTTGTTTTGGATGCCTCCAGAGCACAGCAAGATGTTTGTCTTGCAGAAAAAAAAGTTGCAGACTTCATCATCAAAGAGAATGATGCACTTGGGAGGCTATATAGGTTCCAAGCAGAAGAAGCTCAGAAACAGCTCATGGACGCTAATTTTGGTATTGGTTATATATGCCATTCCATCTGCAAAAGTGGTGTCACATTATCGGATAATTCAAAGCCCTGAAAACATTGTCACACCTCTAATAATAGTTGAGTTCATGCTCGGATGAACCACTGGTACTAGCCAACCACCTGGGTAAGTAAAATTTGATTGTACAGTAACTCTTTAATTCACATACTCCACAAGATGATTCTATAATGCTTGAATGCGAGCCTACTTATGACTCAGAGGCTCCTGTACTAGAAGGTTTATAATGCAATCTTCCTGTTGAGTATCAGATTGTACCTATGATACTGTGTCAACCCCTGTTGCCTCCAATTTGAGTCTCTTTTGAATCACCAAGTTGTAACTTGTACTAGTGGCTGTGATAGTGGCAGCTTAATGTATTTCTCTGAATCTTGCACAGTCAGTAAGGATGATTTATTGGACATGAAGTATACTACATATATAGTGGCACTGCAGACTGCTGTATCCTGCTACATGCCACTGTATACCACTGTGTAGCACTGCAGAGTGCTGTGTTTCAGGTTTGAACTCCGCTCTTGTTCAAAGTCCCAGCTGTCCCCATAACCCATAGGCTTTCTACTGTGTATATCATTGAATCTAATGGCAACATTGGATGGCTCAGATCAAAATTGTGTAAAAAGACAGACTTGAAGTAGATTATTACTAGTAGCGGCATGATTTTTGTGGAACTTGAATGGAGTGGACCATCCACAATTAGATATGTCAGCTGGCCACTGGTTGAGTGCTGCCTGGGCCGTATTGATCAACCTTTGTTGGCATCTTAACTTGAACACTCTTCAATGAGTCTCTGTCATGGCCATCAGTGCTAGCAGACATGGATCTCTTCCCCTCAGCACGCCCTCATTGTACTCTAATGTTACTCAATCTGCAGGCCAGTCGGGAGACTGGCTGCCTTTAACACCCTCAACCAATCCAAAGTTGTCCTTCATCTTTGGTCAACAAACACTCCAGCTTGAAGAATTGCATGAAGACATTTTCAAGCCTGTAGAACTACCTGACCTTGATCAGCTAATCCTTCTTAATGATAACCTTAAAGCAGCTTTCATAAAAACACTTGCTTTTGAGCATGATCAAGCTGATGAAGGCTTGAATATCGGTATGAATTATTTGTGATCTTATCATTTGGTTTCTTTTCAGTTAGATTTGACGACTGCACTCTCCAGATCACTGCATCACCATTCTTGAAGAACTTCAATGGTTTCAACTACACATGATCATAAGGTATTATTTGAGTTCATTGAGTATCTCTAACGCCCTTCAAGACCATCTGACATATCACACCAGTGGAATATGCGGCTGTCTTATCATTTATGTCTGAATCGCCTATAGAAATCAAAGCCAAGTAAGCCGGCTGCTCAGATCAGTCATTTGTGCCGATTGTTACTGACACATACAAGATCTGACTACTTTCCAGATACTCAAGAAGTTGAGATTATGAGCCCCTCCCCGTTCATGAAACCATCATCTACTCTTCACAGATCGGTCACAATGACCAGTATGTCAACACACAATTCTTCATGAACAATCGGCTTCCTGATGAAGAATCATTGCAGCAAGTCCCAGATATCATGGGTGTTGATCAGTTTGGCAACAACAAAAGTTTTGTTTGGTGGCTCGTCAAGGCGGGTTTCAGTCAAAGTGACACATCCATTATGCGCAAATTTGTAAACATGGTGAAGAACAACTCAGATATTAAGAAGCTAATCAAGGTATCGATTGATGAGGATGGCATATTCCAAGGCCCAGAAGAGCATACTGAGGTCACAAAGTCACTTCGCAAATCTGGATCATGGATGAACCACGAGAAGTTCAAGAGCCTCGTTCTGCCCAAAACATCTGACATGATGTATGGGCCTGTAGTTGTTGGGGGGCACAATTGGTTGAAGTTGAAGGTGGTTAGATTCACAGTATAGTTGAAGGATGAAGCATCAGGCAAGTTTTGATTCAATTGGAGGGATCCCAAGCACTATGCCGAAGGGGTACGTCCTGTTTTATTGTGTTATCATTCACCTTACAATTCAAACCTACAGACTCTCATTCCTGGTATGAATATGGTGGATGTAGATCGCCTACTCAACATGAGTGCTGCGAACCTTAAGGCTGAGATCATTTCTATCATGGAGAAGTTTGGGCTTGAGAAGAGCATGATAGACAAAGCTTGTGATTTGAAACCCAAGCTACCATTCAACTGGTCTGCCGCTGCTATGCAAATGTCCTCTGCTGTTTGTGACACTGCCTACTTTCGTTACGTTAATTGGTACAACTACAAGTACAACAACAAGTGTAAGGGTGCTACTACCACTCACACCACGAAAGTCTCTGGCGAGTCATCTCAGGCCATCGCCCCAGCTACTCCTCTTGACAGTGGTTCCACTGAACGTGACTCGAAGAAGTCAAAGGTCTCACAAGAGAAAGAGACGAAGAACATTAGCTCAAAGGAGAAGAAGAAGGCAGGCGGCAAGGGGAAGTCCTGGGCTGCATAACTGAATGAGCCTGAGCAGTAGTCTTCATTTCGCACTGACATTTAATGTTCAAGTTCATTGAATTTCACTGTAACAATAGCATACTAGCCCGCTGAGTACTACATTACTTGTAGTATATACATCATCAACTGTTGTCTGTGTTGCATCTGCCATACCATATGTACCACTACCTTCTCTAATATATCATATCGTTCATGATGCTGCTACTACAAAGTTTTTCTGCACTATGTAAGCTGAAAATTAAAAAGGAAAGTGAAGTGTGGGTACTACATACTAGTACTACTAGTAGCAGTGTTAGTACATGACTGAGCTAGCATACTAATGCCCAACTGCCTGAGCTGTCTAAAGAAGTTCAAGGATGCCTTGGGTGTTACACGTCACCTGGGCCAGCCCCTTGTATCATGTTGACAACATATTACTGTGGAGTACACAAGTGCAGCACAAATACTCAACTCGTTGGATTGGCATGTATCTTTTGAATCCAATCATCAATCATCATCATCATCACACTCTCAGTCTTCTGGCAGACCCAGAATTCAAAGCCCTCATGGCTTTTCAATGGGCTTAGATCTGCCACCAGCATGGAACCCGGGCCCTACTACTAACTCGGATGGAGATGATATGGCCTACCACCATGAAGAAGCGGACATGGAGAATGGTTTTCCTATCTCTGATGGAGAGACACTAGATGGCGGAGCTGCAGGGGGGCATTTTATGTGATTTCAAGGTGCTGCAAAGGTACATGCACGGGGCCTGACTTTCCTGGAGCGGTTCAATGATGATGTATATGCACATCATCGTAATGACAATTTGTATTATCCATTTGCATCCTCCAAGGATTGGGAGCTTGCCAGTTTTCTACTGTCCTCGACATTGAGTATGGCGGCCATAGATTGCTTCCTAGTGATGAAACTAGTATGTTTTCCTTCACCAACTCTGGATCAGCCAGGAATTCAAGTCTTTGATAGATCAAAGCACACCTTTCAGTCATACAATACTGTAAAACCCTGTCATAGGACATGTACAGTGCCCTGCAAAACCTGGACTACCGGACACCGGCCGGTTTATGTATACTCAGGATTGGCCAACTATCTGCAATACCAGGACAGGCCTATCAGTCTAGTATAAATGATATATCTGCAATACCTGGACAGGCCTGTGACTCTAGTATAAATAATATATCTGCAATACCTGGACAGGCCCATGACTCTAGTGTAAATGATATATCTGCAATACCTGGACAGGCCCATGACTCTAGTGTAAATGACAAATATACCAATATGCAGGGGTAGGTGTGGCCAATTATACATAGAAGCTTATTTGTAGTCATACAGCAAGACCTGCAAGGCCCAGTGCTATAATAACAATACAGGCCTATCTATAGCTGATACTACAGTGATGCAAATACTGTAGGGGCTCCAAGCCCTCAATCCTCCAGTATATAATAATGGCAATGTCTAAAAAGAGTGTGGTGTAAACAATTTTGGATCAGTATGGTTTTCAAGGCCCTTGAAGACCTCAATCCATTGGTATATTGAACTAGCCAAACATCATCAGCATTCAAATTTGATCAAAGGATTGGGCTGAGGTTATTACCTTTAATCCAACTTGATAAATGCTAACATAAAAATCTACAAAATCTGTACAATATACTAGTAGTACAGTTGTGATGCACAAAACTGTAACATGGGTGAATCCATCAATCTTGGGCTATTCAAAATTCACTATACACTATGAAGGCCAGTCATGCATATTCTATATCTAGTCAGTGTGGGCCGGCCTGGTGTTGCATTCCGTGAAATTAGGCCAGGCTGCATGGGTTATGATGTATACTCTTACTGGCCGGCCTGCATCCACACTATATAATGTGGGCCGGTGTAACAATAGTTGCAGCACTGGGCTCAAAACCTGTGTTTTTGATACTCATGTTAAACAGTATTTGTCCGATGCATCCCCAACATTCCTGATCCCGATCCTGACGCCTGACCCCAACCTGAAAGTTTTGGACCCAACATTTTTGCATTGGACTCATCCTCCCTATGTCCTGTCCAGTTGTATCTACCCCCACTGGTGCATATTTACTCGTTTTCACATTATTGAACATTACAGACAGTGTTATTACATGTTATCTACAAAAAGGTATAGTACACATGCTCTTTTACATACATTCGGATTTGATTTTGCGCTACTGTTTTTGTCTAATGCACTCCGAAAATCCTACATAGACACTATTTAATATCTAGTACTTCCTACCTATTGCATTACTTACTTTTCCCTACTCAGTAGTAGGATGGAAGTCATTGGATATTAGTAGTACTTCATTGTATTGCGAAATATCTATCCGCTCTTTTTTTTCCGAAACATTCTGACACATCTGACACTCATTTTACCAACAATCCGACACACTTCCAACACATTCCTTCACCATCTGACACATTCCTGACAGTCTGACACATAGTCCGATGCCCGACCTGACTCCGATATTTTCGGACCCGACAGTTTCCCTTTGGACAAGTAGTTCTTAGCTTCAGATTATCTTCCTATTATTGATAACTAACTATCTAAACTAATACCAAACAGCTTCCCCTATAGGATCGAACACACTTGCTCTGCAAGTATAGCAGACTAGGTTGTGCAAAGATCTACCTAAATATTTGTTGTCTAGGTAGTACAATTTCTGCTGAGCCCAGCGCAAATCAGCTTTCTACACCGGCCTGGTGTTGCCATCTGTGAAATAAGGCTGGCCACATGGGTTATGATGTATACTCCTAATGGCCGGCCTGCTTCCACAATGTATAAAGTGGGCTGGCCGAGCCCATAGTGACCCATATCAGTGAAGGCCAGCCTGGTGTTGCAGTCTGTGCAAATGGGCTGGCCAAGTCAGTCGTGACCTGTATTCAAACATGTATGGCCAGTCTCATCTTAAATATTTCTTTAAGTCTGAAGTACAGATATACAAAATATTGAATCAACTGTAAGTCATTGTGATACAAGATGTATGTAATGATATATGAAGTATTTCAGACATTGTACTTCTTGGGAATTACTTTGTCCCTGGTAGAACAACAAGGTGGATCAGAAGGGAAAGCTTTCACCTTTTTCTTGGATGGTTCCTCCACATCTGCAGCAGGCCACTTATCCTTCCCTTTGGCATTGGATTTCCTCACCCTCTTGTCCCCCTTGCTTGCTTAGTCAATCTTCCTTCTTCCTCAACCCTCTTCTCCTCCTCAACCCTCTTCTCCTCCTCAACCCTCTTCTCCTCCTCAGCCTTCTTCTCCTCCTCAGCCTTCTTCTCCTCCTCAACTCTCCTTTTCTCTTTCAACTTCTTTTTCTCCTCCAACCGCCTCTTCTCAATGTCTTGCCGCACAATGGACAATCCCAGGTTCTCATCTTTCAGCATAGCTTCAACTTCTGCCCCTATCTCTGTAACCTTTTCCTTAATCTGGTTGCCCATACAGAAGCCCAAGCTAGAGTTACCCAAGTAGTCAGGTACATCATCTCCAGCTTCATCAGCTTCATACTCCTAAGCATGACAACACTCATGAAGTAGGAGTCCAAGCTCCAGGGTCACAACTATGCCTCATCCACAAGAATCAAACTGGTAGTTACTCAACTGCTTCAGGGTGCCTGAGGCGGTCTCTATATTCTCATGGATGTCTTGAGGCAGATATGCCTGAGACCACATCCAAGAAGCCCAGACAGGGAGTTGCTGCTTCCTTGACTTTGAATCAGTTCTTTGCTTTAAAAAAGACAAAATCAATGTCAAATCACAAGATTAAGATCTGACCTACCAGAAGCTTTTGAACTGCAGTAAGAAGATGTTGATATGAAGGGACAGTAGAGAGAGACTTGAGATAAGGGACCATGTCCCTATCAAGATGGTATTTAGGGCTGGAATCAGTAATAATAGGAGTCTCCACCGAGTCATCTTCATCTGAAGAGCTTTTACCATCATCGACCTTCTTCAAGAGTCCTTCCTCATCCAAAGAGACTTCAACATAATCAGGCTTCCTCCTTGACTTGCCCTTTGCAGCTCCCTCCTTGATGCGAGCATCATAGAAATCAGCTTGCCTATATCCAACAAAACGTACAATTGGCATATCATGACTAGCACAATCTTTCCAGTGGGAGTACATCGCAGCGATGGTGTCCTTTTGCAGGTGAGAAGAATCCCTGATGGTGACATTTTCAGGGATGCATCCCAAATCAAGGTAGTAATTGGGATCAACAGACATCTCACCCCAGGGTACTGCAGCGCGGGGATAGTTGGTAATAACAGCTGGAGAGAGTGAGTAAATGATAAAATCACATAAGACAAATCAACTCACCATAGGCCTTTTGAAAGACAGTCCGAATAAGCTATTGCCGCTGCTTGAGCTTGAGAGTTCCAAAGCCTTTGGGTAGGCAAGGATAACCATCATCATCAACCTCAACAATCAGATCTGGGAGATTATTTTCATCGTCATCCTCTCCATCACTAAGCTCTCCATCAACTACTAGACATTTAGCTACCATATTAGATTTGAAAATTGAAAGAGACATTTACCATATTCTCTTTTGAGGAGCCAGTTGACAAGATGATCTTGAGCATGTTCTGCCCATTTCCGATTATCTTTGGTTGCCCAAGTAAAAGGCTTTTTGGCCTTTTGAGGCGAGGTCTCCCAGCTTTAGAAACAAGTTTGTCATTATTAATGATGTGAAGCATCAAAACACTTACACAGTAGTTCTAGGAGCCTTTCCCTCACTCCAGTCATAGGCTGTAAGGATGACAACATGCAATCTCATAGTCCTCCAGACCATGCCCATAAAGTCCTCCATTATTTTTTTCTGGTTATGGGTATGATATCTGTTGATGTATTATTGAGTTATGTAGCATGTATGGCAATAGAATGTTAGAAAAAAATACCTGTCCCTAGTATCTGCAAGAGGTCCTTCCTGATTCCATTTTTCTGTGACTCGATCAAGTTCCTTCTTCACCTCAGGGGACATGGCCTGGTGCCACATACGGGCCAATCTTGTCCTCTGACCCATAGACTTGAGGTTAGAGGTATCTCTGTGCTGCTTGTCATATTCTGCAAATTCATCCTTAAATAATTTTTGGACAACATCAAAACTGGAGAATTCTGTCTTATACTTCCCAGCATCCTCAGACTTATCATCTTTCTGCTGTCTCACCATCTCTACAGTGACAGCATCTAGAGCAGATCTGTCCTTAGTCACTCCCTCAATAATTTCTTTCTTCACCTTGCGGTCCTCATCATCTTCCAGAAAGTCCAAATAATAAGCACGGATAGCCTGTATTTATTAGATTAGTATAGAACATAATTATAAAAGCTCACCTTGTGTAGATTTTTCTCAGGAAGCATGACACAAGGGTCTTTGACTGCTTCACTGCTACCTATAGCATCTTTGATCATCTTGAGGATATATGCCCTGATGGCAGAATTTCCTCTAGCTGCTACAAAGGAATCCTTGTGTTCATTCAACACATTGCTAAAAACAAGAGTCCAGCTGGCCATTATATCAGACAATAACAGGAATGCAGGCCATTACAAGATTGCAGAATGTACAGTTGAACATTGTTGAAAAACTCAACATTACAAACACGGTCATGTGACATCTAAGTTCATCAAGCGCATCTACCAAAGTTTCATTGACAAACAACCAAACATTATTGCCTAAAGCTAAGACATATGAAGTGACAAAATTTGAGTAACCAAAGTAAGAAATGTACATAATCAAGTCAACAAGGGCTTCAAAGGTACATGCATCCATGAACACCCTGACTTCCTACCAGATGTCAACATGGTGGCCCCTTCAGGCGAGCTAAAGCTGAAAGACTGGTTGCAAACACCATTCTTGCACTCAAAGACATAGACCTTGTCTTTGCAGCCCCTGACAAAGACTGACCTCCAAGAATTAGTCCACTCACAGATTGGGCATTGGATTGGCAGGAAGCTGCCCCAAGGCTGGAAGTTCACATCTGTCCATATAAACTTAGAGACCTGCAGACTGCCCTCAAGTGGTGTCAGTAAGAAGACATCAGTGTGGCGACCAAGTTTGTAGGCTTGACCCAGCATGTTGCCAAATGCGAGGCCAATGGGACAGTGCTCCACAAGGACTTGTTCAGTGAATGCCAGGAGCAAATGGGATGCAAAAGATGGTTGAAAACGAGTGGCATTGAATGCCACTGTGGCAGAGAGCTTGTAACTGTTGAAATGTCAGATAAAATAAGAAATATAATTTAAATGAACTTACTGAACAACTGCGCACTGCAATCCTGCAAATGAATCACTGTTGTTGACAATTGTGTCACAGCACAAGAGCCAGAGGTAGGTTTCATCCACATGGTCCAAGAGAGATTGCCATGGAGTAAGGATACTGTCCAAGAACTTCAAGTTAGTAGTTAGTAATCAGGTGCAGGAGAATTTAAAGAAAAAACCTACATCTTCAGTTGGAGCGCCAGCATAGTGCTTCTCACCATCCAAACTGTACCCAGCAAATGGGTCACCTAGATCATTGTCAGTGTGAGTGAAGATGCCAACCACCACACGTTCCCATGTGAATGAGTTCTTGAGGTCCTTGATGGTTTGACGGATGGTTTTGCAGTAACCAGACGCGTCAGAGACAATGTCATATGCGATCTCATGATATTCAATGCCGCCGCTGGTGAAGTAGGGCTTGAGGAACGAATGAGCGAAGGCGAAGGGGCTGGCAGTAGTTTTGAAGTTGACAAGAACAAGGTGAATGAATATGATGGGTGCAGCCAAAATTTGCGCGTGCGATGAGAGTTTGAGGGAAGCATGGACCTTTAGAAAGGACTGGAGGACAGGGACACCATTAGGATGATAGAAGCCTTGATATATTATGAGTTGTGAATGAAAAGATAAAGAAAACAATTACTCACATAGTAGGCGGCGCCCTGCTGTTCCATAGCAATGTGGCAACATATACACCTAAAAGAGACATCCTCAGCGAGGAACGTCTCTTCGGTGCCTGGGGGACATTGCATGCACAGGCAGCACATCACTCTGGGGCACTGGTTGCACATAAAGAGAGTGTTCTCTTTGAATGATGCAGAACCATCCTGGCAGAGGATACAGAACTGTGAGGGAACAAGGTACATTTGGCAAGAAACAAAAGACTCACCTCATTGTGACGAACTGCTTTGGATATCTCCAAATTTTGGGCTCCATCCGGCTCTCCTCTAGAAAGGCTCTTGGCGACAGTCTTGATGAGCTTGAGGTGTATGTGTGGTGCAGAACCACCAGTACACTTCTTGGCAGTGTTTTTGGTGCACACCATGATAGAGAACCTGAAATTGTAGTCAGTATGCCACAGTGCCACACAACAATAACAAAAACTTACTGGTAACAAAAAGGACGTGCATTGATGAAAGGTTGAACTGAAAATGTAGTCAGTATGCCAAGCACCACACAAACAAAAACAAAATGCACCTGTGACAAGAGTGACATGTTCACAAATAGAGACACATCCACAAAGTGCGCATTGATGAAAGGGTGAACTAAAAATAGTAGTTAGTATGCTGCAGCGCGACACAAAACAAAAGACACTTACAGGTGATGAAAGAGACACATTCAGAAGAGAGACATGTCCAAAAAAATGGGCGTTGATAGAAGGTTGAACTAGATATAGTAGTTAGTAAGCAGCAGCGCAACTCAAAAACAATAAAAACTTACCTGTGACAAAAGAGATGCATTCAGAAGAGAGACACGTCCACCAAATGCGTGTTGATGGAAGGTTGAACTAATAATAGTAGTTAGTAAGCAGTAGTGCAACTCAAAAACAAAAGAAACTTACATGTGACCAAAGAGACATGTTCAGAAGAGAGACACATCCAAAAACTGCACCTAATGTTGTGTCTAGTCTCTACAGGTTATGAGCCCTGCTCTCTTGTAAGAACAAGGAGCAGAACCACCTAGATGACAGCAAACCTACTAGGAACGAACACGCTGGGCTACTAAACACCCCTGGGACCATCAACGACGATGTCAGCATCATCATTCAAAAGCATAGTCCTTTCCTCTTCTGGCATCAGCATCATTTGAATGCATACCCCTTTCCTCTTCAGGCAAGAAGCGCCAATCACATACCCATATATACTTGAGAAGCTACAGATCATTTCTTTCACCTGTCCCTCATCATGCCCTTTACAATGCATACTCGTTCTCGGAGCTCTGGTAACAAATCCTCCACACTCAGCCCACCAACTAATAGTTCAGCTATACCCACTATCACCACTATGTCCTCATTGCAGGCTACCGTCACGGCAATCACGCTCAGTCAGACTGACTTAGATAAGATTGAAGTTCTTGACCACAGCACGAATAATTGGGGTGTATGGTCCAACTGTATGCAGAACTACCTCCTCCTGAAGCACAGAGCAGGATATATCCTGGGCCTTGTCACATGTCCAGACCCGTCCATAGACCCTGTGAGTGCAGGTCACTGGGACCTTAATAATCTATGCATCATTGCTGCCCTGTGAACTTGTTCAAGTGCCAAGGAAAACAAATTCCTTTGCAATTACACTAACGCATACCTTGCCTGAAATGCCCTCAAATCTCGCCATGAGAAAGTCGGCCCAATCGCCCAAATCCTATTAATTCAACAAGCACTCACAGTATGATATTGCCATTCTGAACGTCTCTCCACCACCAGTACCCAACTCAGTGATCTCGTGCGATGTATCTATGCTATTGGGATACTGAAGGAGGAAGATTTCCTTACCATTATGATGCTCAATGCCATGGCAGAGGATCTTCCCCACGTTCGAAACCACATTGCGGATGCCATTACCACTAGTACATCTGCTGCTCCCTATGGCCCTTCAAACATTCGCTCCCACCTTGAAGTTGAACAACAGATCATCAATATTGAGAAGTCCAAAAGTGGGGATGTTGCTATGGCTGCTACTGGAAGGAGTAACAATGCCAAGAACCACAATAATCATGATCATCCTGCCTGTGACACCTGTGGCCACACCAGCCACCCAACGAAAGACTGTTTCGGCAAGGGAGGAGCCATAGAGGGTAAGCGTGATGAGGTATTGGCTCGTAAACGTGCCACTCGCAAAGCTAAAGGTTCAATCACAAGCAAGGCTGCTGCCACTGGTAAACCAGGCAGCCTTCAGTATGATACCACAGGTCGTGCATACTTGCTTGATAGCAAAACTCACCAAGTGATCTATGTGGCTACCCCTGATCCTGCCAACCCTTCTACCCCTTCAGCTGAATTTGCTAGTCTTGTTAGCGATACAATCACCCCCGCCTTCATCTGTGAATTGTCGGCTGAGGAGGAGGATGAATATATGGCTCTGGCTGCAGTCGAAGCTCTAACTACCAGTCTCGACTGGCGTTTACATATACGACCTGTCAACTTCACTGGAATCACATACAAGGTTCCAAATCAACATCAGTGTACCATCATAGACCCTTCCATTGTCCCACTCTTCTTAGACAGTGGCGCCTCCATCCATATTAGCAATGAGGAGTCTGATTTCTTTAGCCTTCACCCTATACCCCCTCGCGCTGTTAATGGAGTCAGTGGCTCATCTATTCAGGCTGTTGGCGTGGGCACTCTATGCCTTGTTATCACCAGAGGTATTCATATTACCCTGGATAATGTTCTGTTTATCCCTGCAGCTACAGTATGCTTGATCTCTGTCTCTGCACTCTGCGCAGCACACTGCTGCACTGCATCATTCAACGCAACTAGCTGCTGGGTTCAATCCCGTAATGGCACCCACATGCTATCTGGCACACTGACTTTGTGTTGCCTTTATGCCCTTTCTGGCAGGCAATTATTGGCTGAACACTCCTACCTCACACATCAGATGCCCATGCTCCAGTCTTGGCACTGCCATCTTGGACATGCTAACTTCCGTGCCGTATATGACCTTGCCCGCTCTGGTAATGTTACTGGTATGCCCATTGACCTTTCTGTCCTATCACCCAAGTGTGACAGTTGCATTCTTGGCAAACAGACCCGCAGTAATGTTCCCAAGACACATACAGGGGAGAGGGTGAGCAAGAGGCTTGAGATTGTGCATGTTGACCTTATGGAACATCCTGATACTGTATCCACCTCTGGTAATAAATACATCATGAACATCATTGATGATTTTTCTTCCTATGCCTGGGCCATCCCGCTTGCAGCAAAATCCAATGCTTTCCCAGCCTTACAAGCCTGGTCTATTGCTCGTGAAGTTGAGATTGGCACCAAAATCAGCATCTACCATTCAGACAACAGAGAATTGAAAACCGAGAACATGCGCCAATGGCTCCTCACACGCAGCTCTCAACACCAGTTCACCACACCGTATATGTCTGCTCAAAATGGTCGTGTTGAGCATCTCCATTGCACCTTAATGGGTAAGGCCCAGGCTATGCACTCAGCATGTGACATCCCTGCCAATTGTTGGGATGAATTTGTCCTTAGCACTTGCTATCTCTCTAACCGCACTCCAGTAGTATCGCAGGATGGACACACACCCTTCGAATGATGGACTGGCAATAAGCCAGATCTCTCTCACCTGCATGAGATAGGTTGCAGGGCCTTTGTTCTCATTCAAAACCACCATAACCCTAAGATATACAATTGCTCTATTGAGTGCATACTCATCAGTTACTCCTTAGACTCGAAAGCTTACCATTGCTATCACCGACCCTCTCACAAAGTATTTGTCTCTTATTACGTCTCTTTCATAGAATCCCATCAGTGTGGATTGCCCTTGCCCCCTTTGCCCAGCACACCTCCCATACCTATCAACCATCCCATGGTTGATATCGAAGAAGTTGTGGATGTTGACAACCCACACTGTTCTACTCAAGTATCTAAACCTTCAGAGCATCAATGTGCACTAGACAGCAAACCTTACATCTCTGCTACTCAATGAGCCGTCCTGGATTCGATCACTGCAGCCAAACATCTTTGAGCTTTGCCACCTGATCAGCCCCCTGTGACCATGCCCTCTGAGGAGGAGCTTGCTAACCTTGCACATATATTCACCACTTTGCCCAACACCTTTGATCATGAAATTGCTGATGACCCTGCTACCTATGCCAAAGCTATGTCATCTGAACACGCCAAGGAATGGACAGCAGCTCTACACAAAGAATTTAACTCACTGCGTGACCTTGGTGTCTACAAATTGGTCCCTCAATCATCTGTTCCTCCTGGTTGACGTATCATGCTAGGCTGTCCTGTTTTCAAATTGAAACGAGACCAACATGGTGCACCCATTTGCTTCAAGGCGAGGTATGTCTGTTGTGGATACTCTGCCATCTGGGGCAAGGACTACACAAAGACTTCAGCTCCTACCACATGTTTGGAATCCTTTCGTATCCTCACACACCTGGGCGCAGCACTTGACTGGGAAATTGAACAACTTGACATCAAAACCGCTTTCCTCCACGGCTTACTCGAAGTGGATGAGGTCTGCTATATGCACCAGCCCGAAGGATTCATAGAGGCTGGCAAAGAAGACTGCATATGGAAACTCCAAAAAGGTCTGTACAGAATGAAGCAGGGAGGCCTCGTTTGGAATTGAACCATGAATGAAGCCATGCTCTCCTGGGGGTTCATATGACTCAAATGTGAGCACTGTATCTATTACCAACAAACTGACCTTGGTACCCTCCTTGTCGCTGTTCACATAGACAATTTCCTCACTGTCGGCAGCACTAAGAATGTGATATCAAACTTCAAAGACCAATTGCGTACTAAGTGGACTGTATTGGACTTGGGGGAGGCACATTTCTGTTTAGGTATCGCTATTGAATGAAACTGTCTAAATCACATGATAAATCTCTCACAAATGGCTCTGATTGATCACATCATCCAACAATTCGGCTTGAAGGACACCACCCTGTGTCTACACCAATGGAAACTGGTTTTCACCTCTCCCATCACACTCACTCGCCCTCAACCGACACACAACGCGACCTCATGTCCTGCACGCCATATTGGTCTTTGGTTGGATCCCTCATGTACCTTGCTGTAGCGATAGTCGTGGTGCTGGGCTCAAAACCCGTGTTTTTGATACTCACGTCAACTAAGTATTTGTCTGATGCATCCCCAACATTCCGATCCTAATCCCGATGCCCGACCCTGACCCAAAAGTTTCGGACCCAATGTTTTCGCATTGGACTTGTCCTCCCTATGTCCTGTCCAGTCAGTATCTATCCCCACTGGTGCGCAATTACTTGTTTTCGCATTATTGAATATTACAGACAGTGTTATTACATGTTATCTACAAAAGGTGCAGTACACATGCTCTTTTACATACATTCAGACCCGATTTTGCGCTACTGTTTTCACCTAATGCACTCTGAAATTCTACATAGACACTATTTAATATCTAGTACTTCCTACCTATTGCATTACTTACTTTTCCCTACTCAGTAGTAGGATGGAAGTCATTAGATATTAGTAGTACTTGATTGTATTGCGAAATATCTATCCGCTCTTTTTCTCCGAAACATTCCGACACACTTCTGACACATTCCTTCACTGTCCAACTCATTCCCGATAGTCCAATGCATAGTCTGACACCTGACCCGACTCTGAAATTTTGGACTTCACAGATTCCCTTCGGACATGCAGTATACACCTTCGGATTATCTTCCTATTATTGATAACTAACTATCTATACTAATACCAAACAGCTACCCCTATAGGATTGAATGCACTTGCTCTGCAAGTATAGCAGACTAGGTCATGCTAAGATCTACCTAAATATTTGTTGTCTAGGTAGTACAATTTCTGCTGAGCCCAGCAGGAATCAGCTTTCTACATCGCTATCGGCACTCGCCCCGATATCGCACATGCAGTACAACAGCTATGTCATCATTTAGATTGCTATGGTCCTGTTCATTGGGATGCAGCTAAATGTGTCATTCTTTATCTCAAAGGCACCTGGGATCTGAAACTAGTCCTTGGTGGTGATCACCCCGCATGTCTCCTCAGCTTCACCAATAGCAACTTTGCAAACTGTCCTGACACACGTCATTCTGTCAGCAGTTATTGCTTTAGCTCGGAAGTGGCTTGATCACTTGGAGTGCACAACAACAGAAAATGGTATCTTTGTCCACCTGCGAGGCTGAATATGTCGCTGCATCTGATGCAGCAAAGGAACTTGTACAGTCATTGACCGTCATTTGAGTTTTCACCATCATTTGCGTTTACCTTGTATGACACTCGAATTTGATACTATCCCATGTAACATTTTTGTTCTATCATATGAGTTATGTGCCTAACTACATATTGGCAATAATGATAGGTATAAAAGACCTCGAACAAATGTGTGATGGTATGTTTTGTTGCGAAATTTTCACTATTATGCGTCCCTGAAAGCAAAACAACTAGAATCAGATTCGTAAATTGAATAAATACCTGCAAACAACCTTCAAGCACATCACTGTTCTATTCCACAAGGGAGCCAGTGAGTGTGTGTGTTGCCAGAATGTTGCCGGTGCAGAGTGTCTCAATAGTAACTTATCAGTGTCACGGAAGCAAAATAAGCAAGATCCGATAAACACGAACATGATTATATAAGGAGGAGTTGAGGCAGTGGGAGGAAGAGTGAGCAAAGGCAAAGTTGGAGAGATGACGCATGACACATGTCAAACTGAAGCTTGGGAGACTCGAGGCCCCACTCCCAAAGCCGGCACTCGCCCACATTGACCAGGAAGAGGATGAGTCAGATGATAGTGAGGAAGAACGATTAATCTGCGCAACTAGGGAATAAATCTGCCTTTTTGGGTGAACTCAAATGACGGTAAACGTACGATAACACCAAGATTTACACACTTTTCATTGCGGAATAACATCTCATTTGATGTTCTTCAAAATTTTGCTCAAAGTAGATTAGCTATCTATCATGACATCCCCAAAAGCGATTTTCGAGATTGTGTCAGGTTGTGTTGTGGTAGACATCCGAAAATTTCGAACTCAAATGACGGTCAATGACTGTATGGTTATGCACGCTACTTTGTGTACTGAACTTCGCGCAAACCTCTGCTACCCCACTCTTGTGCGATAACACTGGAGGAATCACACTCTCCAAAGATGCATCATACCACTCTAAGGTCAAGCATATCAATGTCGCAGTTCACTCGATTCGCAAGCGTGTCGCCAATGGTCAACTCAAACTGCACTACATCAAATCCCTTAATAATTCTGCCAATATTTTCACAAAGTCCCTACCTTGTAAAGACTTTGAATGTTTATGCACCCGCCTGGGCCTCCAGTGAGGAATCAAGGAGGAGTGTTGGTGCTATGACATGATGAACATTGAACAACCGGCAGCAGAGTTAGATGGTTGGAATACAAACCAACCTATAATAGATTACCTCATGTTTGTTACGACTTGGATGGTATCTGTTGGCGACGCTCAAACAGAGCTTGTGTCGTCAACGGTCGAGGACGTCCCTGGGCTAGCCCAAGGTTAGGAGTCGTACTTGGCGTGTCTTCGGCAAGTACGATTTGACGCCTATGTCCAAATCGGGTAGCTTATGTCACGCGGGTGCGAGACAATAAGCTATATCGGCCTAGGCTTACAACACCCGAAGGTTAATCGTAAGGATCGTTGTTAATTAGAAGGACAGAAGTCCAACTAGTTAACAGGGGCTTTGCTCGTCAACGAAGTCGATGAGTAAAGATCGAGACTATAGGCTTATCCGCGAAGAGCAGATAAGAAGATAGAATATAGACTGCTGGCGAGGCAGAAAGGATCACTCTGGTGAGAGTAGGAGGTCAAGAACCAAGTAGATTCAAGTTAAGGAATATGGTACATGGTAGCGAGTTTATATAGAGGACGGGAGACGTATTAGTGGGTGATAACTCGTACTACCGGGAGAGGTAATCAGTAAAGGGTATAACCATAACAGGAAGGCACGTTCGGTCGAGGTAGAATGTGCTAGATAAGAAAGTGAGTCAAAGATCGAAAATAAGAAGTGAAACGCGCAGGGGCACGATCGTGCAACTGTGGATCTAAGTATAAGTTGCATGTGCGACTGCGCACTGAGTCAGAGATCAAGAAAGGGAAATGGGCAAAGGGGATGCGTCGTGCATCGTATCATAGGTTACCGTCCTGACGGTAATGGCAAAGAGACTGTTCCACAGGATCAGTCAGGTGGTGAAACGGAGCATGGGTATGCTTCGTCAGCGAAAGGGTCCGGCCAGATGTACTGGCTTTGCTGAAGCGACAGGTAGAGGGCGAAAGGGAATGCGAGGATGACAAGGATGACAAGGGTAAGGTTGGGGTAAGGGTATGATGCGAGGGCTGATACGAGGAGGATTAGGAGAAAAATAGTAGGGGCCCAAGCGTCTAGATGTTCTTGTAACAATGTTGTCTTCTCCCCTCAGTCCATTCCATCACGACTGAGGGCTAACATTGTGTCTAGTCTCTACAGGTATATAACAGTCCTTAAAATATTACAAGGCCTTGCAATGGTCCCTATAAATTTCTGGCATATTTGTTGTTTCTTTGCAGCACACCATTACGATAATAGGCTGGGGGTTAGGGTTAAGTTTACAAACTTTGAGCCAATTTGGCCTCTGACACAATTGGTGATTTCCGGTCCGGTTCTGGCTGACATCAGAACTATGCACTCAACCGGACCAAAAGCCTTCGAACCGTGATTCCGGACCGGACCGCGGCAGCACAAAAACAATTCCATGAACAAAAAGAGTTACATACCATACATTTAGTGTGTAGTTTGCGTAGACGATGGCTCTCGATCAGTTTTGCTATCACATATGAGCCTATCCATGAAAGATAACTTTCCTTATGTTTTATCCGCCAGATGCTGGTGAGTAAGTAATATTGGCGTTCAGGCATCCCCACCAATCGCACGAGTTCGCTAGTGAAGTCGTAAGCGTTCGTAAATGTCCGTAACGTGCGCAAGTTAAGCGTTCATCTCAGTAGTTTTGCAGATGAGTATTGCTAGATCTAGTTTATGGATCTACATAATCGATTCCACGCAGTCAGTAGACGTATAATTATCTTATGCCGCCTCGCTGCTCTACATTAGGTCAGCTGCCAGTGGCGTCGCAAATGGGCAGCCTGAAGGACTCTAGTAATTGCTTCCCTCGTGGTCTTTCTAGTTCACATTCAAAGTATCGGTGGCAAGGAGCTTGAGCAATAAAGTTCAAGAATATAGCACACCCACCTGGCTATCATCGAAGATGTCAACTTTCGAAGCTCACAGGAAACTGAAGCGCCCCCGTCATGATGATAATGAATCTATGTCAGCGGGCAGGGTTTCTGGTGTTCATTACAGTGATGCACAAGTGAAGCGCGAACAAAGTCCGTCGCCTCCGCCTCCACAACGGAAGTTGGTCACGTCCGGGACAAAGCGCTTTGCCCCCTTCCCCTCAAATTGTTTGCCTCCATATCTTGGGTACAAGCGGCATCGAAAGATATGGGCCAAAAAGTGTCAAAGTGAAATTGAAGCTCTGAAACTTCAAACGGAGAAGTTGCTCATCAGGTATGTCAAATTGCGTTGGATGGACTTGTACTCTGATTCCTGGCAGAGACGATGGCATCATAGTTGACTGGTGTGTTTCATATATGTGTGAAGTGATTGATATTGAATATCCTGTCATAGGAAGAGCTCTGTTCCAGTTTGGTCAGACACGTTGCAACCAGCAGAGCTTGATCTTGCTGCTACGATCATACTTGCACATCAGGCAAATGCCCAACAGCACAATTCTTCTCTCCACCACACACCAGAAACCCCCTCTCAATCGACTGTACCACAGCCGGTCATTGTTGTCGATGATGATGATGATGTTCTTACAGTATCCCCCTCCCCACAAAAACTCCCCATCCCACCTCGGCCACGGAGGAATGTAGCATCGCCATCTGTATTATCCTCTCCCGCGGGAGGCTCTAACTCTCAGGCACCCCCAAAGCCCGATCCTCCATCTGCGGATGTTCCCGCTCCATCCAGGCCTCCGAACGACTTTCCGACGATCATGATAGTACCCGATGAAGAGGAAAAAATGTCAAAAATGTCGATGGAATATCTTGAAAGGTGTGTTTCCGACTTATATTCCTGGGATTTACAACCGGAACTGACTTAATCTTATCGTATTGCCGTTGACCGATTTCAAAGATACTTCCAAACGTTCGATTCGGATCGTGCCAGTCTTGCTTCTGCATATTCTAGCAACGCGTGCTTCTCGTATCGAGAAGTCAATTGCTTCTCTCCTGGGTTGCTCCACTTGCAACCCCCGTTACCTTGTAAGTTTTTTGTCCGACATCTATTGTGCCTTTCAATCAAGCCCACATATTCATTGGTACCTAAGCATCTGACTCTATCAAACGTACCCGGCTCGACATTACCGCAGCCCTCCTTTCCCTTCCCCCTTTGCAGCTCTTGCCGTTGACTGGATTGGCAGCAGACATCGACTACGACATTATGTGGCTTGGTTCCCCCGTTGGAGTGTTCGCCATATGTGGGTGTGTCCATCATGGGCACGCGTCAAAGCGACCGGTGACACATAGCTTTTTGTTGCGCCAAAAGGAGGCATACGAAGAAGATGCAAGGGCTGATGGCGTGTGGCCACTCGTTGCTGTGGCACATCAGATGATGATATTTGATGGTCCGGAGATATAGCTCATCTTCTATCAGTGGTTGTATACTCACTCCTGGTTATGGTTAGAGATATATGATTAAATGTAAGTATCCGAGTCTTCGATCAGACCATGACATAGTTATGACATGATTTTCGCCTCCTGTAGTTCATAGCGCCCTATCGAGAAATTCTGAAGCGGTAGTCCTCGGAGAATGACGCTAGCTTGGCATATAGATATATCCATTACTCGGTACCTCTGCACAATTGGCGATAGGGCTATATTTGTATCCCACTTTCACGACCATGGAAAACATGAATGCGCGGTAGCACTACTGCATCCTCCTTAAATATGGCCAGTTTGGACTTCGCACTTCACACGTAGGTGCCATAAGATATGTGACGTGTCCACGAAAATTAATACCCTTGATTACGCTTAAAAGGTCAATTGTGTGCAAGTCTAGGTAGTTCTGGAAAATTGGCACGTAAGGCAGTCATCACGTTCGTTGTGCTATATCAAGGTTTCAAGGATAAGAAGTCACTGGATATGGATTATGCCGCAAAACGCCCATGTACCGACGGCAAGGCTCTGAATCTATGAGATATTTGCACTACTGACTTTGACATCCCCTCGGAGTTCGCCGTCATCGATTGTACTAAGAAACCATTTCAAACGACAGGTCCTGTCAAAGAAATGACGGGATGGCATAAAGCTTACCTAGTATCTGGATGGAGGGAAATCGGGAGGATAGACCGGATAGATTAAAGAACGTGTACGAGTCCTGAATGCTTCGCGGGAGAATTTTCAAAAAGGACACACGGCGCCGACACGTGGTTCGAAGAGGTGGAGCTCGATCTGCGAAGCTGACGACACACTACGACACATGGAGCATCTGAAACCATGGTACATATATGTAGTTCGTCTAGAAGCTCACAAGGCTCTCCGCATTGCGGAAATGGCAAGCTAATGGTAGTCCGCGCAGGGTCCCGTCTGTCAATTGTAGCCAAAGTGAGGGCAAACAACACGTAGGAGGAAACTTACTATGTTCGATGACCCACGGACTCTTGACATCGATGGTCGAAACACTATATGTATCGCTGCACTGGACAATCATAGCATGGAAACTGGCTGCCTTGCAAGCTGAAGAACATCCTGAGATAAAGTGGATTATATCTTTCACATCTAGAGCCTTACCTCGCAGTAATTCCTGTGGTGAGTGCGCATAGCACTAGGATAGAGAAGAAACTGATATACAGGATCGCACGATACCTTCTGTCTGATGAGCATCATCACATCAAGCTCTCGCTTATTACTATTAGTCAAGAACACATTGTCCAAGGTGTCACTTCTCGGAACACAATGCAAATTTGACAGAGTACTAGCAGCTCTTTAGCTCAAATCAAGCTCGGAGTTGGTCTATCGTTACGGTGTAAGCAGTAAGGCAACGTGTTGAGTGGGTACCGAGGCGCACTGGCGCTGTGAGTTAAGAACGTGTCGGCCGAGTGCAAATAAGGAAATTCAAAGTCCGCCTAGTTGGTGTGCTTTCTCTCCATTCCATCCGCTCCTTGTCACAAGCACACCAGTCCATCCTTTACCTTCCCACTGCGCTTCTGGACTGGTGGCCTTCAAAATCATTGACCTTTCATCCAGATGACGACCCCTCATGTTATAGCCTCGTCTTCAGGGCACCACTCTCAAAGTGCCACTTCAAATGGTATCGTCGGAAACCACTTTCGTGTCGGAAAGAAGATTGGCGAAGGTTCATTCGGTGTTGTATTTGAAGGTGAGTATCCTACACCTGAGGTCTTTCTGCTTTTCCAGAACTATTGGGCTCGTGAGTTGCATGGATAATACCCACAGTCACTCGGACTTCTAAGCGCCCGTACTAGTCAATGTCATGCAGAAGAATGCATTTCGGTCCATGGGTCGCCGGTGGGCGATCACTATGGCCATGGTTACTCAGTTCCAATAGGACTTAATCAACTAAGCTTCGCGTATCCCGCCGAACGGAAATTATTTACTTGCGGCTTTGAGCAATTTTTTTTTGTTGCCGGTGTTCTTTGCCATTTGTTCCTTTGACTCACCAATCCTTTTTACAGGCACGAAGCTTTCTACAAGCCAGCCTGTCGCCATCAAATTTGTACGTTCGCCGTGAGGTCCTTCTAATCATGACTTCATTTTGACGTATTACTCAGGAACCTCGAAAGTCCGATGCTCCTCAGTTACGGGATGAATTTCGATCATACAGAACACTGAATGGTACAGGTGTGTGTTAGTGTCAGTAATTTTCGTCGCCCAATCGTAATATGCCATTGTCATTAGTGGGTGTTCCACAAGTACACCACTTTGGGCAGGAGGGCCTTCATAATGTCCTAGTAATTGACCTTCTGGGCCCCAATTTAGAGGACCTCTTCGACATGTGTGGCCGGAAGTTTACCATTAAAACTGTATGCATGTCCGCGAAGCAGATGGTAAGTTTGTACCCATGCAACAGGCAGGGATTGTCATGTCATTTAGTTATTTTCTCCCTCTCGATTCATTCCGTCGTCCCGTTGCAGTTGTTCACTTTTTTTTTTTAGATATCTCGCATCCAGTCCGTCCACGACAAGTCGCTCATTTACCGCGATATCAAGCCTGACAATTTTCTCGTCGGAGTACCTGGAACAAAGACTGCCAACACTATCCACATCATTGGTATGTCTTTTGAAAGTTGTTCACATTCCTCTTTTCCTCCCTCGATCACACCCATGTGTCCCCGAACTTGTGGATATATCCATCAATTGATTGTGTCAACAATCATACTGACTTTTTTTTTCTAGATTTTGGTATGGCGAAGCACTATCGAGATCCCAAGACGAAAGTTCACATTCCTTATCGTGAGCGCAAGTCCCTCTCAGGCACTGCCCGGTATATGTCCATCAATACGCATCTTGGCCGTGAGCAATCACGCCGGGATGACTTGGAATCGTTAGGTCATGTATTCATGTACTTCTTGCGTGGCGGCCTTCCCTGGCAAGGCCTTAGGGCCGCAACCAACAAGCAGAAGTATGAGAAGATCGGTGAAAAGAAGCAGACTACACCGATTGCGGAGTTGTGCGAGGGTTTCCCCGGTAAGTTTAAGTTCTCTTTTAGTTCATCCAGTGGCGTCTATTCTCTTCCTTTGTCGATGTGCTGAAGTGACGATATGATTTGCTGATCGGTTTCTACTGATTCAGAGGAGTTCGCGATCTACATGAACTACGTCCGTAAACTTGGGTTTGAGGAAACTCCCGACTACGACTTTCTCCGAGAACTCTTTACCAAAGTGTTGAAGAATATTGGCGAGCAGGATGACGGCATCTTTGACTGGATGTTGATTAATAACGGCAAAGGTTGGGAGGCCAGCAATGTATGCAATGTATTCCCATCATGGAAGCATATCCTAACTGAATGTTTCCAGACATCTGCATCACTACTAGCACAAGCCCACGCCACTGTTAACGTACCTCATACTCCTCGTCATCGGGAGACCAGCCGTCGTCCGCGGGCACAACTTACAGATGGTTCAGCGCCTTCTACTCCTCTCGTCCTCGCGCCCACTCCCGCTCATATTAAGAACAGCACTAGACGTCCAGGCACACGAGAAGGACACGGCAGTCGAGACCCTGGCGCTCGTGCTGATGTCAGTGTACAGCCCATTGCACCTGTTAGTAGGCGTGCGAGTCAGACACCTCGAGAGAGTTCGGGACTCGCACCTCACCCTTACGCCACAGCACCCACTTCGTCGGGATACCGGGCTAGTAACGGTTACGGCAGGCACTCCCCAGTTACTCATGCTGCGAATGTGACCAATGGCAATAATCTCGTTGGGCGCAACGACGCTTCAGACTCGTTCCTCTATGGCGCTCAGGTCCACGCTGCCAAAAACCCGACTAACTCACGAGAGGACACAACTGCAGGAACCCTGATCCGCGATGCTGGGCAGATGCGTGGAATGACTGCGTTTGAGACCCAAAGGCATGGCGCTGATGACGTGGATGATGACAGGCATCCTAAGCGGAAGGGCTTCTTCTCTGGCCTATTTTGCTGCCGGGCATAGTAACACCACTGGATGGTGTAGCGCTGGTCGCTATCCGTGGTACTTCGGCTTCATTGGTAAGTTATTCGGATAGTCTCGGCTGATTTCCGGCTCATCCCCCGCTTAGGTTATAGGTATCAGAAATTCTGACGACAACGCGCACGATCTATCAATCATGGCTATCGTACATACTTATCTATCTTGCTAGCTTCTCCTCGGGATTCCTTCTTGCTTTCCTTTTTCCGCAGGTCGACCATGTCACACCGCCATCATACCCCTCACGATCGTTTCGAATTATTCCGTCACAGTCATCATCAAGTTTCCGTCTGATCCTGTGGCTGGTCTTGGGTGGCGCTCAACATTCTCCTGTTTATTATTTCCATGTGTATTATCTACAAACCCTTTAGGATATTCATTAGCTCACTACTTAGCCAGGGAGCGTTTTTTTGTTACCAGGCCAAGTCGAGGGCAATAATAAATATTGACTGCTTTCGATTTGCGCGGATCAAGTTTAATATGTGTTTCATATCGTCGAGGATGGTTACGTCTGGACTGGGGCCTATCGATTCGGGCTAGGATCAAGTAGCCATTCTCAAGTTCTAGACTGCTTTTTGATATTACATTACGTTCGAGACCCGACTCAAAAGACTTTGATTATCTTCAAGGAAACTATTGCAAGAGTCTCAAGGTTATTCATATCCCGCAGCCCGATGTCACCGCAAGAGAAATAAATAATATATACGTCCAAAGACAGCAAGACAGCAAGAATCATGAAACTATTGTACAGCATCAAACTTATTACATTAATCAAGGCAGTGGATACGTGTCATCTTTCACAGCGACCGCCTGACAGACAGAATGGCGAAATTCCTCCGCACGCCTCCATACGACCCCACAACCTATTTCCGCTCTTTCCATGCATTCTCTGCGCCTAGTTTGGACCAACGCAGGCCCACATCCAAATCAGGGGACGAGTTTCTGTCAGGAAGTTCTGCGGCGCCCTTGTACGTGCCAGATTCATCCATCAAGGCTTCCCCCTTTGCGACCCCCCATCTCACCGGGCGCCTCTCCATATCTCACCGAGGTACTTCCAACGCTATCTGTATTTCTTGGAATAGCACGAGTTGTAAAAGAGTGAGGAAAGTTCGCGCTGTTTGCACTATGTTTCCCCTCGGTGTTGGTGGCGTCTGTGGTGTTGAAGTTGACGTAAGGGGTTGTAGTGGAGTATGCGCCTGACGGCACTTCATAAGGGGTGTTGGCAGGGTCAGGCTCCGAGACCACATAAGTGCGCGTGCCAGACGATGAGATCTGGGGTTCAGGAGAGTGGTCATGTTGTTTCTCGTATAGTGACGCCGATATTGGCGATACATTTGAAGCCGAAGTGTTGAGCACCACGAAGGGCGAGTGAAATGAACGCTCTAGTGCAAAAACACGGTTTTTAGACGACTGCGACAATGAGCGCGCATGTTTCGAAAAGACGCGGAGAATGTTGGACATTTTGAACTGGTTGCACTAGTGATGTGGCCTCAGTAAGGAACGTACGTCAAGCAAACTTCCGAGTCGGTGACTAGTGACGTAAAAGCAGGCTATGGGACATTTGCTTCCGGCGCAGCCACATGTCAGCTTAGCCTTTCACAGGTCGCGAGCATGAACAGACATTCGCTGGTGTAGCACTGACAGTGACGCAAAGGTACGATTGCTTGGCTGCCCAGTCGCGGTGAACGGACTGACTGAACCTTTAGCCATCGTCAATCTTCCCTTCATTTCGTGTTTTACTCACCTTCCAGGGAGTGTGCAGCGGCCTCCGCACCATCGACGCAGGTTGGCGTGGAATGCAGTTGGCGCAACATCGTGTAAAGTCGTATACTTCATTAATAGAAACAACATAGGGACTGACGCCTGTCAATAGCATTGCTCGGACTCAGTCATGCGGTGACCGAACAAACTTGAACTGGCTTCTGGATCGGCCACCATGATACAGTAGGCACAACGTCCGAAGACATCGCTCATTTCCCCTGGGTATTTGGCGGTCAAATCGAGCGGCTTAACTCTGCACCATTTCCCGGTTGAGACATGTGATTACGTCTCTGAAGAATTGTCTTTTTTTTCTTCTTGAGAAATGCATCATGATGCTGTCGGGGAAGCTGTAATCTTTTGCCATTCAGGTCATGCCCGATTTGAACCTGGCTAGCTCATCGTACCCTGGCCTTTCCCTAACGGGCAACGATCCTCGCTTCACTATACCCGCTGCTTTAGGGTTCGTGGTCCCTTTGGCCAGACGGTAACAATCAGCAACATGTAACACGTTCCACAATCTCACCTTCGGATATCATAAAATTCGTTGAATCATGCTTGGCACGCACGAAGGGAATTTAGTCGCACAGATTGCAGCCTCCATCAAAGACGTATATTTAGGTTTTGACATACAGTGCGTCCACCAACAACTGTTTTGATCGTTGAATGTTTACTATATCATATCAACATCCAATGTAGCTTTTCCAGGGTACTCCGCGGCCCCGACCATTCAGACTTAAATCCTCATCGCGACACGAAACTTTTTTCCGGCGTCACATTGAGTTCACCCCATTGTTGCGACCGCATTTACCCCCCTGAAAATGGAAATGCGGCTAGTCTCCAAATACCTGACACTCCTCTAAAGGATACATTTCATTGTCATGGAGCCTCAGTTACGAGATTTGTCCGCGTATCATGACTTTGGCTCCTCGGAGAGCTATGTGGTACATCCCGACGCCGTTGGAAATTCTTTGGTCACCGTTTGCTAAAAACAATCCCGTGTCTGAATCACTGCAGGCTCTTCTCTGCGCTTTGCGCGGCGTTATTCCTCTGTCAATCCAACCAAGTAGATTGGCCCACGATGCATTCAGGATACCCCACTAGACCAGCACCACATGATGTTGAAGGCGGCGGCGTCGCGACGATCTAGGAGATGAGATGAAATTTGAACCCTGTTTCCAATGGAATGGTGTGATGTGGAGCGATCATCCTTCATGGCCTTTCATTGACCGTTCATTGCCGCTAGTAAGCGCTTCGTAGAGTTCATTGATCCGACTTATCACTTACCAGATGGACCTCGACCAGTAATCACGATGCTATAATGTGCCTGTCGCCGCATTCCGCATGGTGATCTGTCAGGGTGCTCGAGGGATTCATCTTCCCGTCAATTTTGGTCAGTAGACGTTTCTTCTGTACGGAAAGGCTTACCAAGTTACATCGAGCGTCTATTCTTAATCTTGGACATCGTGATGATGCATTTCTGGTGCAGTAATGGGACCCTAGTTTTGTAATAGTGGCACTCCGGAGCTTGTGTTGATCCAGGGGGATCAGGGCACAGAACCGTGGTCAGTCCATTTGGGCTATCTGGGGCGAAACGTGTTTTTTTTTTCAATGTCAGGCTTCCCATTCTGACTGTATCCTCGTTAATAAGCCGAAATGGTATTGGTATCCGATCAATACCATACATGGTGATGCAGGGTCACTCCAAGCCCTCTCCCCTCCCCCGCACGAGGGTTGAGGTCGGGGCCGATACAAAATGTTTTCATGATGTATAAGCGCTCACGATTTGGCGCTGTTCGGTCAAAGTGGGCGGCGGCCTGGTCCGGTCCTATATTATAAACATTATTTTGGGTTGTACTGTTTCATCCCCGCCTGTTAGTACATGAGTTTCGGCATATTCCGTACTCGACCTAAAAAGGTATTACTGTTCAGTATTGAAAGACATGGAACTGCAACCAGGAGATCATTTTCAGACCAGAAATGAGCTCACAGCTTTATGCCGATCCCCCGGAAGTGCCAACCTAGCAGGAAAAGTGGGTACAGGCACGCGAGGACCTGGAAACCCTGCACATTAACTTAAGTCCACGGACATCACTCAGGTGAGTTTTACATCCTTCTCGGCACTTGTCGCTTTCCGTCACCGCGGCTTTGCTTGCCTAATACTGTTGAACTAACCGAGTTTTGCCCCGTACAACTTGTCGTACAGGCTAACTTACTCCATATTCATTTGATTGTCCAAGTAACCAACTCCCACCCACCCGCTCCTTGTGAGGCCACAGCCGGATGATTGTTATCTATTTCCATCCGTCATGCCGCCATCTCTCTTTAGATCCCTACTCTCTGCGACTCATCTGGCCTTGGCCAATATGTGCTATGTCGAATTCTTCTTTTTGATTCCGACTTCCGATATTTCGCCTCCCTCTTAAATACAGCTTTCGTATCGGCTTTGCAATATGTGTCCCAATGCCCACATACTCAATCCACCAAAACATCTCTCCGCTATCCCTGCAAGGTGGCTTTCTTGTCGTGGTGGCCGCAGGCCTCGTGAGTGACCAATATATGCCGTGTATTATCATATCACTTTTTGACCCTGATTCTTCATAGCTTTGTCATTTTATATTCAAACGTCACGAGCCCACTAGTCCGCTCTCCCACCTAGGCTTGCTCATTGTAGTTCCTGCCATCCTTTCCACCTTGTTTTTGCCCAACTCATCAACCTTTACCCGCGCATTCGGTTCGGTTTACCTTTTGTATTTCTCTACTGTTCTCCTTTCCGTGATCGTATACCGTCTATCCCCCTGGCATCCACTTGCCAGATACCCTGGCCCCATCCCATGTCGCATCTCAAAGTTCTGGATGGTATGGGTCTCTCGTAATGGAAAGCAGCACATTTACTACTCAAAACTGCACCAAACCTATGGCGACGTCGTCAGAATCGGTGAATAACCTCTTCACTCAATACTCATCATCTGAATCTGACCTTCTTTTTTCTTCATCTAGGCCCTAATGAGTTATCAATACGAGACGTCAATGCTGTTGTTCCGTTGATGGGTAGTAATGGGTTTCCCAAAGGACCTCGTCAGTCATCTACTGCGCTCTGATATGTGGCGCCCGGTCCTAATTTAGATACGCAGACTGGGATGGGCGCATGGCTGAGCAATCATCCACGAGAACAGTCATTTCGGTGAGGGATCCCGTAGAGCACGCGCGACGCAGAAAGCCTTGGCATAGGGCTTTCAGCGTCGCTGCACTTAAAGGCTACGACGAGATTCTTGGCAAGCGAGTTCAACAATTCGTAACAGTCCTCGAGCAACAGACACAACCCTTCAACCTCGCTGAGCTCATAAGTCATTTCACGTGCGCCTCCCCACTTGTCTACTTTCTGGTTCCTGACTTAGACGACGTAGGTTTGATTTCATGAGTGACATGGCGTGAGTCCGCATGTTATTTGAATGTTTCTCATCAAACTAAACGATTTCCCAAGATTTGGCGGAGGTTCAGAGATGTTGCGTGACGGTGATAAGGACAATACTTGGCATCTGCTGGAAAGTGGCCTTCCGTGAGTACAATAATACCATAAAGAAAGAAAAACTAAAATTATATCGCACTCTAGAACTGCTCTAGTTCTGTCTCACGTGCCATGGCTCGGCAAGTACTACGCTAGCTTGCCAGGAATCGGGGAAGGCCTCAAGAAATTTAGAACGTTCTGTCAAGCACGCGCTATGCTCAGGCGGTCCGCGGGTTCTCTGTCTAAAGACCTCTTTCACTACCTGGTAATTGTTTCAATTATTTTTCTCGTTTGTATTTTTGTTGACAGTCCTTAGATTGACGAGGCGGGTCTTGAGCGTCATACGTCACCTCCAACTTTTGCGGAAGTGGCGTCTGATGGTGTCCTTGCTATAGTAGCCGGGTCTGATACTACAGCAACCACCCTAAGCTCTCTGTTTCTGTCACTTCTGAGAAATCCTCAAGCGTACTACCGGCTCCAAGCCGAAGTCGACAAATTTTTCCCTCCTGGCGAAGATGTACTTTCTACGATTCATCACCCTCATATGAGTTACCTCAATGCCGTAATGCACGTATTCAATCTTTTTTTACGGATACACTGACATCTGACACTGGTTTCAGTAACGAAACTCTACGGCTCTTCCCACCCGTTCTCAGTGGAAGTCAGCGTGGCGTCCCGAGAGGCGGTGACGACAAGTTTGTTGGCCCTTAGTAAGTGCATTATTTATATACCAACTCTAGCGAATCTAACATGCGCTTGCCGCAGCTTCGTACCCGAAGGCACCAATGCATTCGTTCATACTTATTCCCTTCATCGCGATCCTCGCTGCTTCTCCCCGTCACCTGACACGTTCTGGCCGGAGCGGTGGCTCAAACCTGAAGAGCGCGCGGCGCTCCCATCATTTGATTCAAAGGGCCTTGATAAATTCCCGATCGTTCATGACACCAAGGCTTTTGTTCCGTTCTCCTTCGGTCCCATGCATTGCGTTGGAAAACAGCTCGCATATCAAGAATTACGTATGGCAGTTTGTGCGATGATGCACCGACTAAACTTTAGCTTTGCTCCGGGATACGACCCAGAGTCCTGGGAACGGGACTTGAAGGATTTCTTTGTTGCCATGAAGGGGGGCCTGCAGGTTGTCTTATCTCCACGGAATCTAACTGCTTGAACGGCCTGAGAGTTGCACAGACGCGATGGTTATCTTACAGCGCTTAGTTATTGATCATTCATGCATCCATCTAATCTCGTTATCACGGATGTATATGTGCAGTGACTAGTCCTCTTGTATTCACTGTGATTGTATTGTATTTTTTTCGGGAGCCGATCGTGGTCATCATCATCTTCAAATTTGTAGCGGGAATCTGTCAGCTGATGGATGTTCAGGGCGCGTCTGAATCACCTGGCGTCATTGATCACTGGATCAGGTCCTCCGGCCACATTTCAGTGTCCCAATATAAAAATCATAGCACCGGATGAGGAAGCACCGAGCCAGAATATTTATTTCTATCTCCGCATCTCAGAAATTCAGAATCCCTCACAAATCAGTAGATCATCCATCAAAATAAAAATAACTGGAAACACCGTGACACGGGAGCTTCGAGATATCCACCAATGGCCAATAAGACAATATTGTCAAGCACCGAGTTATATGTGTTTCATTCAATCTTGCTAGATCGTGAGTTGGCGACTTCACAAAAAAAGGCTATCGGTGATGGAGCTAATTTTGTGTTATCGCTTGGCAAGAGATAGCGATCACTCCCGCGTACTGCGGTAACTTTTGAAGACATTTGGACCCGCAGCGACTTGGCCAGTAGAGCCAGATCTGAGAAGCAAATCTGGTTTCACGGCACCGGGAGAAGTGTATAGCAATGTTGTTCCTCGGAGAAGCAACGGAGGGGAAATCAGGTGCAGCATTCAAAGACTGCAAAAGGATATAGTTTTCTCAGTGAATTGCGAGTCAAAGGCCCTGACTAGTTTGAATACCGGCCGAAACGTCCGGAGCATCCCAATGCATCCGCTTGAGGGATGGTGATGCTTGAGCGGCCAGAAGTCGACAGAAGTTGCCAATAGTCGATGCGGAGCCTCGGACAAACGTTGGACACCGAATTTCAACCTGAACGTAAGAACATGATTCGATGTCAGTATGTAAAGCAGACAAATATTATTTGATTAAACCTCGAGGAGCCGTTCTCGGCTCAGCGGTCGACCGGCGGCAACACCTGTAAGCAATAAAGATCCGAGTCATGAATCAACCTAAAGTTGCCGAAACTTTGGAAAGCTGTATAATCCCTCAGGCATCGCTGAGTGAGCTCTAGTACTACTATTGTAGCATTGCTGTGTAACGCACTATGCTAAACTCAGTCCGTCAGATTGAACTTTCGCAAAAACCCCATTGGCAGTCGGTGCTTACAATTGATATTCCAATGAGAGCTTGGAGCCATGATACCGCATGACCGGTGACCTTTAGAACCGCACGCATAAGTTCCGGTATGAAAATTCGTTGTGTCGTCAGAGTTATTCGCAATTTGGCAAAAAGAGCGCAACTCTGGTCCATACATGACATAGTCAACGGTAGTAGAGGGGGAAGAATCTATCCGAAGAATTCTCCGGTATCTGTGTCCGAATAACGCTCCAAGTCGTGGACGCGGGATCCTCGGGCGATGCACAAGGTGCACCCGAAAATTAAATAGATGAAATGAAATGGATTCTGCAAAAAAGGGGAAGAGGAATCACGGGGAGCAAAGTAAAAACGGTTGATTAATAAAAGACACGACTTGACAACATGTGTGTCTAGACCTATCAAAGAGATCAAATGGAAGTAGTCCGATTGATCATCTACCGTGACATGTTGAACGTTGAACCGTGATATCACAATGCCACGACAAAAGTAGCTGCATCGTGCTGTCTAGCGTCGAGATTAGAGATGGTGACAGCATAGGGCGCTTCAGATGTAAATGGTAGTGCTCGGTTTTCACGGATGGATGTTCCTGAGGAACGTGCGAGCTCGGGCACGCCGGAATGAACATTGCAAGTGGAGTAAATGTTATGGCAATTAGAGAATGCTGCGGAAAGGATACATGAATTAACTTGCTCGACCAAAAAGATTGGTGTGCTGATGATACTGAAAGCTGAAGAAAAAAACATACGCGGCATCTTGCAACCATCGGATGTGTAGGTATGCGGTCACGTGCATGTAGGTCAGCTTATTCAATCTATAATTCTAATTTCTGAACGTCGGTACTTCAGTACTTACTGCCCTCTGAGAGAACCTGCAGAGTTACTTACAATCAGCACTACCATGTCGCTTGTGCTGGCTGTGAATGCCGGTTCGTCGTCGCTCAAAATTTCACTCTTCCACCGTTCTGCTGAGAATGCCGCGAATCCGGTATTACTCCTATCCTCGTCCACATCATCCATATTCGCCCCTCCAGCCAAGTTTAGGCTTAGTTTTATCGCCTATCAACACAGGTCATTGAACGAAGAAGTCGACTCTATCCATGATCATGCATCGGCATTTACGCACTTCTTGGATCGCCTCAAGGAAGAAGCGAGCGTCGACCTAATTGACATTAAGCACGTTGCACATCGTGTGGTGCATGGTGGCGACTACATAAGCCCTGTCATGATATGCAAAGAATCCTATCACCATATCAAAAGACTGTATGGCCTTGCTCCTCTGTACGTTCTCTCCTGGCTTGTATTCCGTGCTGCATTACGAAGCTTGTAGACACAATGGATCCGCTCTTGCTGTCATCAAGTTAGCCGTTGGCGTCCTTCCGCACGCGAAATCTATAGCATTTTTTGACAGTGCATTCCACAAAGATATTCCGGCTCATGTAGCTACCTATGCGATCAATCAGCAAGTAGCGCACGAGAGGGGGTTGAGGAAATACGGTTTCCATGGTTTAAGCTGTATGCACTCATCTGTCCTCGCTAAAATGTTGCTGACGCTGTACCTTCCTAGACGCGTTCATGTTGCGAGCGGTGGCTGCGCATCTTAACAAGGTATCTGGTATCTTGATGTTTGATTGTGACATTCTGACCTCCTAAGGCTCCGAATACTCTAAACATAATCGCTCTTCATATCGGTTCGGGGGCTTCCATGTGCGCCATCCGCAATGGCCAGTCCATCGATACAAGTATGGGGTTGACTCCACTCAGTGGACTACCTGGAGCTACGCGCGCTGGTGACATAGACGCGAGCCTAATTTTCCATTACAGCAGTGGGTCTCCGGCGCGTATGAGCCAGGACCCTAGTATTCCAGAGGAAGCCAAAGTGACAGAAGTTCGAATATTTTCTTTCGTTTGTGAAATAGAAGCTCAAGCGCTCATTCTTGGCAGGCTGAGGAGATCCTTAACTTGAAATCAGGTTGGAAGGGACTCACCGGTACAGCCGACTTCAAGGAGATCACGGAGAAGGCGAATACAAGTATACATTCTGATCCTATATCTCGCACCGCAGACCCGAATACGCTTGCATTCCGCATCATGTTAGATCGCATACTCCATTTTGCCGGGGCATATCATCTGGCTCTCCACGGAGACGTTGATGCTCTGGTTTTTGCGGGAGGCGTGGGAGAACGAAGTGCCCAGTTGAGATGTGCTGTCGGAGAAGCTGTCGCGTGCCTCGGGTTCACGGTAATCGACGAGACAAAGAACAGTCGAGTGAATGATGACGAAGGGATCATTGTGGATATCGGGAGGAATGACGGGAGGAAGAGGATGCTAGTTTGCCACACTGACGAGCAGCTTGAGATGGCAAGAGAGTGTTCTCTTGCAGATCAATTCTGGACATAATCATAATAATAATTAGTAATACAAGTATTTGCAGTGGCGGGTTCAACGTTCTCCCATTGCATTGCTACCATGATCAAGAAAGAGTCTTCGTCCGGCGGATCGAGCTTGTCGAAGCCTCGACACGGACACGGACTCTTGGCAGTGAAAGCTTCACGCACCAGCTGACTGGCAGCCCGCGGACTACGAGCCGGCGTCGAGAGCCGATGTCGATGTGTTCTCCCCGAAACAATCGTTTACCCGCCGGGTCCTGATTGCCTGGACCCCTGGCAATCATGAACAACTTGGTTCAACACAGTGGCAACACGTGTCACATGCCACAGCGCAGTGTGCGCTGAGGTTGGTCGTCTGCAGATCATTCATTCCAGTACTACAAGGTAAATAAGTACTGTAACGAGGTAAGGGAATAATCTAGTACTCTGTCGTGCATGATGATCGGTTCAATAGGTTAAGGACTAACGCTGGTCAATTCTCGCGGAACGCAGGGCTACATAATCGAGGCTCACTTCCTCATCTTCGTCGTTCCCCACCACGTCATGGCTGCCTTCCATACCACAAATGGTAGATTCGGCAACAGAACGCCTGGCAGGGGCAAGCTACGTTCGAGCGAACTTTGTTCCTCGATGTCAGTCAATCTTCGTTCGTAGTCTAGCTTCGCTTCCTGAGCCCGCTCGCGCGCTTTCGCCAGTTCTTCCTCGAGCTGCTGACTCTTCTTCTTTTCTGTTACTTCTTTTTGACGGGCTTGTTCTGCCAAAATTGCGCTCTGCTCCTCCGATTCTGTAACCAACTGTCTCAGTCGAGCAAGTTCTTCCTCCGCCTGCCTTCGGTGCTCCTCTTCTCGTTTCTTCTGTTCTTCAAGAAGTCTGACACGCTCTAATTCTTGCGCCTTCTTAGCAGCAGCGGCTTCGCGTTCCAACTTTGCATGAGCCTCCTCCAGTTCTTTGCGTGCTCGTGCGACTTCTTGCTCCGCTGCCTTCCGTTGTTCCTCCTCGCGATGCTTGGCCAATTTTTGTAGCTCTATGAGACGCGACTGAGTTTCTTCTTCAACTTTCTTGGCGGCGGCGGCGGCCTCTTCCTGTTTGCGTGTCTCTTCGGCTTTGGCAGCCTCCTCCATCTCTCGCCGAGCACACAGGAACTCATCTTCGAGCTGTTTCCTGTGAGCTTCTTCCTCCCGAAGTTTGGCTTCATGTTTCTCGGCAAGCAGTCGTACGCGTGCATCTTCTTCCGCCTGCCTAGCCAACGCAGCTTCGCGCTCTCGGGCAATGTGCGCCTCTTCCATCTCCCGTTGCAATTGAGCAAGCTTTTCTTCGCGTTGTCGTGCTAGCTCTTGATGTTCAAGGAGATGAATTCGGGCATTTTCGACCGCCTGCTTCGCTGCGACACTCTCGGCCTCTTTTTCCGCATGAGATGTCTTGACTTCCTCCAATTCTTTCTCTTTCTGCGCAAATTCTTCTTGCAAACGTATCCGTTCCGCTTCCTCCAGAGCACGTTCCCTTTCTGCGGCTTCTATGGCAGACTTCTGCCGCTGCTGCTCAGCTTCTAGTGCTGCCAGTCTGTCCCGTTCTCGCTTGACTTCTTCGGCATGAGCAATATCGGCAATCTCTTTTGCGGTGCGTGTCTTCTCCATGTCGTCCAGAAGACTTTGGAGGTGCTTCTGGTGACTTTCTTCCGCCAGCACTCTTTCTTTGCGTTCTTCTTCTATCTCGCGAGCGTGCCGTTTCTCCTCCGCCTGCTTGGCAGCCAGAATTTCCCTCTTCCTCTGAGCATGCAGAGCTTCCTGCTGCTCTTTTTCAGTCAGGACTTTGGCGACCTCGCCTTGAAGGCCCTCCAGCGTCTCGAGTTGCTTCTGCTGCTCGGCTTCCATTTTCAGAATTAGAGCCTCTAGGCGTGCGCGCTCGGCAGCGAACTCGGCAGCCATGCGCTGAGAGTTTTGCTCGATGCGCAAGCATTCCTCCTGCTTCTTCTCGAGCTCTTCCTGAAGCTCGGCCCGAGTCTCCTCGTCTTTGGCGCGCATAGCAGCTTCCATCTCTGCTCTGAGACTACGGATCTCTTCTTTGTGGTGATCCGCTTGCTCGTCGAGGGCGCGCCTGATCTCAGCGCCCGCAGCGGTCTTCTCGATAGGCTTATGCTCGTTAACTATTCTCCTGCTGAATTCGGAGCGTAGCGGCTTGGCTGTTGATGAGATAACGAAGGGTGGTATGTGCGGACTCGAGGGTGCCATCGTGACGGAGCATCCGAGCGCCCTTCTCAAGCACGGGCTTGAAAAATTTGTCCTTACTCGCAAGCTCGGCCTCTCTAGCCTCGCCAACCTCACGTCTCACTTCTGACCACATGTTGGTCACGATAATAACGTTTTTGAGTGAGCTCTCTCCGCAAAGCTCGCGGAAGATCTTGAAGTTGCGTTTGGACGTGCCACCCATCCTGAAGTCAGAGATGCGGTGCATGTAGATGACGCCAGCTAGCCTGGTGCCATGCTCATAGCTGAAGAAATGCAGACGCTTAGCCTGAGGAAATATATTACATTGGAACCACATACGTCTGAGAGAGATATGCGGCGATCATGGTTAAAATGTCCGTATCACTTCGGGTCGTATCATCAAAGCCGGGCGTATCGATCAAGGTCACAACACGCCCGCTAACGACAAACGGCCGTGAAGTTCGTACTTCACTAGTACAACTCTCGAGGCCGCGACCAACGGGAAGGTTTGACCCGCTAGCCTTGTTGATAAACTGTGTCCGGCGAGAGTAAACAACACATGATTCGGAACAAAGAAGTTTTCCATACCGTGGATTTACCACTACCAGTAGCGCCCATGACGCTAGAAGGAGTGTCAATACATGAAGCTGAAGTTACTGAAAGGTACATACGCAATCCGGATTTCTCTGTTTGGGTTCGCCATTGTTGTAGCTCAGTAATTAACGTATGACGATCTATGCAAGAGGAGGTGCAGTTGTATACTGAGACAGGCAATACGTGGTGCAGAAACTTTGGTTGATGTGAGGAACGCGGGTGTTTAAATACGCCTGCGGGCTTATCGATTCAGCACCTACTTCCTGCGGCGGCATGGTCATCACGAGGCGCAGCCCCTAACGTGCCTAGTAGCAATGTTGAGCCCTACCTCGTTGTTTGGAGCCCTCCTTGGATGTGATCACCACTAAGAATGAATCCCGGTGTATTAGTCTGGCCTCGCTTCATCCTCGCTGAGCGCAATGTTAGTCCATTCTTGATTGGCGATTCCGTGATGCCGGGTGACTGCCCTTTAACATTGTCGGTTATTTGAAGCAGTACCACAGCTTCAGGAATTTGATGCTGATCAGGGTTGTGTCGATTACACACCAATGCATATATGGGTATCTCGTAAACATGAATGTAGTCCACACTACACTACGGGCAGGGAGTCAGGATTGTCCGTATTGTCAGCCAAACGATCGCCGGGACGATTGAATTAAGCTATTCATCCAGCACGCGCGTGGAGTTGCTCTTCTATTCTCCGAAGTTCTGCTTGATATTCGGATGCCAGCGTCGCAGCCTCATTTTGCACGCGTAAAAGCTCCGCTTCCATTTTCTCTGACTCTTCCTGGAGTTCCATTCGCGTCTCCTCATCTTGCGCCTGGGCAGCTTCCTCCATCTCTACTCGTAACTTCTCCAAGTCTTGACGGTTCCTTTCCGCCTGCTCCATGAGTTCGCGGTTCAGCTGCGCAAAAGCACCCGTCTGAGTGATGTCATTCACTGCTGCGAGTTCGCTTTGGATGCGTAAGACCACGGGGTCTATGCCAGTCAGCTTCTGAAGGATCTTGTGTGCACTTTCTTGATCATTCATGTGGCGTAGGAGAAGAGCGCCATTATCGAGGATTGGTTTAAAGAATATGTCCTTTTCGCGCAGTTCTTGTTCCCGCGCCACGGCGTCAGCCTCGTTTACGTCGCCCCACATGTTCGTAACCATGAGAACGTTGTTGTACGCCTCTTTACCGCACAGCTCTTGAAACATGGTAAAATCACGTCTTGATGTACCTCCAACTCTAACGTCGGAGATTCGGTGCATGTAAATAACACCAGACAGAAGTCTTTCTTGCTTGTGCCTGGAGGTCAACCCTGTCAGTGTGCCTAGGTTAGGATAATATAAGGTACGAACATAGTCTGCAGGTAAGCAGCTATCATCTTCAGCACGTCCGTGTCGCTTTTTGTCGTATCATCAAAGCCAGGCGTATCGATGAGAACGACGCGCTTTCCATCCAGCATGAATGATTGGGACGTCTGTACTTCGTTTGTACAGCTCTCGAGCCCCATACCAACTCGCAAATCCGAGCCGGATGCCATGTTGATGAACTATTCAAATCTTTATGAGTTTTAACGACTGGAGCACAGGGAATGTCAGACCGTTGTCTTGCCACTGCCTGTGGCGCCCATCACACTGTGGAGTTGGGCGGGTTAATCACCGCCCGACATATCGATGATAGTTACGCACGCTATGTAGATAGTCTTGGGCTCCTCCGGAGCTGGGAGTAGTGTTTTTGGCTCTGGAACTTGTTCAAGTTTCGGTGGCTTAGCCTCAACCCGGCCTGCCTCTAAATCCACGGGTTTTTTGCGTCTGGAAGGAACGAAGGAACTGACACATCCACCCATGCTGATGTCGAGGTTGGTGCTGTCTGGTTTTCGTGTGCTACAGTGGTTTTGTAGATCGTAAACGCACTGTTGTCGTGGCAAACGAAGCCTGCAGTTTAACACGTGTCCAACGCATTGCCCAGAAGCACTGAGGACGCCATGCACATCGGCCTCAGCCTAGAATCGTTACTTTATGCCATAATTGGTATTGTGATAATGCAATGAGGTGCTATTGAGTGAGGACATGCATCAGGGCGATGAAGACATACAAATGGCCCAGATGCCGATACATGACCCGCGATAGTACGCATAGTCAGCACCTGTCAACGCCATCCTGATACGAATGGACCTTGAACACATGATGATCGTGCGTTTAGGGTGGACAACAAGAACGCTAGTGCGCTGCCAATGAGGCAATTACCGCAACATTCCCGGGCTACTGGTGCCTCGCGAGAAGGACATCACGCCAACACACACGGAGGTTCACCAACTCTTCGTGATTTTTCGTGACTGTGGCCGCACCAACTCCAGTGTCAGATCGCTGCGTGTGTTTGTGATAATTTTGTATTCGGTGACATATAGCTAGCGTCGGCGGACCGCGTGTGTATTTGTGGGCTCCCGTGTTATTTTTGCGGGTTCTAGAAACATTACCGTGACTACAATAGTGACGGTGTGAGCCTGTTACTGAACGTGAGCTTGAAGACCACGCACGCTGGTGAATCCCACAGTCGTGATGAACTGGGATGCTCGTGCCATTCTGTCCCGAAGCGATGTCATTTAGATGATGGAGATGGTCTGGAAGCAGGTGGATAAGTGTCAAAGAAAAAAGTTGGACGTTCAGGGGATTGAACCCTGGACCTTATACAAATTGGATGCTTAGTGCAAAGCATACGCGCTACCACTGCGCTAAACGCCCTTGTTAAATCGTACGACCTTTTGAATTATCAATTCGCTTTACAAGTTTAAACTTTAATATTTTGGTTGCCGCTGAGTTTTGTTTGTACCTTGAAATTAAAATTAGCCATGTTGGGATGCTTTGTCATGCCGTCGGTCAAAAAAGTGGTTCGATGAGCATGTCATATAAAAGAGTTGTACCGAACGCTGTCGGTTTACTCCCTAGTACCTGCTGGTTGACTCCCAAGTGACAGTTTTTCATCATGGATCTTGTTCTGCACCTCGCAGATGACTATCTTCTCGACAATGCGTGGGCGCGGCTGCTTCCTCTCAACGATAACCTAGTTCACTCGTCTGCAAACTTCACGTCAATCATGCATCATGTTCAGCAGTCTGCCTGGCCTCGTGACTACATCCCTAGACAAATTATCTCTCTCATCGTAATCAACCTCGTGGGCGTTCACTTTCTATATTTCTTGTTCGCGTGGCTCTCCTACAAATTTATTTTCAACCATGAGATGATGCGCCATCCACGCTTCCTAGAGAATCAGGTTAAACTGGAGATACAAAGCAGTCTACAAGCTTTTCCCGTAATGACAATTCTAACTCTGCCTTGGTTCCAAGCAGAGGTAATGGGTTATTCACAACTCTACGACAATGTAGAAGATTATGGTTGGACTTACTTTGTACTATCAATACCATTGTAAGTACTTTCCCTCACCTGTGACATTCACTCAACATTTATTGTTAGCTTCTTGATTTTCACCGACTACGGAATTTACTGGATTCACCGACTACTGCATCATCCCAGTGTATACAAAACACTTCACAAGACTCACCACAAGTGGATAGGTATGTTGCTTCTCTCTGCATCCCGTCTTCTTATGCTTAAATATCTCGGTAGTGCCGACCCCCTTTGCGTCTCACGCCTTCCACCCCGTTGACGGTTACCTCCAATCTGTCCCGTATCACCTCTTCGTGTTTTTATTCCCTCTTCACCGATGGTTATATCTCGGCCTCTTCGTTTTCGTCAATTTCTGGACTATTATCGTGCGTGCCTTGCATTACCCACATGGGCCACTCTGACGTTAACGATATCAGATCCACGATTCCGATATGATTACGGGACACGCCCTTGAAACGATGATAAACGGACCCGCCCATCACACACTCCATCATCTTTACTTTACGGTTAACTACGGTCAGGTACGCAATACCGTTCATGCCTTTCTCATGGTTGTCTCCTAATACTTCTTCTCCCCACACACTCAGTACTTCACGTGGGCAGATCGCGTCAGTGGTTCGTACCGCCAGCCTGAGTCGTCCCTCGATCCCATGCTAGACATCAAGAAAAAGTCATAAAGATGATTGCGGCGAACCTATTCATATTCCAATTATTGACTTCTGTCACGCACTTTGCCTCGTTGAAGTTGAATACATTTTTACACTACCTGCTTGCTTTTCATTGTCACTACTCGTCATCTCACTATCAATGCGATAAAATCAGCATGTTTGTTTGATAGAGAAACACAACTGCCATTCTATTAATGCAACACATCGAGACACCGACATATGGATGTAGATAGTGTACTACTCAAAAGCAACTCAAAGACTGTCCAGACACCTCACCTACTTCTTTGGCCGCCTTTTGACTTCATCGTCCTTGCAAGCATGTAACATGAGTTTGTTGGGGTGTCCTGGAGTCATGCCGCTGTGGCCTTTAGACCAGTCATACGAGACAGCGTATGCAAAGATCGTGCCGTTCCGATTGAAAGTAGTAGCACTGATCGGCCCAGGGGCAGCTTCGAATGCTAGAAAAGTATGATCAGTACAATCAGAAAGGGCCGGTAATCAAAGCAGGAATACTCTTTAGTCGTGTGCGGGCGTCTTTGTCCCAGAAGTGGATAGTCCCATCAGAGCCTGACCGTCGGAATCAGACCAGCCACGTGAAACCCGAGGCTTCGAAGCTTACCGCAAGTAGAGAAGGTACCGTGCACAGGATGGAAGGATATGTCATTGACGGCGTACACGAGAGACTGATCTTTGGCGTTCGGTGTCTGGTCTTTTCGATGGCACTTGAATGAAAAATTGTTCCTGTACAACACGTGAATGAAGGTATGGGCAGAACTATGAAATACCCATACGAGCTGTCTTTTTCTTCGACGTATCTGTGAGATGATGAGCGCCTGAAAACCAATCATCTGACAAAATCACGTACTGGATAGCCACACGACCTTCCACACTACCTACAGCAAACCCGCTGCTAGCAGAGTTGGTAAAGCATGAAACAACACGTGTTTGCCATTTCAGCGGGGAAATGATCGTCTAGATAGTATATATAGGTCATGTGAGGACATCAAGTGAACCCCGTGGACATACCTTATATGCTGTGTTTGGGTTTGTGAGATTGAAAATCTGGATATGGCGTTCGGCTGTAGCAACTACCATGAGGGGATATTGTACATCCATGCTGTAGCAGCGCTCAGGAAGTTGAACGGTGGCAACAGGAGTTGGCGAGCGCATATCCCAGTACTAGGGTTGTGAGTGATAACGCGAGTCATGAGACACATGCACATGTTACGAGGATTACAAGAAGCTTACTTTGACGGTCTTATCCCAACTGCCAGTGGCCAGAATGCCACCTTGTGGTGTCTCGATCCATTTTACGACCTTCACAGGGGCGTCATGCTGTGCCACTTGCTGTGACTGTCCATTTGTGATATCAAACATACGTGCCGCGTTGTCCGCACCCCCCGAAATAACTTTGTTGCCCTCCTGAAGGCCGAGGAGACGATTCAGCCATGCCAGGTGATGCCAAAGGAAGTACGAGCGCACCTTGTTCCAACACACACTCAATACAGGTCCTTGGTGGCCAAACATGGCCTTTCCTTGAGTCTGCCCTCCAGCGCCAACTTCATACAACCGCACCTATCGATGAATAGATTACGCGTCAAACCTAGGCCAGATAACGTCTAAGATCGCTTACATTGTTATCCCAGCTTCCTACAGCTAGATAGTCTGCTGCAGGGGAGAAAGCTAAGGAAGAGATGGAGTCGGTCGGGGGCTCCGGAACTTCAATATCCTTTTCTGCGGGCGCCGCTGGTGCTGTCGATGCCGTGTTAGTTCCAAAGAATGACATAACGTCTCAGAACAGTTGGAACTGAGAAGATTGCAAAGGTGCAATTCTGAGGAGCAATTCAGTTTCAGTGCAAACAGTTTGGACGAAGCTGAGCAAAGTGTGGCGTGGTAATTTTGGGTCACGCTGTAATTAATGCCAAGGTCGTTGGGAGCAAGCATGGCGGGTTGGCGTAATGGTAACGCGCTAGTTTCCGGTTGGCGATCGCTAGAGATTCTGGGTTCGAGTCCCAGGCCTGTCGCTTTTTGCTTATATCAGCTACAGATTATGCATTGGGCTAATAATACAAGACGCAAAATTACTTGTCACAAATCGAACTATAATATTAATACATAGGGGACCACTGAAACTCATGTCAAGCGTTGTCTTTAGTCAAATCTGGGAGTGTCAAATGTGCCCTCAGGATCTGAATATGCACAGTCAGATGTGGGTACAAGAAGGATAACCGCTAGGTTACTCACCCATCCCATGAGCATAAATATACTTTGTGTCTTCTTTGATCATGTCCATGAAGGCGTTCGCGTTAGTCTCTGAATCTGCCGACAACTTCGTGTTGGATCGAGCACCAGCAGTGATGGCAGCTGCGGCAACGTGATACCTAGACGTGTGATTGCAAAGCATCATCTGAAATTCATGATCAAAATTAGGGGTAATCAATTGCAGTGAATGACACACATCGAATGGTGAGGTCGTTGTTCCCTCCTCTCGATACCCCTCGATGATGATTCTGTCCACGGCAGGCCTCCCAAATATCAAACCTTTCACTTCGATGGGGTAGCCATGGTAATTGATGATGATATTCTTGTCCTCGGTGAAAAGCGTATTAAAACCATCGTCGCTCAAAGCATGCGGGTGGATGCCATGGGGTCCGAGAACCATGAGGTCGGTAACGTTGACGACACGCACTCGCAGAGCGGGAACCATCTTACGAAGGAGTGCCGCGGCCGCTATAACTTCGAATGTCACTTCGACACCGATGCCAACCAGGACGCTGGTTATCTCAATTCAGCCCAAGCTCCATCACTACAAGGAAGATACTCACACATCCGGGTCTTTCCCATCGTCGACGCTCGCAAATTTCCAGATAGACGAGCCCGCAATGCAATGCTGTCTGACATTGAGCAATGCGAGCAAAAAATAGGACGGATCACCTCACCTTGTGCGCTTCCTCAGGGCTCAGCCAGACGGGCGTGGGCTGCTTACTACCAACGATCAAGTTCACATATTTCTTCGCCCCCAAGCAGTGGGACACCGTGGACAAGAAACAATTTGCATCGGGCGGCAGGTACACACGGGCCGACGTCGGCTTCAAGTCGAGGACGGCCCCAATGAAAGACGGGTTCTGATGAGAAAACCCATTATGCTCCTGACGTGCCCACGTAGATGTCTCTAGATAATTCAAGCAGCCAATATTGTGCCTCCAGCCAGTCTCGCGGGCCTGGAAAAGATGTAAGCTACATTAGTTAATCCATCAAAAACATCAACGGACCATTTTCGTGAACTTGCTATACTGCACCATCATGGTGTGTACAATGCCAAGGAAAGCCTCATAGCTAGGGAAGAACGCAGTCCTGCCAGTGAGTGTGTACCCTTGCAACATGCCTTGGCAGGTATGCTCAGACAATATTTCAATGACGCGCCCGCCCTGAGCCCGAGAGGTCTCGTCCCACTGGAAATTGCGTCCGGTGACCTCAAGCACAGCGCCTAGCTTGTTAGACACGAGTTCGTCCGGGGAGAAAATCCGAAAAGTATTTTGGTTACTAGAAGAGGATGATTAGGAATTAGTAGACAAGTGAAAGGAAAACATACTCCTTGATCGTATCCCTCAACAGCGTTCCGACTACCTCCATACAACTTGCCTGCGATCCCTTTTGAACCCCAAGACAGGTCCATTCTGGAACTTCGATGGGCTGGAATGCAGCATGTGCTTCCTTCCTGCAACCAAGCTTTTTATCCCTCTTGTCAGGCACGATGCTTAGCAACTCTTCGGTAGGTGCACCCTCCACCCCTATGTCGTCTTTGGTAGTGAAAAGCTCATGAGGATTGTAGCTTTGAAGCCAATCCTGTAGGGCTTGAAGCTCCTCCTGTGACGTCTTGGCCTGTGGAAGTGGCACTTGGTGTGAGCGAAATGACCCCTCGATGAACTCGTTATGCATCTTCTTGGGACCGGTCCAACCCTTTGGAGTGCGGAGGATCAAAATAGGCCAGCGCGGCTTCTCGATAGGCTTCATTGAGCGCGCCTCACGTTGAATATGATAAATTTCCTCCAATGCCCATTCCATCGACGCAGCCAAATCCTGATCAATATTTTCCAAGTCACTAACAATGCGGACCTGATAGCCGTAACCACTGAAATGAATACGTCAGACTTGAAGAATACATGCCGCAGTTCACCCCAGACCTGAATAGGGCTATGAGCTCTTTGTCGTCCATACATCCGTAAATGGTACGTTCGGAGATCTTGAACCCATTCACATGCACAATAGGGAGAACCGCGCCGGATTCAGCGGGATCGATGTACTTGTACGCATGCCAGGCAGTGGCGGTCGGGCCGGTTTCAGCCTCGCCATCACCAACAACACAGGTAACGACAAGATGAGGGTTGTCCATGACAGCGCCAAACGCAACGCTGAGAGCGTAGCCGAGTTCACCACCTTCATGAATGGATCCTGGAGTTTGGGCATTGATATGGCTAATATAGAATGGTGAGACCGAACCAACATCAGAATGTTCAAGTAGGCAGACCTTGGGAAACCTCCAGGAGCACTAAATTTTGTGATGAGCCTTGTCAAGCCAGTACGATCACGCGTGTAATGGTCCCAGAAGGGAGATAATGAGTCTTCGAGCCATAAGGACGCCAAGATGGCAGGTGCTCCATGACCTGAAAGAAAGAGTTAGTAACTGTCTTATGGCAATCACGTGATACATGAATATACATGTGCATGAATCATGAATGTCAATCATAATCATGATGGTGTGCGTGTATGCGTTGCATACCGTGTGCAAGGTTAAAAATTTGACTCGCCTGGACCAACTACCAGCAAGGAGTCGACACCAGTCTCCTTAATGATCCTGTTGAGGTGCGCATATACCAAGACCAGGCCAGGGCATGTACCCCAATGGCCAAGAAGCCTCGGTTTAATGTCATCAAAAGTTAACTGATGCTCAAGCAGGATATTATCCTTCAAAAAAATCATCGCTATTGGAGTCATTTAATAGATCTTTGCGCGCTGAGGGTACTGACATACCAGCGGCAATGTAGTTGGCTGCTCGCCTAAATTTCTGAATTGCACGGAGCTCGGACGGCGTGAGGGGATTTTTCGATTTGAGTTTAACGGCGTACTCGTTCATCGAGTCTGGGAGACGAGAGGGGGTTGGGGGAGGGTTTGGCCGGGTAATTATCTGACCAGGCATTGTGTCGGGCGAAGATACTATCAACAGGCTCTAGGTTTGAGGATGCAATTTTTTTCCGAGTATATCGTTTATACAAGCAGCACTTGGTTGTGGTCGAAGGTGTGTTGCCTCCATTGACCGGTATTATAAGGAGCAATTTAAAGGGGCTTCCGGCTCCCCGATTATTGGGAATTTGACGCAATGGTTGCTTCATCGATTTCTCTCATTCAAAAGCTACCACATGCCTCAAGGCTAGATATCAATATCCATTCGTGATATCTATCATATTCTTGACTTCATTCTCGCAAGTCGACTTGAGATTAGAGCGTCGAGCAATTCTACAGCGAGCGCTAGATATATCTTATAGGGGCTATTTCCAGGTTTGGAAAAAATCAACCCCTCTCTACCAGTACTTGGTATGACATATATGCCATCTCTGCCCCTCGAATTTCATGGGCCCACCGGTACCACACCTCCAGACTGTCAATGATGAAAGTTTCCATAACATTATCCTACAAACTGCTAAATCTACACATAAATTGTACATATTCAAAAAATGCCGGTATGTGTTTATTACGATCGGTAATCTGGATTGTGACCCGAAGTAAATATATTAGTAGATTACATGCCCCTTAGACTTCGAGTAATTCTGCGTGACATGAGCAACCTTTCAACAAAACGATAGGAAAGTGAAATACTCACGGAATGGGCGTTGGTTCGCAGTGAACCGGCGCTCTGCGAGTAGTATTTGAGTGCTTCACACCTCCTCTAATGAACAGCGTCGGTCTACCAGGAATGCGGTCCATTGTGTCGAACAATAAAGACTGTATTAACAATGATTCAGGAAGTTGTTGTAGCGATTCAGCAAGATAAAAGTTATTGCTCACCTCGGTCTGGGAGAAATTAGAAAAGAGGATATCGGTTTTTGAAACAGAGACTTCCGCAGATGCCTTGTGAGACGATTGCAATGCGCATTAGGCATTTTATATATCTCACAGAGAGAGAAGGTGGAGGGCATGGACAAAACATTAAGCCACTAGTACGCGAGCAGCTATGTGCGGTGGCTGGCTTGCCGCTAACAACATGAGCATAGAGTGAAGGCAAATGAAAATCAAACCTTCTGTGGCACACCTCGAGTTATTGATACTCGCCTATGCTGGATAACGAACTTCCAACAAGTACAACGTACAAAAATCGGCCCGGTAGAATGCTGTAACTCCGCCCGTATAGACCAGTGTCACGAGACCAACAGGCCAGAACATCGCATGCCAGACGGGAATGTTGTCAACGTTACCCTGACGGGCCAAAGATAGCATGCCAGGTCAAAAGATTGGCTGCCAACCAATTAAGAAGGCTTGGCCTGTGGCGAGACCGACGGCCAGGGTTTTTGAGAAGCACGTAGGCCTCTGGAGTCTGTATCAGGCCCGCACCATCCACTCTGGCGACCACAACCTGGAACATCAGATCTGAGATCTGAGGGATGGCATTACTGTGTGGCTGTAGCTATAAATCTAATCGCATTAGCACACAGGAATAACTGCAGTCACAGAAAGGCCTGCCTCACCCTTGCCACCGACTAGCGAATCCGCCAGTGAACTCGAACTCGTGTTGTGAATTGTGTGATGAGAGAAGCGGCTAAGTGAAAGTGATAACAACAAAGCACTTATGATCGAACATACTTCCCCAACCACTGAGTCCGGAGATTCGGAAAGCTCAGTGCTCACCGGAGCCAAGACTGGAACACAGTACGTTATGCATATAGTAAGTGACATATTTGTTCAGGCCTTCAATGATTTCAATGTCCTCCATAGCACGTGATGGTGTATGCAACGTGGATTCAACGAGGACCGTGTCTCAGAGTCCAAACAAAAGCATTGTCCTGGACGCGCAATACGCCGTTCTGTCCCCTCCTTACACATTGATCATGACTGGAGCATTGAATATCAGAATAGCGTATGTATCAACTGTGTCCCAAGAATTTCTTCTACTTAGGTCATATTTGCAGTATCATGGGACCCTCTGGAAGTGGCAAGACGACATGTGTGTCACTAAGGATGAAAACTTATCCAAGAAAACCGCTGATTGACTACTCTCAGTCGTCAATGAAGCCAGCGGATCTGACTTCACAATCGGAAAGGGTCTCGAGAGTTGCACCAGTGAGGTGCAAGCAACGAAACCCTTCAAACTCAACGGCCGGGAAGTGACATTGATCGACACTCCCGGCTTCGACGATACCAGCCGCAGTGATACAGACATCTTAGCGATGATAGGAGCCTACCTCTCACAGACGTCTGTCTTCGTTGCCATGCTTTTTCTTGTTCTGACCCAAATGTTACAGATATGAGCACGGTGCCAAACTTGCTGGCATCATCTACATGCACCGCATATCAGATTTCCGGATGGGAGGAACAAACAAACGGAATTTCAAGCTGTTCCGAGAGCTCTGTGGGGAGTCCACTCTGCGAAACGTGTTGATCGTGACGAACATGTGGAGTCAGGTCGCTCCTGACCTTGGGGAGTTGAGGGAGAAGGAGCTAGAGAATAATTTTTTCAAAGGAATTCTCGACAAGGGTGCGCGGATCTTGAGGCATGAAGGCACGCAAGAATCGACGCACCGCATCCTACGATACCTGATTCATAACCAACCCACCACGCTCCTCATTCAAAAGGAGCTCGTGAACGAGCACAAGGATATCATACAGACCTCCGCAGGATCTGAGCTGACGCGAGTTCTGAATGAGCAACGAGAGCGCCATGAAGAGGTGGTGGCTCAGTTGCGCAAGGACATGGAGGTAGCGATCCGAAATAAGGACCACGAAACGAGGGAAGAACTTAAGGAGGAGATCCATGCCAAGCACGAGCAGATCCTGAAGTTACAAAGCGAAAACGAACGACTAGAGGTAGAGTTCAGGGCCGCCAAAGAGAGGCTCGAGGCCCGGATCAGCGCAGTGGAAGAGAAGCATCATGAGCAAGGACAGACTGTAGACGCCTTGAAAGAACAGCTGGAGATAGAGAGAAAAGATAGGAAAAAAATGGCCATCGAGCAGGAACAGAGGGAACAGCGATTGCGCCACCTGGAAGAGGAAAATACGAAAGCTCAGGAACTGGAGCGCCTAAACAGCCTTCGCGAATTAAATAGACTTGTTGCTATTCGCGTTGAGCTCCAGGAAGAGCTTCGAAAGGAAGAGCAACAAAGCACGAAGGATTCCGAACCCAGCGACAACGGGGTGATAGAGGATGTGGTCGCCTGGGTGAAGTCGTGGTGGTCGTGGCGTGAACTTTTTTAGCCTGTAAAAGCAGAATTATTCGAGTTTAACTTTATTTATACAAGGGTAGTTGGACGAGCGTGCTCCTCAGCACTGTCCATCGGGTCTATCACTGCCTGAGCCTGTCTCACTATCTTCTCGGCCGGTACCCTGAGTATCGTTCGGCATGTCTATCGTATGAATCGGTCATCGCCGGGAACGGCGCCTAGTTGATATGGTTATGGCAATATCGCGACTCATCAGAGGCTCGGAACCAGCCTGGCTTAATATATAACCACGGACCAGGCTGGTCGATCTTGGAGATTTGGCAGGCGAAGCACGGAGTTTTAATTTAGCAGGTGCCGGTCGTGCCGGTCGAAGTACATAGTTACTGTCGACTATCAATATCAATCACCAGAAACTTTCGTTCGCGCACTGCATAGAGTACCGCATCTTTCTCGCTTTTGCGCTGCATCACTAAAATTGAAATAGGATACTTTAAATGATAAGAAGCAATTCATGCAGAGTGTCTTTCCGGAGCTCGAAGAACCACATGTCTTCCTGCAAGCAAAGATACGAGAGCCTTGAGTTGAAATAACTTCGGGATTTTGGTGCCTTTTGAGATAAAATCAAGGTGCGCGAAAGCTTCGAGTACTTGCTGGATCTGTATCATTGAAAGTGTGTTTGTAAAGTCCGTCGGAAGGTTTTCGAGAGCATTCAAAGCTGGGACATAGGGAATACAGAACCAATGTTGAAACTCGTGATTTAGGATCGTCATAACATAGAGATGTCTACAGCACTGTGTTCTGTACAATGTCTGGACTCGACGACACCCGGCACAACCGGCACCTGCTAAATTAAAACTCCGTGCTCTGCCTGTCCGAGATCGACCAGTCTAACTACGTGACCCGAAAATGACAAAGCTACTTTGTCTAGCTTTACCTTTACATACAATTCGGTGAATCTTCGATCTGATCTTACCAAATAAATCTAGGAAAAGCATCGTCTTGCCGATTTCGTGATGGAACTCATCCGTTCACTGATGAGTCAACTAGGTTGATTGCAGGCCCTTCGGAATCGGAGGCAGCCAATATTCATCACTGTCATGCGGTACAAGCAGTGCACATTAGCATTGAACGGCGGTATATCTAGCATAAACGCTAGATCCTTATGACCCCAATATCTTCTGCTCACTCACACCCATCCGCCAAATATGAACCTGGTCTCAAATGATCCTAGTTGGCGGTCGACAGTCAATTCAAATATTTTTCTAAGCTACTTAATGGGTTCGTCTTATCAGTTGGTGATGTCTCGATCTAACATCGACTTGCGGTTTCGCAGTTGCTGCAGGCCTCGTGGTGGTATACGATTGGAGTGAGCAGGACAGTGTTCGAAACCCGTTGATATTCTCATGATAGTTCTAGTGTTAACTCTTGGACAAGAGGTATATCGATGTTATCTCCTGGGCAGCCACCTTGCTAAGAATGTCATAGATTGTACTGATCTGGGTAAATGACAGAGTCTCATATCTGAAGAAAAATAGGAGAATACAATGACTAACTTGTGACAGAGGCAACACTGGTCTCTCATGACTGTATTGTACCTGGTTGTTCGTACTTCGTGTTACATTATAGCGTGGTTGGCAAGTTGTGCTGACTCAAAAATTTTCTAGATACGCTATGTTGGAATACCATATTCTATGTATGTTTTTGAAGCCAACAAGTTGGTACTGTACTAATAACCCATCTCTCATGATCAGTATAAATGTTCTGTGTATGTGTCATAGTATGCCCTGTGTTCGACTCTTCTGACCGACAGCAAATAGTACATGTGCCATTGGTCTCGAAGACAGATGCAGTGAGTATTCCCCAACCATCATTTTCATCCAATGAATATACTCATTTGTAGGGGTGAGTGAGATTCTGACCATTCAACTTGGCTAAGCATAATGGCTCAATAGGTGTAAGTCCAAGTGTTTGATCCTAGTATGGTCACTAACCGGGTGTTTCAGGCAACATTATGAACTACGCATTGAGTGTGACAGATGTGGCCGTAGCTGTCATGTTAGGTGGTGAGTTACCCAGCTGCAATCCTCCGTGATATCGACTCAACTGAAACATGATGCAAGTCATCATGATTGCTCGGCTGCATGCTATGTATCAGGGATCGAGATTCATGCTTATCTTCCTTGTTATCATCTTCCTGACTATAACCATCGCCTGTGGAGTACTCATGGCAATAGCACTCAAGGATACTGTAATGGGTAAGCTTTACTTATTGACTTGAAGAACACAGCTTATTAGACAAATACCAGAGGAGCTGATAGTCTATGGCACATACATGTGTGATTATAGATTTGAGGGGGATGCTCAACTCCTGATTTCGATGCTTTGGGTTCTCTACTGCTGTTTGGTAGGTACTCGCACTGTGTCTTTCAGTCTGGATATCTGTGAAACACTTCCGTGACCTGCGACAACTCGGCCCATCGACTGGATCGACCTTCAGGCGACTGTTTCAGAGTACTGATAAAATCACATGTGCTTTATTTTGCGAGGTTAGCTTGTAATGTGAATGTGCTTGTCTTTTTTTGCTCACGTTCCGCACATGCTAGCTTTGTTGGTGTCTCTTGCTTTCAGTTGCTTACTTTCTCTCCAGAGCGAGAGGTGCGCTGACCTGTTGCCGCACAATTACTGCTTATCATTTCTGCAGAATTCGAATTCTATGAGAATATACATGCTCAGTAATGCTTGTCAGATTTTCTTGGCCAGTGCAAATGTATGTGCTGGGACCACGCCTCATCCTTAGCGTTCGAGAATATCATGCTAAGCTAGTGGCCAAATCCGACACGGAAACTAGCATGGATACAATTCTTTTCCAGGAGCGTGTACATATACTAACTAGCAATACAGTGTAGGGAAATTCTTGCCTGAGTTTTACCCATGGAGGAGAGGTCTGTATTTATTTTAGTGTAATTCAAAGTATATTTAAGATGAGATTTATGTGGACATTTCTTGTTGTGTCACGACTACAAGTCGGTGAACCACCTGCCCACACTTGCACTGAAATTGGTTCTCTGAGTCAGTGTGATATATTCAACCCTTAGGGAAAGAGAGATCCAAGTGTTGGACGTAAAGGTACCGCCACCGTATTGCAGGTACGAGCCCAAAGAGGCACGTCACAGAGTGACGAATTCAATATTTGTGTTTATTATGTGTATGATACTATCGACTCCTAGTACTTATACTGACTAGCACTTCCTTTTGATGTTTATCTATTTCATTGGCAAGTACATTTTGCACCTTGAGAATTGTTAACAAGTCATGGTCCACGTCCGCATCAACGAGCGCGAAGCTAACCCGAATCCGCACGTCAATTTCATTTCTGTTCTGCCTATGGTCGATGCCACTCTCGAGGATGATGCTCGACAACTTATGCGGGCGCTGGCCGCGCAGGTGAGGCCTATCATGAAGGCTCATGGTTTCACCGTGAACAGCTTGGAAGAGGTGCGTGTCTCTTCTAGTGTCCCTAGGTTAGATTTCCTACGTCGACTATCTAGTACGAGTATAACAGAGTGTTCGCGGGGCGGAACTGGAACAATGGGGAGACAATTGGTACGCAAACTACCCCGGAACGATATCACAGAGCTGTACTGATGGTGTCAATGTAGAGCTGGTTTTGAAGTCTGCTAGCGGTTCATTTGTACCAATCCACTGGCTTTTGAGTACATTGTGCCACGAAGTAAGTCTTCCTTTGCGACTTGTGTGACAAGTCACTAATTAACACTGGACGCGTCTGTCGCGTTAGATCGCCCACATAAAGGTCAGTCATACCGATTCGCAACTATCCGACACCCTGACATGCGATACAGCACATGAACCACGGACCTGCCTTCCAAGCCCTCTGGCAACAACTACGGAATGACGTCCGTGCCCTCCAAAATAAGGGATATTATGGCGACGGTACGCACCACACCCAAATTTCTCTTACATACACCTCACAATTCACCAGGCTATTGGTCTTCCGGGACCAGATTAGCAGATTCCGTAAAAATAGCCGGCCAAGGTATTGAAACGGGAGACCTTCCTGAATACATGGTCAGTTGACCTTCGTCTTTCTCATCTATGTCTCTCAGATGGTGCAAACAGTGTGGTGGTGCTCACTCACGTGCTCGACCTGCCTCCTACCAACGACGTAAAAGAACCGCTAAATTTAGCGGGCCCTCTGTGCACACAGGTGCTCAATCCGAGAAGAAACGCAAGGCTGGGTCCAGGATTACCAACACTAACGTATTTGGTTTGGGTGGAAAGGCACTGAACGAGGGCGCCATTGGCGAGAAGAAAGAAGCCGGCACTGGATTTAGGAAGAAAGCTGGAAGGCATGTGTTTCGCCTTTCAAATAGCGTGGGCTCATGCATCATGGTTGGTTAGTAAACGCGCCCGGGAAGAACGTGCACTCGCTGCCGAGAGACGTATGGAGACGCTCAAAAGTTGGTTTTGTCTTCCCCTCGTCACGTCAAGCGATTCACGTTCTCCTTCAATCTCTTCAGCGTCAGCATCCTCTTCGCGTCTGAAGAGTGAAGCTACAACAGGTTCAGAATCTGAATCTGATGTTGAACTATTAGAAACAGACCAAGACCGTCGAAGGACCATGCTTGAATCCGTAGGCGGACAGGATCTCAACGAAATGAAAGCAGCCAGTTATGATTTCTCAGATGACTTTAGACTCCCCGGAGAAATTGGCAGTAATTCATGCAGCATCCACAAAATTGAACGTCCCGAAGCTACTGTGTCGACAGATGCACAGCCCGGTTCATCAACCCGACCCGAGAAGCGTCGGCGTGCGCAAGACCAAGAACCATCTGTCACTAAGAAATTCCAGATTTTTGATGCTCCAAAACCTGAAGATCAGTTGAATGGCTGGAACTGTCTTGTGTGTACCCTGTACGTCTTCTTCGAGATGAGGTTCAGGTCGATGGAATCAATTTGATCGTGTTATCAGAGCCAACGAGCCAGAACACCTAGCCTGTTCTGCCTGCAGCACCCCCAGGGGAGATTCTCTCTGGGCTGGTAGAGTTTTATGAGCATCGGACTTGGACTACTATACCAGTATACCCAATCATGTCAGTACTAGTATCTGTTGTGACAACTATAGTGATGTATGATCTACAACGGTCAAAGTTCGGGGTAAGATGTCAACTACTATGTTGTGCAGTGTCCAACAGCAAGATATAATGAACGAAACAGTCGGTGGATGGTGCGATACAAAGCTAGTAACAAAAAAAAAATTGTATATTGTATGCTTATATGATCCATGTGCCAGCGGCCAGAGTGATCAGCATCGAAATAGCCAGCCCTGCTCCCGGAACGCTCCGAGAGGTGGCGCTATTCCACCCAGGAGGAACGCCTAAAGTAACTAACGGTTGTGAGATGTGAGATGTTGATGTCACCACTGCACCGTTCGAATTCGTAACAAATAGTGTATATGCACCAGTCACCTGAGGAAGGGCGGTGGCGTTAACAGAAAGTGTTCCTATGAGTGGACTGTACGTGCTCGTCGCGAGCTCGGATTGCACGATCTCGCCATACACGGCTGGAACTGACGTGTTAAATGCGTACGGCGGCGTCGTGTAACTTGGTGTAGAGAGGACGAAATTGGGTAGAGTGGTAGCAACTGTCGCAGATTCGGACGAAAGGGAGGATTCAACAACTGAAAATGGTTGTACAGGTGCTGAAGCGTTGTTGTAGGGATATAACCCAATCATCGGGGGCTCCTGGTAGTTAATTCCGTAACTGCATAAAAAAAACTGATGAATACTGCATGGAAAGATTCAAACGAGTTAGAAATACCTCCATATTGAGTAGACAGTTCGCAAAAACGGAGTTCCTGGACGAGTGGAGCCATTAGTAATATGAGGCGACACGACAGTATGGCGTAGACTATTGTACCTAACAACCAGTCGACCCCATCGGCACTAGGAGGTGCAGCTTTGGGCCAAGACAAACAAAGGTCCGGGTTCCCCTCAGCTGGGCCAATAATGTAATCGGTGGGTTCCAATACAAACTTAGTTCCATCTCTGGAATAAAGTTTTCAGCAGATAAAGCGGGTTATTTAATCAACCACTAGTCACCCAAAACTGAAGGACATGATCGCTGAAGAGTCGCAAGGTATGACCCATTGACCACCTTCAGTACCATTGCTTTGTCAACTTCAGAAGTAGCCAGGATAATATTATGACTCACTCTCGTCAACTAAGCGACTACTGGGAAACGAACTGTACAATCGTATCACCTAGAAGAACATGAAGATTAGTTCGTCGATATGAAAATTAGAAGCTGACATCTTGATATGGGCCATACAGTCCTGGAGTGCCACTGCGGCCGAGAGTTAAGCGCGCACATGGATAGATAGTTGATCACTTACACGTCCAAAAGAGCAATCGATGAATTGTCATTCGGACCAGGGTAGGTCGGTTGAGGAGTATACTGAGTTCCATTGACCTTGTGAAAAATGAGTATCATCCCACAATATAATTGCAAGATCAAGAGCCTCACCGCAAAACTGCTCATACGAATCGCCCAATAAAAGTAGCCAGATGTGTTGGTTTGCGTACCGACCGGAGAAAATGATACGACTTCATTCCATACAACCTGGCTCACGTTTTGTACGACAGAACCATCAATGGCCCCTTTTCAATAAAAAGACATGAATATCATAAACCAGGCGCTCAGCAGAAACTCACCGAGGGTAAACGTTCCGGTTGCATTTCTTGTAAGACTCAGTCCAAAAATCGGATAGTCCAGTATGCCTTGCTGAGCCAAGTTTGAAAAAAATGGCGCGGCTAGAACGGACCAGATCCGTGAGGCTAGCGCCCACAATGCTGCTCAACCAACATACCGTTTACAACACTCGCAGATATTTCCGACTGTCGTGAGAATCCCAAGCCGAGAATACCGCTGATCTCGCTGACAAGCGAGATATTAGAATTTGTTACAACACCTGCGGAGATATTAACGTGGAGTGTTTCGAGTGTGAGGTCTAGCCTTACCAAATGCCTGATTTGCGACCGTCACATTGGCAACTTCTACAGTCTCTCTGGCAACGAATCCGGATGCGCCTTGTAAAACAGTCAGCATTGGAGTAGTTTGAACGGAGTATCGCACACACCAGTCCCATCAGCGTAGTCAACGGTGAAAGCGGTCTCGTTATTATTGATGGATACAAATGTGGGGCTGGCATAAGTGAGGGGGTATCTTGGCACAGACATGCATGCACTGTTAGTACACTCCGTGGAAGTAAGCCAGAAGTCGGCAGAACCTGTGACACGCTTTTCATACGGAGTCTTATTACCAAAGAAGCATACAATCATACCTGTGTCGAGGGCAGCTCTGAAGCTTATTTGACCAGCTTGGAGGACAACATAGTATGTCCTGGAAAGATAGTCCGATGAGAAAGGTGAATATTTGAGGTGTAAAGGCTCACCCATCGCCAGCAATAGATACCGGCGAGATTCCAAAGGCGTTGAGTGCGGTTGAAGTTGAAGCCTGACCAGCAATGAAGGCAGGTCCATCCCGCAAGGATGTACTTGGAGAATTATAGGTACTAGCCGCGAGAACATTTTTGAACTGCAGGGCAAAGTTCAGAACAAGAAACAGGACGACCGTCGCCAACCGGTTCATTATGTGCTCTTTAAAGGAACCGATGAATCTGCGTCTACCAGGGCAGCATTCGAGCACTCTGAACGCTCGAGTGGGAAAGAAGAAAGAAGGGTCAAGGAAAGAACCTTGGGTGATGGAACTTTGTCAAAACAACGAATGATGAACCAGACCCGGGCGGCATGTCGTTAATGTCACTATGATCTGGCTTGTTTAGATGTCACATGTTCCGCGAAAGAGTAGAAAAACAGTTATTCAGACATACACATAACTACACAGTAATACATCTACATCCGAAAGAAATCGAAAGGTGACAGGGTGAGGCCATAGAGTATAAGAGACTAGAGGTAATGAGCGTCACAGTGGTATCACAAGAATGAATAGAACATATAAAGATGAATGTCTTAAAGATAGGTAGAATAGGATCATGTCACCGTTTGGCAAACACCTTTTTCAGCAGCGCTAGGACCTTCGGTACGTTCAATTGAACGTACTCTAAATCTAGCAAGTGTTTGTTGTCTTTTTGCTGTTGACGAGGTGAGTACTGAGTGTGCAAATCTAGAAAGAGAGACTGACCTTCTCCAATAGGTCGTCGATCTTTAGATCCATTTCAAGGATGGCTTTCTCCCGACCCTTGTAATGCAATGAAATGATGAACGTCCCAGGTGTAGGTGATGTTATGTTGAAGTAGATGTTGGGTCGACTGGAAGCAGGTCAGAACACTGTATAAAAAAGGATCGGAGAAGTACGTACCGGTTATCAGGAACATTACTCTCCACGATGATCCCTTCCTTCTCGAGTTGCGCATGGGTAAAACGATACGGACCAAGAACCGCCGATTTTGATGGCTTCCTCTCTTTACCTCCGACTGTGACGACACCCACTCCAGTTGTACTGCCCTTGTCTTTCGACGCAGTCAGACGAACGTTCTGGAGATACGCCTTGTATTGTTCAAGCTGAGAGCGCAGGTAAGCATTGTGGTCGCAGATCGTTTTGTAGACTGCTTCCAACGACTTTGTTTCTAATATCACCTTCTCCCGTAGATTACCAAGGTGAGCGAGCTCAGCAGCAACCTCATCCTGCATGAGCTTATAGCCATCTACCGCCTCGATGATATTTTGCTCCTCCAATTCACGAAGCATCTCCTTGACCTTAATGCCTTTGCGCACAAGCGTTGCATCCTTCGTCGTAGCCGCCCGTTCAGCAATCGCAGCCAGGTTGTACGGCCGCTTCTCGGCGGCGTGGGGTATGGAACGTATGAGCTGTACAAGAATAGACTTGGTTTCCATGTACAGCATGTCGCTCGTTGATACCGAGTCCATCAGAGCACTCTGGATGTCCTGTACAGGCGTTTCCCAGCGGCTGTACAGATTCAGCTCTATAGCACGGTTCTCCTTTCGCGGAACTTGTGATGGAGCGGGTCCGAGTTCATCAGTCAAGATACGTAAATGCTGTTTGTCGTTTGGGGACTGGAACACAGCCGTGTTAGAAACTAGCAGAAGGATAAATAAGTCGTGCTTACGAGAGTCTCCACATGCTGTAAAATCAAAGAGTGGGTGTTGTACAGCTCGTTCATGGTGATGTGGATCATGAGGTCTTTCTTGGATAGAGCCATGTATTGGTCCATCTAAAATACAGTGTTAATTGACATGAATGAAATGAGATATGCTCAAACGCACTTCAAGAGTGTCATAGAAATCCCCGACCTCGCAAAGACTGTTGAGAAATTGGTTGATCCGTGCTTTATTATTTTCTACGAAGGGATTAAGTGTGATCATGTAGATCTCCTTTGCATACGAGGGCTTGTTTGCAAGGTTCTGCAGCATCTTCGCAATCTAATGAGATAAATTATTAGCCAAGAGCATGAAAATGGAAGGGATAATACGAATACGCACCAGGGTCAGTGTTCGACGAGGGTGTTTAGCAGGGACGCCTTCAACGAGCATGTATGCTTGGGGAGTGACAATAGCAGGATTGATGAACCGTAGAAAGAAGAAGCCTCCTATCAATGAGCAAATAGCGTAATCGGTTGCCTCGGGATACTTTCGCTGTGACACACCGAAGGATTAGTGTCAGATGAAAGGAATATGAAAGCGAACCGACCCGGGTCAAACTGCGGATCTGCTTGCAGATCCATCGGATACCATACGGCACACTTTCCATACTTTCTATTATGGTTACGAGGAAGCTATTCGCGATTTCCATTAGCATAGTAAGCCGTGGTGCAATGATAGCTTGGACATCGGCGTTCTCGGCGGCGACCTCTGGGGGTACTCCGCGAGGTAGGTTGGGCGGTAGTGTACCCGTCTCTTCCTCTATCTGGTTTATCATTTGCTCGTACACCTGCGTACTCGTTAGATATCTCAACATACCTCTCGGCACTACTAATGGCTCACCTTTACAGGATTAATTTCAAGGTTCAAGTCTTTGTGTTCTATCAAGCTGTTGATGCGTTCTGCCAGCACCCCCTTAAGATAACTTTGCCCAGGACCTCGTCGGGTATATGTAGTCATCATTCGGGACACAGGAGTGTTGGCACGCAGTAGCGATCCAAACTCGGTTGCTGTCTCAAACTGCGCGGACAAGACTGATTGGAACATCGTTAAAAGAAGATGCTCTTCACGACTCTCGTACTGGTTTCCATACAGCGTGAACATGACTGTCTGCAAGAGTGTGTCAATCTCTGATAGACTGACAAGTCGACATAGTGCAGCAATATGACGGGGTTCAGACTGAAGAAGGAAGAATAGGTTGGAGTACTGTTGTAATTTTCGGTCATCGGGGTAATGGCCTTCGGTAGGATCGACTTCTTCCAGCGTACGTTCCACTTCACGTTGCTAACCCATGTAGGTGAGCGGAAATATAGAATCTAACACAGCATCAGAACACGGACCTCATCAGCGGCCATACGATTCTGGATAAGGAGAGCGATGCGAGAGTCAAGGTAACGGACGTCACGCTCGAGCACAAAGTTTTTCTTGGACTGGGCGGATATCTTGCCCTTGAGGTCGCGAAGGCGTTTTTGTGCTGTGTCACAAGGACTTGGAAATAAGAACATCTAAGTTATAATTTGGACACACCTCGAGCAAGGTCATCCTCCACTTCAACATCCTGCTCTGCGGCCATGCTGAAAAGGGCGGTAACACTATAGCGATTTGTATTCCTGTTCGTGAGTCTCCTCCCCATGACTGCGCCAGGGGAGGTTGGTTGATCGACATAAGACATGATGAGCCGAGAAAAAGGCTGTTGATCTCTGAATCGTGAAGCGAGGACCTATATAGACTTTGAAGTCTGCCCTACAGGTGTGGAGAGATTTCCTAGATTCCTAAGCTAGCACCGGCGCAGCCTGGCAACAAAAAAAAAACAAGAGGCCCGTTTGGATATCGAATTTTGTGGGTATCAACAAAAGAAAGAACGAAAGAAAGAAAAGAGGATGAAGGCGGGGGAAGAAGGCAATGCAGTGAGATGACGAAGAAGACAATATATCCGCCAATGCGGCGCGTAACACAACAGCTGCAGCTGTGGCAAGGACCAACGAAACGCTGAGAATATCTAGCAGGTGGCGTGAAATTACTATAATCGTATCAAAGTTGAATCAAACTACTAAGAGCTGGCTTCCACCCCTCCAAACACCTTCTCTTGGTTAGTACATTCACAATCCTTAAAATCATTCCTCATCCGTTTTGCTGATTTAAAACGACACGTTTCAAATCATAGATTATTGATCTGTGTTACCCCCCTCAGTGCCTTACACAGGTTCAGGTGATTAATGGGTCACCGTACTATCCTTTGTAGTACTTGAAGCCCGCCTTGAACGTTGACGTTGACCATCGATCAACGTTCAACTTAATTTACTGCCGCGTAAAATCGTAAGCGATCATAACTCAGAATTCGGCCACGAGCTAAGCGTGTCACTCTTAGCGAGCTTGATTCATGAAAATGGTATGTCATTCCTCGACTGCCAAGGATAATTCGATTACGGCCATGCCTCGTCACTCGAGATGCACCGAAATAGCCAGGTTCTCCTGACATACCATCCTAGACTGCTTTGTTCAGCATATCTCGCTCAGCACATCGGTGAACCCACAGGTTGTCAACGTGTCACTGGGATTACGTTTGGGAAATGCGGAGTCTCCTCGTACCCAATAAATGACTGTTAAACGTATTTGAATGGAACCCCGCTGGCGTATTCGCGGGATGTCAAGTTTCGTAATCCATACGGTCACTGGAAATAAAAACTCATTCTCGCTGGCCCTTGCGTATCTATGATGACTCCCAAATGGGGCAAATTGCAAGGCGATTGTGAAAGTGTCATAAAATTTGATGTCCTCCGAATATCGTTTTGGGGTATTCGTGCGGGCCGTTGCATGCACTTTAACACGGTACGTTTTGAAATTTGTGATGATGAGAGTTCTTATATTCCTTTATGGCGCAGTTTTGCATCTTTGTGACTCTCGGGGGGTGAAATTGAATATGAGTTCTGTTTTCCCGCACAGCGATGACGCCGCGTTGCCTTCATCACCATGGCAATATGCAATCACATTGTGTAGAAGCCACAAAGTCGTAGGGACGTTTGTCGATGCTGTGGAATCCATAACACCCAAGTTGCCACCAACCACGATAATTGTTAGTCTAGGGTCAACAACCATTAATGGCATACTCAATGACATCCATGGAAGGAGAGCTGAGAAAGGTCTCGGCCCTTTCTCTATCACAGACGCCTTCACACTCGGAATTTTAGTTGCCAAAATCGATTTGCAATGACCCGCGATGTTTCATTACATAAGTACGTATCAGCAGCATTCATCACATGACAGATATCAAATGAATGCCAGGTTTACGGTGCCACTCCTCGAACTTTTCGGCTGGTGCAAGCTTCTAGGTATCATCAGACAGCCTGTTTTAATTGTGCAAAGTGAAATCGTGTTCGGCTTAGTCCGAAATCGATTTCAGAAAAACACACCAGTATGCATATGCACAAGCTAAACTCAAACCGATGAACCTGTTTTTGAAACTGCGGAGTGATGTTGGCAAGGGAGGTTCATCGGATCTCTTTTACCTCCGTGAACGTGCACCTGTTGATAAGTTCCTTCTCGTTATTCCGTCCATACGTCCCGCGCTTGGAAATGGCTGTCCTGACACTCCACAACATATAAATTGGCTCAACATATCAGTAAAGTCCTCATCTCATTGCCATGTCTACCAGGTAAAAATCCTCTACTTGCAGACCTTGGGCCCATATCTAACATTTTCCCAGATGCTTCTTACCCCACTGTCCATGCGGATCTACGAGCCCGCAGAACTCTGACATAATAGACGTCGAACCCTGCGCTGCCATTAATGCGCACGACCCAGATGCTGAGGTAGTCGTTTATCGCTGCTCCTGGGACACCCAACATTCTCCCTGCGGAATGTTCATCGAGGGTGCTCCCCGAGACATTCTCTCCCATTTTCGGGAACGCCACGGTATCGCCATGTACGCTGCCGACGCAGATGTTCAATGTCGGTGGAGTCCATGCTCTATGGACAGACATCTGAAAATGAATAGTATAGCGAGGCACATCGCGTGGCATCTGGGCATCCAATTCAGATGCTCGCGATGTGGACTCACGGCTCGTGACGACGTCGTTCGCGACCATATCAGAAGGAACCCTGGCTGCGCTGACGCTGTGGTACAGCTGGTTCCCGGCTCAGGAGCCCGGCGGATAGTCTCAGCTTGATCTTTTTGCAATGGGCGCAATGATTTGACTTTTAGCCAATTAATTCCTATATGCGTACCATAACTACGTTAGTACTTGCTACAAATACCGCACGGTTGGATCGCGTTATGGGTTGCGTCGTATGTACATGTTCGATCGACTTATGTATTGAAAGCGAAGGCAATGGTGTTCTCTTCACGTGGATTGAGAAATGATGGAACTTCTATTAAGTTGGTGAGGGTCAGGTAAGCCTGAGATAGCAAGTTATCAATCGCATGATGGCTGTCTTCTTTACGTGTAAAACCGCTAATGAAGCTCACCGGAACCCTATCTGAAGCGGGTCCCCCTTTTTAGGCCGAGTTGGCAAGGTCAGTAAAGTCAAGGTTCTTCTTCACCATCAATTATTTAAGATCGTAGATCATGATAGACAACGCAGGTAAAACGGACATTGTGATTGTGAAAAATTATCCGAACGGCAAGATACTATTCATCAGACGTTGACTCATGACAAAATGTGCTATGGCCTATTGTCTGAATTATTAGGTCGATTCCGATCGCTGGGGCGCCTCGCAACGAAAATTCAACGAAGGGTCTCACAGAAGGCATGGGTGCAAGAAAGGTCTACGGCTACGAATGCCCTCGGCGCTCCACATCAAGTCGCGCGACGAACTGAAGAAGTTCGCGTTTCCGTTTCCCGCTTGGAGATGCAAACTCCACTTCGTATTCCCAGCTTGCGAGCTAAAGGTAAAGATCAGAATACTTGGTCAAAACAAACTGACCATGCGAGAAAATTGTAGGCCGGCAACGATGAAGCCTACTGCTTTGCACGAATGTGCCAACTCTGTAGATAGGCAATAAAGTCAAAAGCAAGTGAAATGAAAACGCAGCTAACTGATAGTTTATTCACCGCCGCTGTCTTGCTTGGGACGTTCGTAGGGTTAAGAATGTCGGAGGAGCAATTTCTCCGCAGTCAGAGAGGTCTTTGAAGACCAGAAAGGTCTACGGTAGTCATACGTCCCGCGAAGCGCTGTATTAAGCTAGGCTGATTGCCTAGATAGTACTGTTAAAAAGTTGTTGTTTTTTGAAATTTTTTTAGCCACGATATAACTCGAGAACCCGCAATATATGAGACTACACCGCCAATAATATCAGCTCAAGAGAAGCACGGACCTTAGTAACGTCAACTCATAACAACCGAATGTGAAAAATCGCAAGTCACGCAATGTTCGATTGGACATAATTAAGACAGATTCTATCCGTACTGCAACAAAAAACGTGGTGAGGCAAGCTCCGTGGATGATGATAAGGGGACCAACAGTGATCAGCAATTTGACAATATCCTTCGCGATTTGAACTTTACCAGCCGCGGTATTGTATGCATATGAGTTCGTGAAGATAGGCTTAAGTCACTTGTGGTTTGGAAGGGGCAAAGTTTGTGAGGCGGCGTTGAGCTTCGGGGCCTCGTGCTGATGCTTACATACTAGTAGCTGTCAGGGTGCTGGCACTGGTGCCACAGGAAGACTTAGGCGATAGAAGGTGCTTGTCACGTGCTCATCTGCTAGTCTAATTGAAGTGCGACCCTCTCTGAGCCTGAGCCTAAACTAATACCGCCGTTGCACAGTCGACAAGTTCATTAATTACCATCGAGTCCAACTTCTAGCACCTTGTCCCAAACTTGTGACACTATCTATAATTCCGTTTACGTCTAATTTATCCCCGCAGGGCCCAGCACGAGGGCATAGGACACCCTTACGTCCCATCTGTTCAAATCGATCTTTCCGATATGCCAAATCATGTCACCATCCCTTTCAAGAAGACATATTCATGTCCTATACCTACTGCTACCCGCGATTACATTCAAAATCACACAGAAGATCACCCAGATGCTTACATTCGCGACATCAACCAGTGGAAGGCATTGCGGGATATCGGCACTGGGGGCGTATTACATGCTGACCGTATCAACCTCGCGTTAAAGTGAGTCCAGTACCCAATTATGCCAAATAATCTAACCAGAAGCAGTTATCATGCTCAACTCGTATTCATTTTAGCCAAATTACCGCCCGACGTCAGTTGCCAACCTCATGATTTTTCTTCCGCATACTGATATTCCGATATCCACAGATCAATTTGGAATTCTCATACGCACACGCGTTCGCTCATTCGTCCTCCCTTCCTGTTACCATGAGGAGTATTTCGTTTGAGCGGGCTTCAGTTCTGTTCAATATAGCCTCGCTATATTCTCAATTAGCTGCTTCCGAGGACAGATCTAGCCAAGATGGCCTGAAACGTGCGAGTGCTTATTATCAGGCAAGTTAACCGAATGATAAATGGAAGCCACCTTACGTTCCACCTGAAGAATGCAGCTGGTGTTTTGGCCTTCCTCTCCGAGTCCGCCCTGCCGAAACTGGGTCCCTTTGTAGACTTAGAAAATACACCTTCCGATCTGACCGAAGATTTTGTGAAAAGTCTGGAATGGCTTATGCTGGCTCAGGCCCAGGAATGTGTCTGGCAGCTTGCTGTCGCTGGTAATAATTTCCCTTCAACATTCTACAGATCTGACTAGTGATTTAGACCACTTCAAGAATAGCCTGATTGCAAAATTAGCAGCAAAAGTTTCTTCTCTTTATAACACTTCCTTGCAATCAATCCGTTTGGCAGCCGCCGACACCCGCGATGCCTTGCCATCTGTAAGCATGATCTCATGGGTTCCACCATGGGTATTGACCCAGGTAAATAGAATTGGATACCTCATCTGGAGACGAAGCACTATCATTTCAATGCAGCTTCACAATATAGGAAAAGTGTCGACGAACTCGAGGCCTCTAGGTTAGTGAGGGATGATGTGTCCCTTCATCGCTGAAATTATCCTAGATACGGTGACGAGATTCAACGTCTGATGATTGCCGAGGCGGATGCTAAAAAAGCATTCAATGTTGCGAAACGTGCTGGAGTCGCTCAAGCAGTCATAAGTGATGTTAAGGTCCATTCTTATCTCACGCTTTATCTAGTCGCCGTGTTTGACATCTCGTTTCAGTCGCTGCTTGACGTTGTGCAGAAAAATCTTTTCCGTGCTGAAAGAGACAATGATCTGATATACCACCACAATGTTCCGGCACCTTCCGGTATCCCTATGATTCAAGAAGTCTCTATGGTACAGAGCATCATTCCACCTGGGCTGCGGGATCCCAAAAGCGCAATCGACAATGACAGCATAATATTTGGTGAGATGCTTGGATGGGGTGCTCGAGAAGCTATCAGTGAGTCAAAATTAAGCAATCATGTGACGTCTTATGCTGATCTATCGATACAGATATATATAATGACAACAAGAAAAATTTGCTTCAGGAGAAAATCGTCGAACCAGCCCAGAATTTCAATGATGAAGCCGATAAGTCAGACGCGCGTCCTTGCTATATTCCTTATGTAATCGGACACGCGCAGGATACTCCAATCTTTGAACTTGCCATCATCGTTAGAAGCCTTGGAGCGTCCTGTCGGGCTACCTCCAAGTCTCTTGAAGAAAGCTGAAGAAATACGTCTAGAGCAGGGCCCCACGAAGATCGATGTTTATCTCGACGACGTTCAGCGACTCTCTCGGCATGTACTCGGCATACTCGACGAGGTATCCCCTTTTTCTTTCTACGTTTGGATTATCTTTTATGGGATCGCTTTTTAGGCTATGGATATCTTAGACAGCGAGGCATCTGAGGACGAAGCTGTACGCAGGGAGATGCCAATGAACCGTCCTCCATCTCATGAAGCAAACCAAGAACTTGTCATGAAACAACAACGGTATCGGACCATTCTCATTCAGGCAGCAGAAAGCGACGAACTTGTGCGCAGAAAATGGGAAGAGTGGGAGGATCAAATTTCCGAGCTTACTCGCGACGAGGTGCGGACAAGGCGCAGCTGTACATGATTACATACTAACTGCGGTGCATAGGATGAGCTCGAAGCTTTGGTGCCGTCATCGACAGTTTCTATGACAGGAAAGGCAGTGTCAACTAGTCAGACTCAAATCCACGCTCGCACCCTGCGTGGCTTGCTGGAGTCTTTGGATGATATTCGTCGTACTCGAGACGACCTTGTTGTCCGTGCTCAAAGACGAGCGGAAAGCGATGACGTACGGCCAAAAGTACTAGCGGCAGCGGCAAACTTAAAGCACGGGATAGAAATGAGCGCCGTTATGTTTGAAGATGTTTCCGATAATGAACTCGCCAAGTACGACAAGTTTATTCAAGCTCTGACCGAGGGGCGGAAAAAACAAGAGGAGATTCTTTCGTCGATCAAGGTCATTTTAATCAATGCTCGCTTCCAACATTTTCCTGACCATCTCGTAGTCCACGAATGACGCATTCATTCAGTCCAGGAAACAAGACCCCACTGTCAAGGATCGAGAGCAGGCCCTCCAATTTCTTGACCTCGCATATTCTCATTATAAAGAGATCATCCGGAACCTAGACGAAGGGCTAAAGGTTAGTTACTAAAAGCTCGGTCTCGGGGATTCAATTTGATTTGTCTGTTAGTTTTACAATGATATGGCCGGTATTTTAACTAACTTCAAGGAAGCATGCAAGATATGGAGCAGTGCGCGAAGTCGAGAAGCCAGGTACAGCCGCTCTTGATCAATATATTTTCCTGTCTCACAGCACTGCGTGCTATAGACTCCACCGCAGCATGGCGTCTCTATCAATCCGTGACGACGCTTCCGATGAATCTCACGAAGCACCAGTGACCACGATGTCGTCGTTAAGGACTGGCACTCGGAAACAGACTGCTGGTATACCGACGCTGTCCTCAGCTGACTGGGAAGCTCAAGAACTGGCTCCCCCACCAACAAAACGAGCAGGAAAAGCCTCAAAACATCGATGATGAACATTGTGCGTCAGCAGTTGAACAATGATGTTTGTGGATGAATCTCAACAGGAGGTATGTGTATGTAATATCGCTCATGTATTGTGGAGAGACGAGCGGAACATACTCGTAGCATTGCATATGATGTCCAGTGAATATTGATCTTACTGATTACTCTTGTTGCAACGCATTCCTTGGTTCAGTCATGCTGGAGCTAGTACACTACCTACAGGCAGAGCTTGGTATATATACTTTGTAATAGCATCGTATTCACGACAGTAATGCGGTCTTGTGTACGAAAATATGACAATATGCCGATGTAATGTACATTAGGTGTGGGTCCAGCGCGTTAGTCGTGGTCATTCGACGCATTTTGAATGAGTAGCCATTTATCGACAATGACTTGTTACATGGTGGATCTGCTAGTAACGGCAACTCCCTCGAATGGGCGCGGCATTTGTAAGCGCCCAGCTGATTCAGTGTTCACTGAGACATCTACCCCGCAGCGACGTCATCTACATTGACCTACCTACAACCTACAAGTACAATGAAAGAAGACTACAAGACTGACAATGGTCCACCCCCACCATATTCCCATCGTCCGCCTCCCTCAGGCACCCGAATCCCGTTGCACTTAAACTCTACCTTCCCTAATCCCGCAAACACCAAAGAACCCCCATGCTACGACGCAGACGGTCTTTCTCCCATCTTTATTGGATCTGCAATCTTCCAGCGCTCCGTTCATCCATGCAAGATTGCGCCCCATCTTCCAATTCCCTGCCATGTGCCATATGGTTCTACCGAGGTAGAGCATGAAGGGCGGTACGACCTTCTGCCATTTGACCCGGCGACCATGGAATGGGTTCGTACGAGTCACGGTCGTATTCCTTATGGTCGGGATCCTGTTGATGGGGGTTATGAAGAGACTGGGCAGCATTTGTATCATGCAATGGGTCGCGTAAACGGGACCTTGGTTCCTGGTAAGACAGGAGAACATCTTGTGCGTATTCTTATTCTACTTGAAGCCATCCTACGATATCTGAGTTCCTAATAGGGAGGATGCCATGTTGCATTTGGTGGTGGAGAGCACATCATCACAAATGACTATGATTTATTGTGAGTCTAACGGCTTGTCTCACCTGGCGCTATTGATGCTAACGAAATGCAGGTGCTGGAGGAGTGCAGCCTGTCGTCCATCTCTCTCAGGCATACGAATCCCGCTGCAGTCAAACACGACCTTCCCTAATCTCACATTCACCAAAGAACCCCCGTGCTATGACGCAGGCGGTGTTTCTCCCGTCTTTATTGGATCTGCACTTTTCCAGCGCTCCGTTCATCCATGTAAGATTGTGCCTCATCTTCGAATTCCCTGTCATGTACCATATGGTTCCACCGAGGTAGAGCATGAAGGGCGGTACGACCTTTTGCCATTTGACCCGGCGACCATGGAATGGGTTCGTACGAGTCACGGTCGTATCCCTCGTAACCGGGTTCCTGTTGCTGGGGGTTATGAAGAGGGCGGGCAGCATTTGTATCATGCAATGGGTCGCGTGAATGGCACCTTGGTTCCTGGTAAGACAGGAGAACATCTTGTGCGTATTCTTATTCTACTTGAAGCCATCCCACGATATCTGAGTTCCTAATAGGGGGGATGCAATGTCGCATTTGGTGGTGGAGAGCACATCATCACAAATGGCTACGAAATATTGTGAGTCCAACGACTTATTATCTCACCTGGTGATATCAATGGTTAACGAAATGTAGGTGCTGGAGAAATGGATATCCCAGAGGAGAGAAATAGATTACTTGTATCGATACGGAGCGTGCAGTCACTCCAAGTTTACCTTGATAGATTCGGTTTTGCGCAGATTTGTCAAAACTGAGTGGACAACAGGGTAGGTAAGCAGACAAATGTATACTCTACAACCGTAAGATATCGCGAAAGACTACAGCGGTCATTTTCGAGTAGCAAGACCCATGAAGCACGCACAAGTGCAGATAAGCTCTAATCACAGAGCCCCCTCAACAACAGCGGACTGCGGCTGACTCTGTTGTGGCTGCTGTGGACTGTGAAGCATACCGGTACCCAAAGCCTGCGTCCGGAACGCCAGACCACGCGTTTTCTCAATAACTGATTGATATACTGGTAATGGTGAACGGTGGATCTCGATGACGTTCTATGAAGATGACGGTCAGTGAATGAACGGACGAGTACGAGGTCATTAATGATGCTGAATGAAGATCCGCACCTTTTCTAGGTCGATCTTCGCTTCTGCGCCCATACGAGTTTCGCGGATGAGGTTGACAATCCATTTCTCGCCTTCATCTCGCGAGAGATTAAGACGTTCCGAAAGGTCGCTGAGCACGTGGTTTGAGAAATAAAACAACGCGGATGTATGCCTCACTTACCCAATATCGATACGTCGGTGTATACGGCAGTATGCCTCGCTAATCAGGTAGCGTGCATTATCGAGGAACTCCTCTCTGAACTCTCCAAGGAAGAAATCATCTCCGACCACGCGGTCGGCAAGCGTTAGCTCACGTTGTGCGGCCTCAAAATCAAATTCGACATAAAGCTCTTTCAGGAAAGATGTAACGGGATCCTGATATTGGTACTCCTCCGTCTGGATGACCTTGACGATCTCGCGTATCGAGTGTCGTACACGCGAAGAAGCAGCAGTCCCACCTGCAGCTGACTTGCGAGACAGGATGGCGGCAGTGGCTATGTACCGAAGGATCCAAGGACAGGAGGTTTGGATGGTGTTAAGGTAAGTGGGCGAGAGGAAAGTCTCGAGGAGGAGTGTCCGGCCCTGCGGGTGATTGAAGTAGACAAAAAGAGACCAATGAACAAGCCACGTCCGCGAGTGAAGTTGCGTAAGGGCTGCGGGCTCAGCAGATGCAGTTAAGAGTGTCGAAGGTGAGCGCGAGTCAACAACATCGCGTAAGGTGTTCAGTTCTTCGAGAGCTGTCTCCCATTTTCCAGTGAGGATATCGGAAGCAAGTTTACCCCAGTGCGCAGAAGTGTTGAGATCGTTATCAGTTGAAAGTACACGGAAGTGATACAGATAGTCTGCGGCACCGCTGTAGTTGCCGTAGGTATATTGGAACTGCCCAAAGTTGTATAAAGCAGTGATTTGTTCGAGGGTGAGCTATGTTGAAAGTAGATAAGTTGCAAGACGGGTTGATGATAGGCGAGGACGCACGTTGTAGTTATCTTTTAGGTACTGCAAATTCTGATTTTTATCTTGACGCAATGCCTGTGCAACATCTGGGTTCTCGATCACATCAAGAACGGCTTGAGCCTCCAGCTGTAGTCGCTCGTTTGTTGATACAGCCTTCTCTCGTTTCCCCGAGAACTCTGGAAGATTGAGCTCACATGTATCGTCGTTGATATGACTTGCAATACAATGACGCACCTTCGGGGATCTCTTCATCAGGGTGCAGCTGCTCGAACAGGCTGACTGCATAATCCAGCATGTTGGTGCCCTTTGCAAGTTCATACTGTGCTGCTTGAACCTGCTCGACCGGGAAAAGCGAAGTTTCGACCAGATGGGCCAACAAGGGAAACGCCAGGTGGCGATCCAGGTAGGGTATTATCGTTTTTGATAGATCGTATTCCGCCATGGTGGACAACGTTGCGCGTCCTTCAAGCTTGTACAAAATTTTACGGACACTCAAAGAGGAAATCGCACAGCCACAGCATCTACAGACGGCCACTGGTAGCCTGCGTCATGATTGATTTATGCGACCACCCATGCTAAGCTCGCAATAAATATTTGCTTATGGTCCCACAGTAAAAGCGCTGAGAAAGCGAAAGTATATATGCGTGAACAAGCTAATGCGAACCATACCAGTCTAACTTAGTTCGACTGGACTGATGATCTCTGAGAACATCATGATTATTGGAGCGCACTGATGGCAAAAGCGTTTACAACAGCTCTAAACCGAAGATATAAGAGAGTGCGGTTGGACAGGTCTAGGCATGAATGCAACTCAGAGAAAAAGGTCAGAATGGAAAACAAACAAGCCTTTATTAAACATATCCTAGTCACCCTATGATTCGGAGGGCAAAATGAGAAGGCCAATGATAGTTCCAGTCTGGTTCGGGACCGACTCTGGCTACCGAGTATCCAGTCGCTGGGCTTGCAACTACGGATACATCAACAAAACGTTGATCGGATGCTATCACAACCTCTACAAATAGTGAGGCTACGAACTACTCGTTTGCAAGCAACGTACACCTTCCAACGTTGAAGGGTTACGAGAATCAGGGAGCTTGCGTCCACGGGGTAGCTCGTGTGGTTCACGCTACGTTCGGTGAGACATACACTCGGTCGCGTATATCCGGTCGTGGAACATTGAAGTCCACAAAAGCGTAATGATGAGATTGACCGTCGATCATTCTATATAGTCGGGGAATTTCGCTGGGAACGTCCTGAGAAGGAGAGTTTCATGCAGTCGTCACCGATCGAAAAAACTACATTTCCGTCACCCACCTGCCGACCTAGAGAATTGACAAAAAGTACCAGTTCACGAGTTCCTTCGTAAGTGTGCTTGATTATAACGAAGATGGTGGGCTGCATAACCTTCTTGAAGGAAGATGGATCCCAGCACCTCCCCAACACGGTACAACTGGCAACGCCCAAGATGATCTTACACAAAGGATGGACCTCGATTGACCTCGATCATATCGGACTTCACATCACCTCGTGAGCCCGGGCCAATGTGCGAGCCGGACTGGATTCCCGAGTCTCCCGTCGCCCCATGTCCTCCAACGAGTCCGAAAGGGTTCATCATCAAGGATGGTTTATCCTCGCGTCTGTAGAGTTCGAGAGGCTCAGGCAGGTCTCAAGGAGAAATGTTTGATCCTGCAGTAGACAGAGCCTAGACCGATGAAACTCAGAAAGAGCCATGTCCCCTAAGTGCATAATCCAGCATGTTTATACTGGACTGCTTCTCGACCGGGAAGAGCGAAATTTCGACTACACGAACTGATGACAGAATTTCACGCCAGCTCGGTGGAGATCCAGATGGGTTTTGACGCGTGGTATATAAGCCAGCACTTGACTTGAAGTTGAACGCCTTTTTCAGAAGCTTGAGGCAAAAATTTTATGGTGACCTAAAGAGGAAGTAGCACAGCCACAACAGGTGTAACGAACTGCGATTCATGAGGCTGTCGTCACTGACTTTTCCAACAACTCAACTGCCATCATGACTGCCATCACGCAGAACCTGCCCAGATTTATATCAGACCTTGGAATATCAATAATAGGAGAGGTATGTTGGTTTCTATTGTTTTAGTCAATGTTGGCACACTCAACATGTTGTAGAAATGTTATTCCTCACTGGTCGAGAACCTCAATGTCGGAGACATGGATTGTCTCAAATACTCGCTCTCCAAGGGTTTGGGAATCGGTATTGTAGTAGGAGGCTCTATCATGAAAGTTCCTCAATTGTTGCTTAGTGAGTCTATCAAGTGTCTTTGATACATGACAGGTATTTACGACGTGCTCAGTCCTTAGCGGACGCTCCGCTCGTGGTCTCTCCTTACCTGCATATGTCCTTGAAACTCTTGCATATGCAATCACCACTGCATACTCATATAGAAATGAGTTCCCATTCTCGACCTACGGCGAGAATTTATTCCTGACCATACAAAATACCATAATCACTCTCCTGATCATTTATTTCCCAACTCCATCACTCCGAAATGCACAGGCTATTGGCCCACAATTAGCAATCGCCAGCGCAGCGTCCGTCGCATCTGCCGTTGCATTATATATGTTCCCTAAAGACATCCTGTCTCTACTGCAAATGGCCACGTTGCCACTGTCCCTCTTCTCGAAGCTGCCCCAAATCACGCAGAACGCACGTGCCCAATCCACGGGCCAGCTCTCCGCATTCGCTGTCATTTCACAAATTGTGGGCTGTCTTGCCCGACTGTTCACTACTGCGACGGAGGTCGGCGACCTCATCGTCACTGCTGGCTTTGCCCTTGCCCTCGTTCTCAACCTTGTGCTCGGCGCGCAGATGTGGATGTATTGGGGTAGTGATCAGAGAGAAGACTCTGGGAAGACCCAGATTGGGTCGCTCAGCGAGAAGGAAAAGGTAGAATGGGCATCAGAGAGGCAGGGAAGAGTTGATGTTGTCGTTACTCCGAAGTCTCCTGTACCGCGTCATACCGCGTCGCCTTCTGGTAGAAAGTGGGCAAGGAAGATTGATTAGTACTATACCTCTGTTATTTAATGGACTCGATGTTTATTTTATACACTATCCGAGTCTGTGCCACCGAAAAGATGCTTGAGTAATTGGTTTTACTTCCGCTAAATTTGGTGCCTCCGAATTCAGACACAACAACGGCTCCATCGATGATTCGACGCCCATCTGAAATCGATGTATCAGGTCCTCCTGGACATGTTCGCGCATGTGAATGAATGCGAGGACCTACCAACTGATGATTCTCCTGGCGAGAGATTATTGTCGAGACAATCTCTCCTATCGCTTGCAACGACATGCAAAACTTTCTCAGCTACGAGCCTGCGATGGATTTACTGTAGGCTAACATAGACGAGTTAGAATCATTGCTAGGCTGTGTAACGAGGCTACATCTACTGATATGCTGTAGTGAAGCAGAGGTGAGTGCAGACTAATTACGATCAATCTGAGGAAGGTAAAGTTTCACGCCGTCGGGAGTAGATTGGCGACTGAGGGTGGACCCTAACAAGATACTGAGTACTGTATTCACTTCTTTGGCGTTTGCTTCTCTTCTCTTCGTCGCCACCACTCCGGCGCTGTGTCGGCACGGGACTTCTCTAGCTTTTGTAGCTTGTCGAGCTCCGCCTTGATGAAAGTCTCCAAGAAAGCAGGGACATTCTGTGATCCCTGCTTGGCATCTGAAGACGGCCACTGGATCACTTTAACAGAGCCACTATGCATCTTGTCCTCAATAGAAGTGAGATTCTGATCATGGATGAGTATATGAGTCTAAACTCAGAGTGAGAGCGGACCTTGACCACATCTTTCAACTGGACGATCGCTTGTCCCTGATTCATCCACTCCCGAATCGAGTTGACCTCTTCAACAGTCCACTCGCGCACTCTAGGGTCATCCATATGCACGTCAACGCCTGCTACTCCTTTCGGGTGTATCAGCTTCTCTGCACCACCAGGCTCGCCAAATAGCCCGTCGAACCACGATGCAACATCTTCAGATGCGTTTCTATCGTATTTAGGAGTAAGGACGCGAGTCTTCGCATGCGATGATGGAGCATCGCCTAAAAACAAGTAGTCATAACCAATATATTTCTCCAAGTCAAACCGATGTTCTTCTGGTACTTCTGGAGGATTGGAAACTTGGATGAAAAATCGTCCCTTGTATATAGGATATCGTCAGCATTATGAAAGTTGATTTTGAAAAGGCATACGGGTTGACTGTACGCCTCTATGACGAACGTGGACTCAAACGGTTGGACCATTGGAAATTGAGCCAGATAAAGCGGTATTAGGACTGGGTAGGCAGCTTCCTGTTCTTGGTTGAGGGGGGGAAAGATGCACGATGGAAGATGACGTACCATGTTGGTTTTTATGAAGCGTGGCTCGAAACGCGCATCTTCATCAGTAGACGTATGAGTGAAGGACGAGGATCGTGTACTGCTAATAACGTCAAGTGGACTGATAGTGTAGGGCATGCATATAACATCGGAACCGTGTTGATGTGTGAGGGTCTGAGAAAACGGAACGGCCAAAGTAGGTTCTACATGGTCATTTCGGAGAGCAAGCCTCCCAAGCAGGCCAAATGTAGCGCCTTATCAAAGTGATTAACCTCGTTGGTACGCCTGGCGTGGAGGGATCGCACCTGGCAAGTAACTATACGAAATTCGTCAACTTGAAAGAAGCTTGATAAATGAGCTCGTGTACCAGTCGTTGAAATACGCGGTCACGATTCGCTGCAAGGCTGCCGCTCAATGAATGTAACAGGAAGAGGTGCTTGAATGTACCTGTCGTCCATCATCTTCATCAGTCAAGTAAGATTCGACTTCTGCATCCAAGAACCAAGCAGGGAAATAGACAGGTTGAATGCGGATGGGTTGAATCGGCTGAAAGTTTCCACCTATATACTTTGCACCGAGCGACCCAATGAAGTCGCGGAAAAAGCAACCTGCAGAAGCAGCTACACCAACATGGCTGATAGCAGCTTCCTTTGAAAATGCGAATGGAATAGCTGAAACATGCCAGTCAGCAGGATGCAGCGGGTACGAGACGAATGCAGGTGACCTCTGACTTTTGGATGATATTGTGGTACAATTTGTGAATAGCTTCGCGGAGAAGGCGTGCGGTTAAAATCGCGAACAATAACCCCTGCTCGTCGTCGCAGCATTAGTGCTCCACAAAAAAACTCTTAGACCATGACAATATTTGCTTCGCAGAAAAGGAAAGTCAGTTATTTGACACGTGACCCTTCTCGATATACGTGTACTGTAAATTATCATCTTGCCGTCAAACTTCTGTCCCTCCCTTACCTGAAGGCCTCGGTATCCAATGCACTTTGCTTCATACGTAGCCATTCTATGGCTGCTTTTTGCTGTCATTGTTAGCGCAACCGATCTATACAAAGTTCTTGAGCGTCAGTCCAAGGCGTGTACCAACTGGTCTTGACTCGCGTTTAACTGATATACTCGGCATTCAGTGTCCAAACATGCATCGGAGCAGGATATCCGTAAAGCATACAAGCGTCTGAGCAAGCAGTATCATCCCGACAAAAATACGGATCCAGGGGCTGAGGAGAAGTTCGTTGATATCGCTCATGGTAAATCAAGTTGTACTCGTTTCCATAGAATGGCATTCTCATGATACTGCATTAGCATACGAAGTCCTTTCAGATTCCACGGTACGCGAAAATCTCAAGCCTTTCCTAAAATTTTGCTCAAAATTATCCAGAAACGCCAAATTTATGATAGGCATGGTGAAGTGAGTAGCATCGACTCATTATATATATTCAGTAGGATATGAACATACGCTTCGCATACAGGAAGGGTTAAAAGCACACGAAGGTGGACAACAACATCACGCTAATCCTTTCGATATATTTTCCAATGTTTTCGGTGGTGCTTGTGGGTTCATGCCTCCTTGTCACTACCTCTTTGCGCTGATAAGTATGTAGTCAATACACAGCAGCAGCCAGTACGCCGTGGACAAACTGTCATAATTGAATTCGAGGTTTCGCTTGCAGATATGTAAGCTCATCCCCGGATTTTTGCAATAGTCAACTGATTTACCGCGCAGGTATACGGGTGCCAATATTGACGTTCGTCTTGAACTGGTCCTTTACATTGTTACTCAATTGAATTGACGCTTCCCCCTTAATAGTTCACGATGAGGAAAAAAATACTTTGTGATCACTGTCGCGGCTCGGGCGCTGCTTCGGACCGTGACATTCATACTTGTTCAGGATGCGGTGGATCCGGCATGAAAACCTTCAAACAGCAAATATTCCCCGGTATGTTTGCACAGACACAGACAACATGCAACGATTGCGGTGGTCGTGGAAAGGTCATCAAGAAACAATGTCCACATTGTAAAGGCGAGAAGGTGGTCGAGCATACGCAACAGTATACTTTGGAGGTAAAACCAGGTACACCAGAAGGCTTTGATGTCGTATTTGATGGAGAGGGAGATGAGAGCCCAGACTGGGAGGCTGGTGACGTTGTTTTGAGAGTGCGAAGTAAGAAGGAGAAAGGTGCTTGGCAACGGAAGGAGAGCAGCTTGTACTGGCGGGAGACCATTGGCATTGACCAGGTAAGCACTGTTGATACTGCCGCCCCTGATAACTTATCGTGCCTACTTGAATTGCAGGCACTCCTCGGATTTCAACGCAATATCACGCATCTCGATGGTCATGTCATTGAGATAGATCGCCAAGGAGTGACCCAACCTGGTGAGCTGCTAGCGTTTATTGTCTAGCCTATGAGGGTGGTGTTCAACTTAATCATAGGTCATGTTCAAACTATAGAGGGCGAGGGGATGCCCTTGTATCAGGCAGACAGTTTTGGCGACCTCTTTATAGAGTACAATGTCGTATTACCTGTTGAACTGGACTCAGACATTCATCGAAGTAAGTGGTATTTCGTGGTATTGTTCATCATTTTGATTGCATATCGTAGAACTCGCCGAGACATTTTATGGACAAGGCCACCGCGATAGAGATGAGCTTTAGATATATTTTTTGTAATTTATTTCTGTCCGCGATTAGTTTATGTGAAAGTGTCCCATATTAAGTATTTTCCGGTGTTTCTTACCTGCCCTAAGGCAAGGTTGCATGTATAAGATAAGCTGAATCGTTTTTATTTTCTTTGGTTCCGGACCCCTTCGGCATGGACGAGGTTGGTCATGTCTTTTGCACACTAGTCCTCTCTAACTGAATGTTCCAGTGTTCCTGTGAAGCCGTTGTTTAGTGTTGCTTTTCCATGCTGCGAAAGTATCGAGCATTAGGAAAGAGCGATTGTTAGCCAGGATGTCTTTGGAAGACAGTCCAGGCAGAGCGGCCCCTTGTCTGCATCGTGGTAGGTCTAACCTTGTTGAAATTTTGGGCAAATTTCATGGATTTCGTAGTGGATTTTGGGCGTATGGTGGATGAAGAGTGTTTACTTCGTCTGCAGAACTTGTTGGCAGCCTTTTCAAGCTGGCCTTCCGTAAGCCAAGACCTCATAGAGTGTGATATATTGTTAACAATTTCTCAGCTAGTTATTGACATGTGCCTTGGCCTGCAGCCGTGATGATGTGCATGCTCGTACGCGGCGGGCATTGCTGCATCATAGTGTGGTGTAGATTCCGAGCGCGTGCTTGCTCATGGGTTTTTCCCATGGAGTTACCTTCAAATCAATTAACCCAGGACGAAAGTCTCTGATGGGCACAATCCTATCAGAGCCTACATGTTGCTTTGTCAAGTATAGCAGTATGTAGCAATGCATTTCACTGTAAAAATGTGTGCGGAAAGTGAGATTGTCCAAGTGCTAGCACAACCGTGTTAACCTGCCCCCAACAACCTTGCATAAATCGATCGTTAACTGGTGAATATATATAATTATCCGCCCATCATCCCAGAAGGACTGCACAAATCGTGCGAGAAAGCTTGTATAATATTTAGTGACTGAATCCATGTCTCATGCCTGAACGGAGATGATAAGATGGCGAAGCGTGAAAAAGATCATAAACACGCACTAGATAATTGTACGACTTGCGATCTTCACAGCGTTCAAGATACTCTCGCTGTGTCAAATGTAGATTAGATCATGCACGGTAAATGAGCATTGTTACCCACATCAATTAATCCTTCAATTCGTTTCTTGATATTCTGAGGGTTGGGCTGGAATCGAGAGGCAAGTTGTCGAGTGACTTCATTGATGAGGTCGTTATGAGTCAAGTGCTTCCTGTCTTTCATGATGCGGACGATGCACGCCTACGAAACGGTGGACGTCAGAGTTCATGAGATGTGATAGGACCGATTGTAAGCATCACCTCGATTTGATGATGCCTTTCCTCTTCTATACGATCGCGAGTTTCTCTCCGTTCCTTAGTGGTTTCAACCTTGGCGGACACCGTACTGATCTTAATCTTTTGCATCGCACATGTGAAATCATTGTTAAACGAAAATGAGTCCGATGGATTAACATCTCGTCCGGGGGGATGTTTCCTTAGAATCTTGAATTTTGCACATGCTAGGGATTGCAAGTGCCGTTGAAGCTCAGTGTCTGGGATTGAAGTAGCAGTTTTCAGTTCCTGATCAAAAGCGTCAGAAAGATCAAAACATCTTAAGCAAGCGAGAACCCGCACCTCGTATGTAAGGAACTCATCGTTAGTCAAATTCTCAAAAAGCAGCAAGATCACGAGTGCAAATGTCGATACATTAACATCGTGCTTCCTGGCCTTGAACTGAACACGAACATCAGCGTTCCCGAGTGAGGGTTGCCACGCGAGGCGTCGCCCTGAGTGGCGGGAAAAATAGAAATGCTCGAATGACTTGCAAGCCCTGATTAGAACTTCAGGGAAAATACAAGATGCACTAGAATGCGACATGGGCCAGAAAGTCGACGTCATCACGGTTACGGAGATATCCACTTCAGGTGCCTAGAAGTTCATTGAATAAATGCAGCAAGACAAAATCCCCGCGCCTACCGAAACGCCTTCAAGGTACTTGCGGTAGGCTTGCATGGTATCAGCAGATATCTTCATATCATGGAACATGCCCTCCAGCTTTTGAGTGAATTGGTACCCGCACTCAACTTTGAGCTTTGCAAGCATGCCTCTTTCAGCATCATCAGAGACCGACCTGCCAAGTAGTAATCGTTTGGCAAGATGATTCTTGTAGTATCGCTCGAAAGCGTCCTTCTCTGTTATGTACCGGAAAACCGTGATAGTCTTGTCCAAGACAGCATCGACCTCCATATCAGTTTTCTGGAATAGAATCAATGAGTGCGTGAATTGTGGGAATTGGGTTACTGACGCCTTTGAGACCCTTCTTGAGGTTTTCATCGATGAAGAGCGATATGTACTCCGGTGCCTTCTCATTCAGGTTGATGAAGTCTTCGAATGCCTTGTGACCTACATTAGGATATACAGGAAATACAAAACAGAACGCTGACCTCATTTAAAGAGCTTTCCACTTCTCGATTACTATCAAATGCCTTAGTCCAAATGCAGTCGAACTTATCCTTCAGATCAAGCACAGTCTGTACCCATTTCAGGGCCAGTGGCAATGTCGGAGGACCCGTGGCAGCGCGACCTTGACCCTTGTCTTTTCCTTTCGCAATTTCAGTGTCGTTAAGGTCTACGTCGTCCATGTCTTGGCCAGTGTCAATACCTGCGGAAGCAAGATTGATCTCTCTTCCTCTCCGTAAGATTGAATCCTTGAACGACCTTCTTAGGGTAGGCATTCCACTAGGAACCATGAGAAATAGACGGTACAGGCGGTTGATGTCGTCAAATTTATCGAGTTCTACCATGACATCGAGGCCAGAATTGGGCATACCGATAACCGTCGACAGATTGTGTGTTAATAGATGGCGCTCGAGAATCTTTCGGAGAGGATCACCAGTTTGGGATAAGAGATAATGATGTGTTCGGGCTTGTTCTGAATCAAGACGTGCCTCGACCTGTACATCATAAGGGTAACCTTGTTCTTAGAGTAAAAAGAACACATACTCTTCGCAGATACTCTGGTGCATCACAAGTATCCAGAAGTCGTTTTCCTTCAGCGGAATAGAATACTTCGCTGGCTCTAAGCACGGCCGGCTCGAGATCCCGCTTGTAGACAGTTTTGGCGTCATGATCGACGCTCAGCTGCAGAAGGACATCGACGCACTCCTTCACCACAGAGCGGCTGATGACATATCCGTCACGTTCAATTTGGATTAAGCTAAGGACTGCGGAGGTGACATGATCTTGTATTGGGGGTCGTATGATGTGTTTCAAGAAGAGATCTAGGCCAGCATCCCAGATTTCTGGGACATCATTAGCTTTCGTATAGACGCGATCCTATGGATGCATTCGCGTGAGTAAGCAGTGGGTATAGCGGTGGAATGCTCACCATGTACTTGAGAATATCCCGAAGCTTCGACATATTGCCAGTATGATCATCCCATACACGTCTCAGAGCTTTCAGTAACGACTCTCCCTCTTGACTCTGTTGCACGGGATCCTTGCTGCTGCCACTAGGGAAAGCAGGAATGATTTCGCTTTGTGCTAACCTGTCGATATTCTCCGCCACTAGCTGACACACTCCCTTATACAATATGCCTCCATTCTTATACAGCACCATATTGTAGGCGTAGCGATAGTTCTCCTCGAATGAAAGATTTGATGCATTCTGGTTATGGATTTCACGGATATTCGTCGAGAGGCGGGACCAAGTTTCATCCAATGATACTTCTGATTCATGCTAAGACCACTTATCAATTACGAGCAGACTTCGTTTCACAGATCGCTTACCTTGCGGGGCGGTTTCTATCAAAAGGATTCATTGTCAGGAATGAATGCTGGCGAAATGTAACACGCACGATTTTTGGCTTCACCGTGCGGCGTGCTATCAATCAATCAGCTCAGTAAATTCCCTGCATTCAAAGGTTCATAACCCACTAGAAGCCATCGTTCGCGCAATAGTTCAGCAGTAATTCAATGTAGGCTCCCCTTGAGGCAGACCATAGAAGGAGGATCAACTATTTGTTCCTTCTTGGATGGTACTTCGGGTCTGACTTCCATTTCAGTAATATTTGCCTCTATTGAAATCAGAAGCTCTCGCCAAACATCTCACAGGCATTGCAACTGCGAACACAAAAAGATGATATTCATTGGCTACATAAGATGTTCATTCATTCTTGCAATAAATGCAGATGCAATTACTGAAACAAATGAACAAGAAATCCCGACATGCTAGGAGGAAGCCTGCGATCGAGATGAACGAACGAAATCAGCAAAGTACTTCCGAAATGCCTTGTTATCAAGGTCTCGAAGTTTGCCCGTGAACTCCATGGCGGTATCTGGTGGCCAGCCTTGTGAGGGAAGGAAGGCAGACAAAAAGAAATCCTGTGCTTCTTGTCCTCTAGTTTTGCAAACTATCTGGAGGAAGTTGCCGATTTCCAATAGAACCTAATTCGGATGTTAGATCTAAAATGAGCGGCAAATGCTACACTGGTACATACAACCATCATCTGTCCATCCTTAATATTAAACTGGGGTGATGAAAGCACCACGAAGGCTGTGGGAACGAGACGCTCGTAGACGAATCGCTCAAAGCCGGGTACACCCTGGGCTTGGCCGTCAGCTGCTGTAGCTGGTCGGCACCAGACCTGAACACAGCGACTAAGGAATGCGAAAGCAGATTTCTGGCTACTCGAGTCCGAAATATCTTCCGCCAATCGACTCATGCTGATCAACAGAGGTTCAAAAGTGGCCTTGTTTCCTGCACAAATTTGAGACCAGCCCACAGCAGTCATTCGAAAACTTACGGTCAGAGATAAAAATGTCATGAAGATCGGAGGACATGACGTTGGTCAACAATGTCAGATAGGCACGCTTAGTTTCCGCGTGTTCGACACTATCGTCAGTACCTGTAACGGGCTGATTGAGAAGCTGGGTGATGTGAGCGCTTAGAGGACCAATGAGCTCGTCCAGAACATTGAAAAGCTCGCTCTGTTGACACATTTTCAGGTATGAACGTAC